CGTTTGAAAAAAATCATCGTCAACTTCAAATATCCATGTTTCTAATTTTCTCTTCAAATTCATTCCTTTTGAGCTGCATCTCTTCGCATCGGACTCCAAAAACAAAGGACAAATATGTACCCTGAATGCAGTGGTCGGAGATGGTGAGGGGCCGGCAGGTTAGTTGGCTACGGCGGACCTTACGGTTGGGGGTGATTGAAATCTCCTTCTTTAAATGACGGTGACGAGGCCCGTGATTTATTGAAGTTTTGATTTTAACCGTGAGAGTAACAAAGAACCGTTGTTGGAGGATTGAGCGGAGCATAGTGGTGGTGGGTTTGGTGGCCGCGCCGAGTAAAGAGAAGAGAAATTTTAAATGGTAAATATGTGTAAAAGTGAATTTAACAAAATAACCATTTAACCTTTTTATTATAGCCATGTTACTTGTATAAAATACCCATTAAAAAATTTACGAATTAAAAGATGACATGTGTACTGCAAAAAATTCTCAACGGATGAAAAGATGACACGTGTACTTGAAAATTATCGAATTGACTGACATGTGTCTTTTGAAAAAAATTCCTTTAATATATAGTACATTTTATAGAAATCGGGTTGGGCGACTTTATCATCAGCTGTTTTAGTTTATGATTAAAACTAACTTTCAAATTTCACATCCTCAACTTATTAAAGAATTTTTTTTCTTCAACATCATTTTTTAATCACTATCAAATCTTTCATTTCACTGTCTTATTAGTTGATACATCTATATCAATGAAAATTCAGAGCAATTTTTTTTAGGCGGGAATTGTGTATCGGCTCTTTCGTCACGTCATCAAAGTCGGGGAACAAGTCGGCACAATAAAATTTTTAGTTTTATAATTTAAAATTACAAAGTTTTTATATGAATTTCGTGAAAAATAGGCCCGAAGTGAAATTGTGATGATTACTTGACTATAAATCACATTCTAGTTATACTTTCTCCATTAATTCATACTTCAGATGGACCACGTATAAGATGATTAGTGGAGTATTATTTTGTGTGGAACAATATTGTGTATTGTTAACAGTAGTAATCATTTGATACGAGAGCACGCCAACAAAAACGTTAAAAGATCTAACAACTGAGAGGTCCCCAACCTCAAAGCATTCTCACTATCACGCAACATTGATAATAGGAAATACGGTTGCGGCTGCCTTATTCCTTAACATTTTTGTGCATTTCTACCTTTAGGATAAGTTTATGAAAATGTTTGCAATTTGGCGAGTCTTGTAAGGCAACCCATACGATGCAAAGCGTGTTAGTTATTTTATTTTAATTTTTTCCAGAAAAAAATTATGCCGAAAAAAGCAAAAAAGGACCAGTAACATGTATTTATGTTAGAAACACTAATAATATCATGCTTTACTTATAATACTTTAAAAAATTCCGTCAAAAAAGACCAAATTAATAACCAACTAATAAATTTTGACTTTTCAATTAGGATGTTGCTGCTGAGCGCCCTAATTTTTTTCCTTTAAGCGCCTTAAAAAAATGTAAAAAGATAATTTTACCCTTAATTTTTATTTTATTTTTTTAAAAAGGGGTGGGAGGACGATGGGGAATTGCGCCTGCCTTTGCAAGGTGGCGTGTGATAGAATATGGAAATAATCGAAACCCTAACATGAAAGAATTATTGTGTATATTATTCACATGATACATTGTGGTATTTATAGTACAATAGTGTAACAACCCTAGCCGTCTACATAGAAAATCCTAATTAGGGTTTTGATTATTTTCATATTCTATCAGCATGGAATAATCTCGCCTCCCTTTACAAAAAGGCGAGAAAACCTTCGCCTCTGACGAAGGTGTGGCGCCCGTTTTGGGCGCCACTTTTGTCCGGGTTGGCGAGCCATTCGATGGGTGGCGCCACCCATTTTATTTTTAATTTAATTATTTAATTATTTTATAATGTATTTAATTATTTTCATTTATTTATTTAAACTATTAGTTTAATAAATTTATTTAATTTGTGTATTTATTTAATTCATGTATTTTATTTAATTAATTGATTTATTTTATTTGATTATTTTTTTGGTAGTTTAATATTTATTTAGAAAACGTATGTTAATTGATAGTTAAATGGATAATCTATCTTAATATTTAGGGTTTATGGGATTGGTAAATAAATAATGTTTAACTTAAATATTTAGAGAATATTTTTTAATTAAGTATTATGTTCATAAGTTATAGTTTTTATATTAAATAGGTAAATTTTTTGTTAATTATGTATTTAGTTTGTTATATGTTTAAATTATGTTAATTAAGTAGTATGTTCGTATGAAATAATTTTTTTTGTTAAATACGTGTTTAATTTGTTGTTAGTTTCGAAAGAATTAGTTAATTAGGTAGTATGTTCATAAGTTATAATTGTTATATTAAAATAGTAAGTTTTTGTTAATAATGTATTTAGTTTGTTATTAGTATATATTATGTTAATTAATTATCTTTAAAGTATAATATCATTATATTGGATTATATATTATATTTTTGTTTATAATGAATTATTTGTGGTTTAATATTATTATAATTAATTTAAGTTATGATATAATTCATTTTTAATGTTCAGGATAGGTTTGATCAGGGGGATGACACTGATTATAATTCAATTTTTGCTATAAACGAGACTTTTGTCAAAAGGCCTGACGCTATTGCATATGTGAAGGGTATTGCAAATATGTACAATATAGAGTTAAGTGTATACTCCCATAAGGATAATAATACTATACTTCTTTGTCATAAAGGAGGCCGGTACCAAGGTCAACAGGTGGACGAAACTATGCGCGCCCGACCCAATACGAAGACACAGATGACCGGATGGCAGTTTCGTATTACTGTCTACAAAATATGTGATATGTGGACGATTCATGTATATCCCAGTCCGTGGGGATTGAACAACCATTCTTTGACAGATCCGCCTCGGGTTAGGAGCGGACTGAGCGCACAAGTGACAGTCCGTGGGGAATGCACAATCATTCTAAAGTTGGGACTAAGACAGTTCACATTTTACGGGCGATATGGGGACAATTTCCTGATGAAAATGTTACCTCCAAACAAGTCTGCAACTACATAAATAAATTGCATAAGGAGGGGGTTCTAATTCTGGATGACATGGCTTCCATTGGGTTTTTTCTAGTAAAGGTTTTAATGAGCCATTATCCTAAGAAATTTCAACGTATTTTACATTTATTTTATGATAAATATGAAATATAAAAATATGAAATTAACGTATTTTATATTTCATATTTTTTATTTTAAATTTTTTCAAAAAAAATTCTCAGGACGGCTAGATGCACCGATGATAAATAAATATTTTTTTAATTTAAATATTTAGAGAATGATAATTTTTTAGTTGGTAGTAAATGATAATTTTTCATTAATATATAAATAATTAGTGTATTTTTATTATTTTATTATAAATAATTTGTTTGGTAGTAAATTCATAAGTTTTAGTTCTTATTAACTCTTCATTTTTTTATTTAAGTTTAAAAATTATAAATAATTAAATAATAAATTTAATATGCAATATTAATCAACATTCTCTAAATATTTACGTTAAAAAATTATTTATTTAAGTTAAAATTATTTATTTAACCGTCAAACAAATTAATAAATATACTTAAATAAATAAATAAAATAAATTAAAGAATTAAATAAATAAATTAATTAAAAAAAAGGTGGCGACCGATTGGACCCCACCCAATCGGTTTGGCGAGCGGTTTGCTCGCCAAACCGGAGGGGAGGGTGGCTCATGATTTGTGCGCCACCCCCTTTTTAGGGGCAAAAAAAATGCTCGCCACCTCAAGAATGGTGGCGAGAAAAGTGCACGCCACCCGTGAAAGGGTGGCGTGTTTCTCCTGCGCCGGCCGTGAAAAGCTGGCGCAAAAATGCGTCGCCCACTCCTCTTTTTTAAAAAAAACATATATGCGAGGCTAAAATAGTCTTTTAAAGTTTTTTAAGGCGCTCAAATGAAAAAATTGAGGCGTTGAGTAGGCTCCCAGTTTCAATTAACCTCAAAATCCCTACCCAACAATTCTCCAATAGTTCGAAACTAAACTAAAACCATACGTGAGTGGTGGACAGATTCGAACAGAAAAAAAAGGAGCAAGTTTTGGTAATTTCTGTTATCTTTGTTTCTGCCCTTTTTGGGTCTCGCCTTCATAAGCTTTTGTTATATATATATGTGTGTGTGTGTGTGTGTGTGGGAAGTCGAAGCTTAGTTACAAAGCATCATTTTCTATATAGTTGTGTCGGGGGCGGATTCATTGCCGGGTCTTTTGATATGAGAGACATCTACAATCCATTGGTAGTCTAGTAATTTCCTAATTCTGTAAAGGACTTTGCTTGAATTGTAGGTTGGGCTTCCTTCATTTAAAATATTAATGGCCTATTGATTATCAAACTGTAGTTGAATTTTCTTTAAGCCCAACGTCCAAGCAATTGAAGATGAAGAATGGAACTCCGGTATCCAAGAATGGGAATACTGCTTGGTTGGTTTTGTCTATGGTGACAAATCCTCACTTGAAAAGATTCAAAGGTATGTAAAGCTTAATTGGGGAAATGAAAATATAGTCACTGCACATCTAATTGAGAAAGGGATATTTCAATACTAAGGAGAAACTTGATGAAATTCTTGAGTCTGGCCCGTGGAGCTATTTCACCTTCCCACTGATACTCCAACCTTGGACGCCAGAAATGGACATTGACCCAAAGAAAATTTCAAGTTTTCTGATCTGGGTTCAGCTGCCACTGTTGAAATTACACCTTTGGCCTCATTCAGTTCTGAGCAAAATTGCTAGTGCGATTGGTAAGCCTATATGTACATACAGGATTACTGCTTCCAAGGGGAGGCTTAGCTATGCTCGATTTTGTGTAGAAATTAACCCTCTCTTTGAATTAACTGAGGAGATTACTTTGAAAGACCCAAAAGAAATCTTAATCACGCAGAAAGTGGAGTATGAACAACATGATTGTTGTAGATTGTTGAACAACATGATTAAAAAATATAACATAACTTGTTTGGCAAAAATAATAATGAAGCAAAACATAATAAAGACGAACAAATCTTGCATTGACCTCACTAATACAAATAAACTCGAGTAACTTGAGCATCCTGGGTATATTTTTTGCTCTGCCACAAGGAGGTTCTGTTTAGAAGAGATTTTGCCGTCACGAGTTGGGGCTCAAAGAGCTCTGAGCTGTCCTTGGAGCGACTGATAGCTTCAGCTCGAACGAGATCAAGCAAGGTACAGTTGTATCTCTCTACACAAAAGTATATATAATTATCATCTTCCAAGAATCCCTTGGGATATATGACGCTTCCTTTCCTATAACTTGTACAAATTTGAAAGAGAAAACTGCAATCCCTGATTACAAAGTCGCGATAAAGACGTGGCAACTGCTGCACAACAACGGGTTGGTTGAAAGGAAGTCTTCCCCATCTTCCCTTAAAAACTACCAAATCGTGGCTGCCACAACGAATTCTTTTGGAAGACTTGATGCGTAATTCTTTACCAATCTCGGTAACTGGCTGCAAAGGAAGATTATAAATAAAACACACGTCAAAGAATGGATCCGAAAAAATAATGCAAATTTGCCATCGGAAAGTCATAGGAATGACAACTAATCTTTTCAGGGATACACAGTAGATGAAAAGTTTGCAAAAGAAACAAAAGGAAATATAGTTGCATATAACAAAAATCAGCTTCGCATCACCAAAATTAGTCTGTGCGCGAGGTACATACAACACATGAGATCTACATATAATTATAAAGTAGACGTGTACCATCCCAACTTGAATATGAGGACTTGTCGTCCTTTTAGTAGGTACGATAAAGAACAGGACCCTGGTATTTGAGGCCAGGTTCCTGGTATTTGAGGGCGGGTCTCCATTAACACGAACCCTTTCCAATTGCGCCGTTAGCAAGCGAATCAAATCTTTCAATTCCTTCAATTTGTTCCCTTGTTTTTCTCGCGCCCTTTTGGCTTCACGTCTCAACTGCCTCGGCTGCTCCTTATCCGTAGGGCTCTCTCAGATGCATGTCTCAACGGATACTCAGTCTCCTCAGCCGCCATTTGGGCTTCCTTTAAATCCTTTCTCAACTTCAAAATCTTTTCTTTTTTGGGGTTCACCTGTTCATCAAACAAACCAAATTTTAAGAAAAATGATACGAAGACATATTCTCCAACCGTACCTAATGTCAATGCTTCATATGAATTTTAAACTAAGAAAAAAGAATGTGTAAAGTATCTGCAATATCCCAAAAAAATGTGGTACAAGTGGCGGGCTATTAGTCATTCTTCCCTGCCTCTCAACCAACGCCACAAATATATGAGAATCCAGATTAAATAAAAGGGAAGCTTAATTAAAGGGTGAAACTGTTGAGCGCCTTTATTTTCTCATTTGAGCGCCATCCAAAAAATGGATACGCCCTCTGCACAATGAAGGTATATATTTTTTTTAAAAAAAGAGGCGGGGGCGAGGGACATATGCGTCAGCCGTTGAACAGTTGGTGGCGTGGAATAATCTCGCCTTCCTGAAACCTTCGCCTCTGAAAGGGTGGCGCCATTCCTCACCAACCAACCGATGGATTTTTTTAATTTAATTATTTATTTTATTTTTTAATGTATTTAATTAATATCATTTATTTATTTAAATTATTAGTTTAATAAATTTATTTAATTCATGTATTTATTTAATTAATTTATTTATTTTATTTGAGTATTTTTTTGGTAGTTTAATATTTATTTAGAAAATTTATGTTAATTAGTAGTTAAATGGATAATCTATCTTAATATTTAGGGTTTATGGTATTGGTAAATAAATAATGTTTAACTTAAATATTTAGCGAATATTTTTTAATTATGTATTTTGTTCATAATTTATAGTTGTTATATTAAATGGGTTAATTTTTGATTAATTATGTGTTTAGTTTGTTATATGTTTAAATTATGTTAATTACGTAGTATATTCGTGTGAAATAGTTTTTTTTCTTGTTAAACGGGTGTTTAGTTTGTTATTAGTTTAGAAAGAATTGGTCAATTAGGTAGCATGTTCATAAGTTATAGTTATTATATTAAAATGGTGAATTAGGTAGCATGTATTTAGTTTGTTATTACTATATATTATGTTAATTAATTATCTTTAAAGTATAACATCTTTATATCGGATTATATATTATGTTTTTGTTTATAATGAATTATTTGTGGTTTAATATTATTATAGTTAATTTAAGTTATGATATAATTCATTTTTAATGTGTGCATGATAGGTTTGATCAGAGGATGGACATGATTATAGTTCGGCTTTTGCTACAGACAAGAATTTTGGCACGAAGCCTGAAGCTATTCCATATGTGAAGGGTATTGCAAATATGTACAACATGGAGTTAAGTGTATCCTCGCACAAGGATAATAATATTATACTCCTTTGTCATAAAGGAGGCCGGTACCAAGGTCAACAGGTGGATGAAAACATGCACGCCAACCCAATACAAAGACACAGATGACCAGATGCCAGTTTCGAATTACTGTCTACAAAATATATGATAGGTGGGCGATCCGTGTATATCCCGGTCCGTGGGGACTGCACAACTATTTATTGAAAGATCCGCCTCGGGTTAGGAGGCCACTGAGTGCAGAAGTGAAAGAGCTTATTCAAGAGTATTCTAAAGCTGGGACTAAGGCAGTCCACATTTTACGGACGATATGGACACAATTTCCTGATAAAAATGTTACCTCCAAAAAAGTCTACAACTACAGAAATCAATTGCGTAAGGAGGGATTTCCAATTTTGGATGACATGGCTTCCATGGACGTCGTGAGAAAGGTGTTAGAGGTTGCAGAACGACACAAATACATCATCTTCATGGAGTGCGATGAAGAGACACAGAGGTTATCCCACGTGTTTTTTGCTTATTCGGATTTTTTGTTGCTGTTGCGCACGTATCCTTGGGTTGTTTGTGTAGACTTCACATACAACACAAACAAATATAAAATGCCTCTCGTGGAATTTGTTGGAATGACCCCGTGCAATCATACCTTCCTTATAGCATATGCTCTTCTGAGTGATAAGACGGTTGACAACTATCATTGGGCACTGTGGCAGCTCCGTAACTTGTACGGCGATGATCTGCATACGAGTGTCATCGTGACTGATCGGGAGCCTGGACTGATGAGGCCTCTTGATGATGTATTTCCATCATCACATCACTTGTTGTGTACGAGGCACGTTTGCATGGATGTTGAAAAAAATGTGAAAAGAATTTTAAACGTAAATGTGAGCGTAGCAAAAACTTTCGCATACAAGCCCTTTAAAACAGTGATCGAAGCTGCAAATCGGGAAAATTACGAAGAAAAAAGTGAAGTTTCTGGAGCATAATTGGTCCCAATTTCAACCCGTTCTAGAGTATGTCAAGAAGACATAGTTAGTCGTAGGGTTGTTCTTTTACATAAAACTGACCCGAACCGAACCGTTAGTTTGGATCGGTTCGAAATTGGGGCAACTTTCTTTTGGATCACTATGGTTCGGTTCGGGTTAAATTTCAGGTCTGAACCGAATTGATCCGAAAAAGAACTATTTTGTATCCGACAATGTCATCAAAATATTACGATGACATCATCTTGCCGTCGCCGGTTACCGGTCGCCAGAAAAATCGATCTTCCGGCAATATCGCCAAAATTTTTGGCCGGAAAAATCAATTTGCCGGCAACGTCGTCGGAATTTTTGGCTGAAAGTTGTTGCTGGCGGCTGTTGGTGGCAGTCTACGGCGGTCGATGGCGATCAACGTCGAAAATTATTGAAATTTATTATTTTTTTTGGTTTAAAATAATTCGGTTCCATTTGGATATTTACTTAACCCGAACCGATCCGAACCATTCTACTTTTTTAAATAATTGATCCAAACCGAACCGAAACTAAATGACCAGTCGACTTGAAATTTTCGGATCGGTTTCAGGTCGGTTTAGTTCGGATCATCGGTTCGACTCGAACCGTGGGTCAAAATGACCAGTCCTAGTTAGTAGTGGCAGACAAGTTTGTGAAGGCATTGACCAACACTTATTTTCATCTTAGCAACACCACTACTTATAGAGTGGAGAGCGCACACAAGTTGTTAAAGGTATGACTCGGCACAGCAAATGTTTCTTTTGAAACGGTTTCACACATGGTTCACATATTATTGGAAACACAGTTTACACAAGTACTGGATTTCGATGTTACATTCAAAAATATGGTTATAATATATATTATGTGTTTAGTTTATTTAAGCATTTTTTTTTCATTCCTCCACAGGGAGAAATTGCAAGAATCAAGGCAGAAAATAGGGAGGCAACACAACAAGTACGCTTTCTACCAATTGAAATGCAACGTTTCACACTACTGCTTGGATCTGTTGAACAATGAGTTGGAAAGGGCACAGTCACTCGGAGATGATGTGTTTTGGGAATGCAATCGCTACCTGAAGCGAACTCATTCGATCCCTTGTGCATGTATTCTGAAGCGGCTAATGGAGGACAACGAGGTTTTGACTCCAATACTTACACCAATTTTGGAGCACACTCGACATCGGTCAGGTTGCAAAGAAGGATAGTTCGGATATTGTCCCCTCACAGATTGTTGTTCAAGCAGTTAGTAGAAGAATTGGACGCTACTGAGGAGCCAATACAGTTCAAGATCACTAGATTGATGTACAACAAACTTCACCACGGCCAAGCCGAATCGAAACAACCGCGGGTTGGAAAGAGAGGCAAGAGCAAGCCGAAAAAATGAGGAATCTCAAAAAGAAAGCAAAACAAACCAAATGTGTGGGCTTACAGGGACGGCAGTCAGGGTGGACGAACACTAGCGGTTCCAGTAAAGCAGGTACCAGCAAAGGTACCTCGGGTCAAGGTGGGACAAACACTAGTAGTTCCAGTTGAGGCCATACGTCGGGATTTGAAGCTCATGTCGAAGGTATGATTTATATTTATATTTTTAAAAGTGCTAAATGAAACTAATTAAATTCATCATTTATATTTATATTTATATTTCATTATTTTATTAAATTCTTATATTTAATCCAGAGATAATGAAACTAATTTACTTGGTGACAGATGTGATGCAGACAGAATTTTTCAAATTTAGGCATAAGAATAAGATTCCATGTTCAGCCATATCTTGATGTCCAGCCTGACGGCAATTGTGGTTTTCGCGTCATTGCGAGTTGTATGTTGAGGGCAGAATAATTATGTTTTGTGCAGACAGATAGTGTTCGATGAGGTTATAAATAATCTTGGGCTTTACGAGAACCTTTACGGGCATGACAAGTTTTATTTTGAGATCCTATTTAATACACTTGCATCAATGTGATTTTATTTAACACTTTTCTTTACTTGCCTTTGTAGATGGGATAAATTACCTGAAAACCAAGAGCATATACAGTGGACTGGTATAAGTGAAGGTCACTTGATGTCGACAGAGGACTTTTTATCCCATTGTTACATATTTCAATGATATTGTGTACTACTTCAGGACAAACGGCGCTACAAATCTAAACGGCACATGTTGGACTGTGCTACCACTCATCGCACGGGCGGGGCAACAAGACCAGAGTTCCAGATCGTTATTTGCCACCTTGAGCCCTACCAGCACTTCATTCGAATCAATCTGCAGGGTGATTTTCCAATTCCACCTATTCACCCTATTTAGCATCACGACCGTGATAGTAGTGTTATTGGTTGAGAAGTACCTCTTGAACCCCAAATGCAACTATGGCGTACTTTGGTCCCACTGGATAGCCCGAGAAGACCCAGACGGTCATTTGTTGATCTCGGGTGATATATTGTTTTACATTTGTTTATACAAATATGAAATATTTTATACGTTCTTTCCATGTCTTTTCATTCATTTTTAAATGAAATGAAATTGAAAATCAAAATAAATCCAAAATGTTTACAACAACGAAATCGTAACATACTTCAAATCAGCACAATACGTGCAATTGATTAAAAAAAAACAAGAATCAATAAATTTCCATTAACCAAATTCTTGATTAAAAAAAAAAAAAACAAGAATCAATAAATTTCCATTAACCAAATTCTAACCAAAAGAGTCGAATGTCATAGGGTTTGACTGTGACGAAAGATGACATCATTCAGGCGAGTATCCCACTGCAGACCAAGATCCAGATCGAGTTTCTTCAAATCTTCGATACAACCTCGACTCAACCTCTCCATTTCACGCATCCACTACAAATATTATTTAAAAACATATTAAACGCTATCATATTACGTGTGTTATTAAAATAAAATTCCATTGAGTGTTGAACTTACGTAAGTGGTGCAGTTCTTAGCTGGTATCTCTGACGTATACGAGACGAACGTCGGCAGTATGAATGGATGTGAATGACTCCTGTACCAGTCGAGGTACTCTACAGCTGCATGTCCTACCTGCATAGACGATACCGGCATACAATGATTGAGGCTGATGCACTCCGATTCCGGAAATCTAACCCAACAGTTACTGGTCTCAACACTCGGACGATCAACAAAATACTTGCGCGCATTTTTCCCTCGAAACTGAGTGACCGGTGTGAGCGGCGCACGGGGTATATACTGTATGTAACCGAGCTGACGTAGCACTCTCTCCGGCATGTATGGCTCCTGGAAGTTGCGGTACATAATCCACCCACTGAAGATGGTCCTCGGATGTGAGGCTGCCTGTTCGCGACCGAATGGCTCCCATTCGACCTGCGAATGTTAACAAAAAATATTATATAGTATAATAAAATACCCTTTACGCAATACAAAGAAATAAAATATAACCATTACCTCTTGCTCAGTCATCGCATCGAGTTGTACACGAATCTGCTGGAGTCGACTCTGAATAGACTTCGGGCCCTTATAGCTAACTGGTGTCCAGTCTCGGGCTCTGGGCCAACCATCAACACCTCGACGTCCCCGCCTCTTAGAGGGCTGAAAGCATGGAAAATATTCATATATCCATGCCTGGAGAAGGGTCAAACAACCAGCCATCGTGGTACACCCTGCTCGACTAGCAATCCCAAGCTGACGGTAGAGAAATGCTAGCGTACCGGATCCCCATGAGTAAGTTTCAATATTTTCGACACCTCCGTGGAGCTCGTTCACAAGCGAAGCACTAATCCTGCCCTCACTCCCGTCGAGGAAGAGTGTCGAGGCTAACAAGATCCACATCCAAGCTTGAACCTGAACAACGGGAAAGAACTTGCGACAACTCTCCTCGACCAATATGTCACTCACACCTCCGTGGCTCCATGCACGCTTTAAGTCAGCCATCGGCAACCCAAGCAATCCTGCGACCTGCATCTTCAATATTTCCACTTCCGGAGGTTCGATCAACAAGTCACCCTCAACTGGAATCGCCAAAATGTGTGCCACATCATGCATCATGATCGTCATTTCCCCAAACGGCAAGTGAAAAGAGTTTGTGTCGGGCTGCCACCTCTCTATGAATGCAGAAATAAGCGCAAGGTCAATGTCATCATACATGGTATCAATCAGATGATACAAACCGGTATTCTGAACTTTCAATTGGGCGTTCTCCGGCAACTTCTTATACCATCCACGCAATCTAGACAAACTCTTATTCGCTGGCTTCATCGTCAGGTAATCCCTTGGTTCTCCATTCCACAACTGATAAGCAGTGTGCCCAAGAAAACTAGGAATCACTGACCCATCATATGGCCCGCCAGGTACGTCATCCGTCACAACCCAATCATCAATTTCGTCATTAGAAACCTTAGACCGTCTGCTAGTACCTGAAACCGAATAAAGAATAGTTGGTTAATACTTAACTTTAATGCAATAAAGAAATTGACATCGCAATAATGAATGCTTAAATAATTACAAATACGTACCTGATGACGTCACAACTGCCTCAGGACGGCAAGAGGCACCAATGGAGGTAGCACCAAAACGGGAACGGGGCTGACTAGTCTGAGGGGGGTGCGACGAAGTCCCGCCAAAACGATGCTGGGGGTCGACATTGTGAAAAGTACTATTAGGACCTCCAAACAAAATGCCCTGCGGGCTGGTATCATAAAGAGTAGTACTAGGACCTCTAAATAGAGCACTCTGTGAGCCGGCATGATGAAGAGTAGTACTAGGACCTCTAAAAAGAGTACTCTGTGGGCCGACATGATGAAAAGTAGTACTAGGATCTCTAAAAAGAGTACTCTGTGGGTCAACACGAAGACTAGAATTACCGAGAGTGTAAGCTGAATTCAACCCCGATAATCCAACAAGGGTCTTCTGCTCCCGATTAGGGTGAACTGGAGTCTGATCATCAGTACGACCAATGGGATTCAGTACTGGGTTACCTCCAAAATGTATATCCTTCCTCTCAAGCGAGGAATACTCGTCTGACTCATCCTCCTCATCCACATCGTCCCCCCCACTCTCAAAACTATCCTCATCTTGTTCTTGCTCTCTCTCAAACTCATCATCATCATCATCATCATCATCTACGTTCGCCGACTCACCAGGTGGGGCAAACGTAGGATGTACATTTTTCTGTTTCTTTAAATTTTTCTCTTTTTCTATACGATGTTCAGCATATAGATTGCGCCTAACTGTATGACGATTACCAGATCCCTCAAGAGGCAATATCCCATCCTACAAAAGTTTTAAATTTTACATGTAACTTTAAATAATGCTGATTACTTTCCAAAAAAAATTGTTTTTATACCTAGTTAATAAAACTAAATAATAAGTTATTAATTTAGGTTAATTACTTTAATACATTGTTATATTATTTAAAAACCTAATTATATAAAATTATCTATTATACAATCTTAAATGTTTAATTTATTAAATCTACTAAATACAAGTAACAATAATTCAAAATATACTTCAATTAATTAAATTATCGACATATTTTATTATTTACTTTTAACCAAAATATAATTTAACTTTTTTTATATTTAAATAATTTTTATTTATTTAATTTTCATATACTAAATATTTAATATCTACGTATCACATATTTTTTAAGGCTAATTATAATTAAACTAACTAATCCTACAAACAAATTTTCAATAATTAAATTAATTATAATAACTTTCATAATTTTTCAAATTAATTTAAAAAAATTAAAGCTCCCTAAAACTACTATTGAATTCCTAAATATGAATATTATTAATAAATTATTTACTTAAGATTAAACATATTAATAAAAATGTTTCTTAAATAAATTAAACTAATAAAAACAAATTCGTAAGATTTATAATTACTAATAATAACAATTAAATTAAAATAAATAATTACAAAATAAATACTAAAAAAAATAAACATACCCGGCACCGACACAGACCAGCGCCGGATAATAACGCCTGGCGAGATATTTCTCGCCCCACCCCCAAAGAGTGGCGAAGATATCTTTGCCACCCTCGCCCCGTCCGGCGAGGAAACCGTCGCCGAGGTAAGAAGAGCCAGCGCGGAGATCCGCGCCAGCTCTGTTATGGGTGGCGACGAATTTATCGCCACACCTTACAGAGCTGGTGCGGATCTCTTGCGCCGGCTCTATTTGCCCCAACGAGGTTCTCCATCGCCGGTCGGGAAAGTGTTTTTTTTAAGAAAAAAAAAACCTCAAATTTGAATTTAAAACTCAGATCTGAACGTAACTTGAGCTTCCGTATTTTTTTCCGTAGCCGTTTCATTCGTTCCGCTATAAAATCTGAGTTTTTTGGCTTTAGGAATGAGAGAATTTGAAACGAAAGATTAATTTAAGAATTGAAATAATGAATTAAAACTAAAAATTTATAAAATTTGATAGAGGTAAAATGATCTGTTAATACTCCCTCTGTCCCAAAATTATTGTCCAGTTTGAGATTTCAGTTTTAGTACAAATTGAACTAGAAATGAAAACTCAAACTGTACAATAATTATGGGATGAAGGGAGTATTAAATTAGGGCGCGCTCAAAAGAAAGAATTAGGCGCTCAACAGTCCCAAGTAATTAAAATCAATGACATCCTATGAATTTCAAAATCCATAGCCTACAAAAATTTAAATCAAAGCCCTAAAACCAGAACATCAAAACACGGAAAAGAACAATATTCTGAGGCATGCAAACGGCACTTGAATTCTACTTACAATCAATCAACAAGGAACCAGTGTACCTGGGGAGAAGCATAATAATTTTTGCTAAGAATACGTCCATGACCCACAAGTCCATTAGCTTCCTCCCAGATTCTAGATTGAGATTTTATGGAGGAATTCTTCCGCCTTAGGTTGCGTAATCCTTCCCTCGTGATTGCTTCTGCTCCTAGATCCATGGGGGAAAACTTCCTCTCTCTTCAGGGGCTGGCGGAGATGGTGTTCAGATTAAATATTGGGAAAATACGGACAAGTTATCAAAACAAACATTCCTACCTAAATTTTCAGACCGATACACAACCGAATATTCCGATTAAGTTTCCCATGAGAAAGACAACTTGTGGTTACCTCAACTTTAAAGAAATCCCAAATTGAAACCGAAAAAAATTTAATAGATAGAGAAACGCGGGAAGAATCAAATTGAATCGCATAACCGAATAATACCGCAACCAATTAAAACTAATCAAAAAAAATTACGATAAAAAAAAAAGAATGACAAACCCGATATTTGAAACCCAAAGCCACGGCGTAGAGGGCGGTCGCCGGCAGGAGAGCTGCTGTGTGTGTATATATGTAATCGAATCGCACGCGGACTATAAAAGACGGACATCCAAAGATCGGCTGGCCCATATGGTGACTGAGCCCAATCCTCAGCCCCTTTTTATGTGTAATGGAGGGGTTTGTATTATTTTGGGAATTCTAACATTTAGTAACAAACTATCCTACAGGGATAGATATGAGTTCAAAATGTCTCATCTAATCATGACCCAGACTGTTTAATCAAAACTAGAGAAATTTGGACTTTTGGCAAATTTCTATAAGGCATACAAGGCGATGGAACAATGTCTTGGCGAAATTTGGACTCTCTTATCTAATTAGGAAACGTATTTTGCCAACGCTTCCCTCTAAGATTCAAGAGAAACTTGTTAAGAATAGAGCATCGTCATCCCTTCCTTCTCGGGATGCTTTTGTAATATTAAGCCTTTTAGCTCCATTATATATACTCCTTCCGTCCCATAATTATTGTCCAATTTGAGTTTTCATTTCTAGTTCAAATTGTACTAAAAGTGAAATTTCAAATTGGACAATAATTTTAGGACAGAGGGAGTATTAAAAAAAAAAAACAAACTAGAGAAATAATACGAAAGTTGGTCCTATACTCTGATAAGTTTATGAAAAAATTGTTTTGCATTTTGGCAAGTCTTACAACGCAATCCATAATTCCATACAATGTTAAGTTTGTGAATGCCATTTGTTTTTTTTTTTTTTTGTTCATATCCATATTCCAAAATCAAAACCAATATCTAGACTAACGGTCTAAGATTTAATTACTTTGAAGTTATAAATGTTTTCATTTTTGTACTCATATGACAATTTTCTTTTAACTACATGATAAATATCAAAAAATAGAATTTCACTATCTTTTAACTATACGATACTTGTCTCGAGTAATAAATATAGACTTGTAATCGTAATCACATCCGACCCTTATTACATATTAGGTTAAATGACAAGTTGCAACCAAGTTTACTATACGTGGGCCGGTATATTTTTAGCATATTGAGTCTTAACATAATCTCATCTTTTATCCTTCATCTCTTAATAAATTATAAATAAAAAAGTAGATTTTTTCCCCAAAAGTTGAAGCAAAAGTTACTATTATCCATAATTTACATGTAAAATTTATTTTCTCAAAATCAAATTTATATATAATTTTTTTTTTTCACAAGAAAGGAGGCAAAAACCTAATTCAATAAAACACTACGTGGATCAAGACACTCCTATCATATAAATCACCCATTATAGTGGTCTGGCAATTATCCGAAAAAGATTACTATATTCAAAAATACGGTATCTAAATAACATAAGACGGGAATCCTTATTTGTGGCCGTGAAGGTGTCTAAGTTAATTTGCCCAAATCGATTTCTTCTCTCCGACAACCCATCTTTTTCCTCTCTACAGGTTTCTCCAATGTTGGCCACATCCGATAGGCAACCACACCAACTGGCTAACGTACCACCGCACAAACGTATTTATTCATCGGATTCGTAGGGGTGCTTGGCTTTTCTTCTGATGACCGCGCGGCGGAGGCGGAGCAGCCAATCTTCTGTTCCTGGCCCCATGTGTCAATGGATACTTCGGCGTTGTTTTCCCCAATATAGAGGTCAGTAAGGTGAGAAATTTCTCTCTCTAGGTTCCTAATGATTGGGAACCTACAATTAATTTATTAGAGATTTGAAGAAATTATTTGTTGGGTCAACTTAATTCTTCAACAAAATGATCGGTTGGGTTCCTCAAACTTGTTGCATCTGAGTTTAATATGTTGCGGAGACTAGATTAATCATCTAGAGTAGAAGAAGAAAAGACTACAATTTACGGAGCTTTTCTCTTCCATTTTCGTTGGATTTTAGTGAGCATCGATTTCCTTCTACCTTAATTGTGGGGTTTGAAGTAAATGGATCCAATTAGAACCAATTTTTAATTTCCGGAAGTGGAAGTCTTGTTTGCATGTTAGTTGTTTGAATTTAGGTCTTAATGATTTTTGATAAGGATTATTTTACTATTTATCTATTCAGCGTGCTTAATCGGAACTATTTTTGCTCTCACTGTGAACTTTTCTTTGGCTCCCTTTTCAGTGTTGCTCGATTTTTTAAAAATGAAAGTCAATATATTTCAAATACGAAGTGAAATTGAAAACAATTAAATTAGATGCGATTTCCAAATTATCCTTTATCCCTGGTATGTGGATTGTAGTTGCTACATATTTTACCAATGTCTTGGGGCTACATTAGTGTATGCTGGGTGTTGATTCACTAATTACATAAAACGGTGAGAAGAGTGATTATACTTTATTTATTATTCACTGTTACATTTTGAACATATTGTGTACACGGTTGATTATTTTCCAATCAAATTGCAATAAATTAGCCAAATGGCAGCAATTTAGTGAGTATTTGATTATTGGTATTAGAGAAACTTTTTGCATTAGTTTTGGCCTATATTTGGCGAAAAAAATATCTTGTTGCTTGTCATTATTTTCTTTGAAAAGTGTTTGCTTTTTGGTGCATTTGAAGCAATAAGGTTGTGCACTCTTCCTCTGTTACAAAAATTAGCTAATTTGAAAATGATTAAGGGACTGTTAAATGAGAATTTGACATACTCAATTTAGTTTGACTGAAAATGTAAGAGGATGTAGAGTTAATGGATTACTGCACTCTTTTTCCTCCATAAAGCAGCCAATTCCATGGTTCAAATGAGTGTATCAAGTTACTTTTGATTTGTTGTTCAAAAGAGAATCCTATTCTCTCCAAGTTTTCATTTGGTTTTCTTTGATTATTGTCCAGACTTTTATTTAATTTGGTTCTAGAAATTGGAGCTCAACCAGCATGTTATTTTATTGATAATTTTAGTAATTCAATGATGAACTTAGTAAGAAGTTTATTCAGGGTCTTAATTGGGCTTTTTATTTCTTGATGAAGTTTTCCCGTACCGTGATGTGTTTGATCCGAGTAGTCTAAAGTTATTGTCTATAATTATGAATTTTGATATAGAATTACAATGCTTCAACTATTTAAATAGTGAATTATTGCAAGTTTCAGTTGAATGAAATTTTGGAAAGTCTAATTTACAGTAAGGATTGGATATACCTTGATTCTTTAAATTTTTTCATGTGGTTATAATGATATGGGATTCGCATGAAATTTTCCTTAAGTTATACTTTAGAAAGAACTTCAAATCAATATTTGGAATCAGCGGAACATGTCTTGGCGTTGAATTTAATTTGAGTTGTAGTGGTGTCACTCAATTGTGTCAGAAATGGGAGTCCATTTGGTTGCATGTGAGATGTTTCATTATATGCGTTTTATAGATGAACAAAACCAATATCGGTGAATCCAATTTATTTATAAACACCAAGAGCTCCTCTTTTCATTTCATGCAACAATCTGATTATTCATAAGTTTGGGGTTAGGACGTGGTATTGTAATCAGAGAAATTCTTTTGTTGTTAGCTTTTGTCCTAAACTGGCATAGAGTTTTTAATTGGGTTTTTTTTTTTGGTGTGGAGTAGCCTTCCATTAGAGCTAACCGTGTTGCAACGTGAGTTTGATTATTTGTGTGCTAGATGTTTGATTATACACATGAACAAAGGTATCGTTATAGAATTTTGATTGTGCTAATTTATGTGATTGAACATTCTTTGTTCCAGTATCCTGTACCTTTGGAATCATTTGTGCTGGTATAATGGACTTCCCTTGTGCTTATTGGATGCCTGATGCACTGAGCTTCCAATTCAACTACATTCCTCAGAAGTTGCTCAATGGACAATGATATCTAACCAGTCAGAGCTTCCAATTTCAAAGGCTTCTGCAGTTGATTGATGTCTCGGATTCCCGCCAGCCTCCAAACTTAAGACGAGAATGAACATGTCCAAAAAAGGTGAGCAATAGAGATGTTAGCTGGATTCCAGAAGGTGAAGGACCATTATTGCATCAAGCTTAATTAGGTTCTTTGGACCTGACAGGGAGCTTGTACAACAAAACCTCCATATGAAATGCTTAATGCGAGGAGGGTTTCGAAGTTTCCAAATGTGCTTCCAAATATGATCTGTGCTTTAGGTAGCCAAAAATTCCCAGACATGATCTGTTGCCATGATTTTGGGTGGACTGGCTTAAAAATTGTTGAATGGAGCAGAGACAAGAAAGAGAGTGCAGTTTGGTTTTGTGAAATCTTTATACTATTTATTGTCCTTGATGTTGTACTCATACAAGAAAAGACCGAACGGTATATTTGATTCAATTTGATCATAGATGTGGAAAGTCAAATAGTGGCAAGAGTGAACTTGAAAGCATAATTTCATAAAGTAAAAATACCAGAGCGTAAAAATACTAGAGTTTTTACATTCGACTTGAGTCTACTCAAAATTAATATTTCTAAAGAAAGTCAATTACTTCAGAGTGTCACTGCTCGACTTGAAATAACACATCCGTGTCACTGCTCCCCGGAAGACCGCACCTCCACCTCATCTAGTATATACAAGACCTTAATAAATTTCTACCCAAAATATATTTTAAATCACATCTTTTAGGGGTGGGAACCGACGTACATTGCGTTTTTTTTCTGCCCAGACTTCCCGTCTTGTTTTTGCCTCGAACCACCACCGCCACCGCCACCTGCACCGCGACCGCGACCGCGACCGCCACCGTCACCGTCGTATCCATAGCCGTCTCTATTTGAGATGCTGAAGTTTTGCCACCGTTAACGCATTGGCCAAGTCCGATAATCGACGAGGTGAGTCTGCTATTTTGCCCTTTAGGCTTTCCTCATCCTTTTTATTGGCAAGGGGAGAAGTTGGTTTGTTTTGAAAATTGCACGCGTTTAGTGGTTTTGAAAATTTGGATAGATTCTGAGTTTCAAGGTCATTGCAGTGCACGAATGTATGCGACTTAGCTCGTAATTTCATAGTCTAGGTCTAGCTCTGCAATTACATTGTTCCCATTATCTATAGTCACCAGCTGTATGCAGTTCCTTACTCACCATCTTTCATGTTGCTCAATTTCTCTTTTTTTTTTTTTTTATTAACAATCGAAATAACAACTAGTTATCTTGTGCAGGTAATCATTCCATCCAAAGTAGGGTTTGAAGGCTGAGTTGAAAGGAGGGAAAACAATGTAAGTGAAAAAGCATTCATCAATTTGTTAAGATTTTCTCTACGTTGTGAATCTGTGGTGTATTAGGTTATTAACCAACATGTTTATTGAATGGTTTGTGATTTACAGTTTACCAAACTTGTTTGTCGATGATTGTTTGTTTCTGAATTTTATGATTTTTCATATTAATGTTGGCTTGCTGTTCTGGTGATCAGGGGCCGCATTCATTTAGAAGTTCGGTGTTCCAAGGAAGTTAGAGGAATTGCATGTGATCCTGACCCTGATTGGAGCTTTGAAGGGCTTATTTCGGAGCTTAGTGAACTTGAAAACAAGCTGACATATAATTTAAAGATTTCCTCTTCTTCTGCTAAGACTGATGGCCGGTATGCATGTTTTTTGGGTATAGTTATTTGGGATCCTAGGTGTTATGAGCCTTTGGTTTTAGAAGATTGCATATAATGTATTTGTTTGGAATGAGCAGAGAAATTTCCAAGTCAAAGAACAAAGAAGTTCAGAAGTCAAAGGACAATAATAAAGGTTCAAGGGCTTTTGTGATGCGACTGTCAGATGAAGATTTTGAGTTTGATGATCATCGAGATGAGAAAGTTATTGTTGGGGGTAGGAGATTTGCTTGTGCGGAACTCTTCCTCAGGTTTGCTTACTTATTGTTGTTGTCTTCTGTTATTAAGATTTTGCCTCTGTTGAGGATAGATTATGTAAATTCAGGAACTGATACCGAACTTTAATTTACTTGTGAATTATTAGTTGCATCATGTGTTCGTCGCATTTTTAACGTTAACATTCTTCATCATTTTCATAGCTAAAACATCTATAATAATATGAAGATGCTATTTCCATTTTCTTCAGGTTGCTTATCATGACCTCATTCTTTGTTACTTATATTATCTGTATGTTCTTGTTCTAGTGACAATGAAGATTCCGATGATGATTCAGTGGTTGGGGTTGAAACCAAGTTGATGCCTCGTGCTAGCTTAGTGGATCGTGCTCTTTCAGAAATAACTAATGACCGACAACTTGCCATCATGGTATAATTTACCTACTGAGATAAGTTTTTCAGTGAAAGATTTCCTTTTCTTTTCAATTGTCAAAGCATGCCATGAATATCACTCAGGTTCTAACATTATCCAGTCGGCTTTGGTTTCTTTATGTCTCTCTTGCATATTACGGTATCACTAGATTCTAGTTTTCTTCTTTTTGTTTCCTTTTGAGTGTTTATTTTTTGGAAGCCTCCTGATTCTGATATATAATTTTATTCTGTTTCTGAAGTTACTCGGTTGTAGTTTTTCATGTTTGTGCTTGCTCAGATTTTGAAGTTTAAGTGTACATCCAATCTCCTGATCCATTTGATTGATTTTTCTATCCTATGTTTGGGATTTACCAACTTATTTCATGATGTAAATAGGACAAAATTAGAAGCCATAAGATGGACTTGGAAATGACTCTGCTAAATGAAAATGAGAAGTTTGCCTCTAATCTTGCTAATACTGAGAAAAACGCCGAAAGAAAACGTGATAGAGAGAGGAATTTTGATCGGCAGTACCAAAGGAAAATGTAAGTATTCTGATTCTTTCTGTGAACGAAAATATGCTAGTATCTAATGAAGTCCAGATTAAGTTCCCTCATATTCCCTATAAAAACATATTGCTAGAGTAAGAGAAAAGTTGACAATGGATTATATTCTTTTAGTGCAGAAGCATTGGATACTCATTTGACCGCTGTACAGAGGGATCATGAGCAAAAGTCACAAATAGAAGAAAGAAGAATAATAGATGCAAAAGTTCGTGAAGAGGCCCAGAGAAAGGAAAGGGAGGAAAGGGAGAGAGAAGAGAAAAGGAGACAAGAAAAGATTAAAGCTGACTCTGAGGTTTGTTTACCTAATTTTCTCTAAGATCTGAATTTGCTTACCTTTTTTCATCTCAAATGTTGCATATGCTCCATGTTAAGATACTCTAACTCAAATGCTCGAGCCAGATGTCTTCCCCTGCTCTCTTTTGTGTTACATTGCATTGATATGCTTACTGAAGTATTCGGTTTTACTTTCGGTGGGTGGTTATCTTTACTGTACTAGTAGTTGTCGCAAAGAAACTAATATCCGGCCTCGAAATAATTGGGTGGAGTGGATTAGCTAGTTGAGGGATGCAATAAGTTTTAGTTTAGTATTTTCTCTGTTCAAATGTTTTTTGTGTCTACTGTTTCTTGCTAATGGTTTTAATATAGGATGTGATTGTTTTCCTCTTCCTTTTAGAAAGAGAACCAATAAAAAATGCTTTATGATTTCTGTTTGTGTTGTCATTAAATGAATAATAAATTTGAGATCTGGAAGTTGGAATGAATGAACATTTGTGCTTAGGTCCCTCTGCCTTCCCTTGTTTTTCACAATGCAACTATTTCATGGGGTAAGGCCTTTGTTATCATCTTTGTTACAGATTTGTCCGCGGTGTGTTTCATGGTTACTATTTGCCTACAAGATGTGCTTTATTTATTTATTTATTTTTCCCCTTCCATTTCTTTAATCTTTTATGACCATCTAGTTTTTTTCTTCCCTTTGGGTTGTTTATTTGTGCCGATGCTTTAAACATTCTATTCAGAGACGATGTCAAAATTTCGCTGAAGATTATGAGAAACATTACTTTCAGTTACATTTTTCAGCTGCAGGCGAGAGTAGAGGCTGAGAGAGCTGAAGCCGAAAAGAAAGCTGCATCATTAGAAGCCGAAAGGAAAGCAGCAGCATTAGAAGCCAAAAGGAAAGCAGAAGAAGCAGCACAGCAGCAAACTTCTGTATTGCAGAGTTCTCTTTCTCAGTCAACCGAAAGCGTATGGCGAACAGGTACCTTATGCTCTTTCTTTGTTTGATTTCTAGTTTGGAAATGTTAAACCTAATTTTGGCATTGGAGAACATGATAATTTGGTTTCATCTGTTTTTCATTCTCCTTATTCCTTTCTACTAGTTCTTTGGTCCCAAAATCTGAACAAGAGGAGGAGGGTCGTGTTAGGTTGACATTAAATAGGCTGGCAGGAAAAAGACTTCTTGTTGTATTTTATAAAGTCAAGGACTTTGGTTCAGCATTAGAGTAGGGTGGTTGTCTAGGATGAATAATGTTCTGATTGTTTAGTTGGTGCTGTCTTGGTGTCACTTTAACTAAATAGTGGTTTGTGGCTTCTAAGTTGGTCCGAACAATATTTCAATGCGAGTAATTGGTTTTGCACCTCAGGATCAAAACTATAGTTCATCTTCCTGCATCAGAGACTATGGGTACAAGATGTTTAATTTTAGTTTAAAATGTTCATTTGGTTGCAGGCAATCTCGTTAAAAGTACAGAAACAGCTATAAAAATTGAAGAAAAAAGATTGCAGATGTACGACAAAGTTTGTGCCGATAACCGTGCCTTGCAAATGAGTACTAATATGGTAGGTAAATACAGAGTGACTCAATGACTTCTGCACTCTCTTTGATCCATGTGTTGAAATATATGACTCAAATGACATTAGGAAGAATGCCAATGTTGATGTTGCTATAGAAACAGGAAACTTGTACAATTTTGGCCCAAAACCTATGTCATTTTGAAATGTATGACTCAAAGACCTTAGGAGGGGTGACAGTTTTGAATTGCTGTAGTATCAGGAAACTTTTTATGTTTTGGCCCGAAAACATAGACCATTTATCTGCCAGCTTTGTGTCCTTGAACAACCCATTTCGCATATTCTCTTACGTATGCAAATCTATAGTTCATCAGTACCAAAGTCCTTATCTAGATCACTGTTTGGTGAAACTAGTGAAGAATGCTGCCTTTAATTAATAACTAGGCAGTCTGCACTCAACACTAGTTTTTGTAGTTATTTACTATACATGAACTGATGGTACTTTTTTTTTTTTTAATGTTAAACTCTGTTATGATTCTACCTTGCTGGATCACGTTTTATTTGCTAGTGATGAGAGGTATATGTATGCAGGATTATAATGCTCATGAACGGAACATAAAAAGAAATATCCGGACCATGAGGGGATCACAAAAAAGTGTCAGGTAAGTTGTTGAATCATGACTTCAAAATCTCCATTCTAATCTTGTCCAACTCTTATGAAAGAGTAGTTTTAATGATTTTGCCCCCTTTTCCCTTCTTTTCTTTTGCAGTGATAAAGCAGAGGCATTACTTCATCTAATTAATCAACAATCTGTTCCCCAGTCCATCAGTATCATGATGTTTGTGGATATGGTAGTATTTATTAGTTTCAGATTGTTATATTTTGTGTGATGTCTGTGGCATTCATATTTTATGTGTGCATATTCTCAGAGCCAAGCTTTATACAAGTGAAATGGTACCTTACTGCCTCTTTGATCTTGACGTGACAGATCGTTGCCCAGTGCAATAAACCTACGGACAATAGATCTCTTTATGCTTATGGTCAACTCGCTGTCCTTGTTGCTTCACAGGTGAGGTACCTGTTTTTCTTCAGTTTGATATAGCTAGTACGAGAAACTTGACATCCCTTTTTTCTTTCACTTAAGCATTTCACATATTTGATCTTTAAAAGGCTCAGCTTAAAAGTCAATAGTAATTTCCTGAAAAGTGAGTGCAATCTGATGCAATTAGCTAATCTCAGATGGTTACCATCTTAGAATAAGTTTTTTTACAGCATTGTGTATTATTTAACTTGACAATAGGTGCCACCTGTCATGGACATGCTGATTGCAAAGTTGAACAGAGTATGCATCTACACTGTTCCCAAACACATATCTTACTCGAAGGTAAATACCACTCTATTGATTTTATTTCACAATCATCTTATTGCAGCCCCATCTGTGAGGCCTCAGTAAGAGACATCTAGGTTTTAACCATCTTTATATTTCCAGTCTGTATTTACAACTCACGAAGAATACTACAATGCAATTGGTTTTGAACAAGAAGAGGACGGAAAGATTGAAAGTGTGGATAGTTTTATTGGGCGCATGACGTCTTGCATGAAACTATATGGTGCCATAGTCCAGGTCTGTCATCTATTTTATTTTATCTTGGCACAGCTATTCCACAATTGCATAGTGACGTGGCTGACTCAATCTACCTGTTCTGCCAGACTGAGGTTCGGCGTTTCCAAAACTTGCACGGCATTGAAGAAGGTTGGGCATGGCTTGCTAGGTTTTTGAATGCTCTCCCGCCAAATTCATACACAGCAGTTGCGCTTTACTCGTTTATAGAAGTAAGTTGATTCAGAAACATCTCAACAAATTCCTTACAATATATCTTATTTTTCCTTGAATTTTAACAATTATTTTTGTTTTTCTTGACCAGATGGCAGGATATGCTCTGTATAAAAGGTTCAGAAACCAATTCATGAAAGTATTACAAATTATAGAGCGAGATTATCTGGACGTATTACCAGAAGACCTAAAGTCGACCACAGCGATGCATAATTTTCGTGATTATCTGAGGTCAAAACAGTTTCTGAATGAACCAGAAGAAAGGCAATTAAAGACCGAGGTCTTGTCTAGTGCTGTTGAGTTTTACTAGAACTGGCCATCATCTTACTTTCTGCATGCTCGTCTGGGAGGTTGACTGGGCTGGATCGGATGAAAGCGCAAAATCACTGTAACCTAGTTTCTGGAAGCATTAGAATGTAGTATAAAAGTATGGTGTTTCATTAGCTGAAGATAGTGTCGTAGTTTAACAAACATATATATATATATATATATATATATATATATATATTTGTGTTGGTGGAATACTAATCTTATCAGAGCTGGACATGTAACTTCAGTTCATACTGTTTCCATCATGCTGTATAATTTAAGCATGCAGTGTGTGTTTGTCCATTCGATAAATTTAGTAATTATGATGGTTTATATGGAAGAAAGTTGCTAACTATCCAACTTTGGTAAACTCTTTTTAAGCTGTTTATATTGTTCAGAACAGTGGATGGGAGTGTGATTCTTACAGCTGCGCAGCTATAGCAACCCGGTTCCCCCTTCTTCCAAAATTAAACAAATAAAACTCATCCTCACCAAAAGTAAGGTAGAAAAGGGGCTAAAAGGAAACATATAGAATCAAGAAGGATGCTGCAGGGATGAATCCTGATCTAGCAAAATTCTACACAGATAATAGCTAACCCGGAGTGAACCAAACACATATGAAATGACCTTTTCTGACTGCTGAAATAAAATGTATGTCCCCTCGGGTATATAGATGATTTAGGATGGCCCTTGCGCAAGGATGACACAAACCGAGGTAACACAAATCCGATCTTCTGGCCAAGCTTCTTAGTACAATCGATGACGTACAGCGGAGCGATTTTGAGGGTTCTTATGCCCAGTTTTGAAAAAAGAGTCGAGCTGGTCATCTAATCCATAGCCATCCAAGTCAGTCTTAGATTAAACAAAACCTCAAAAAAGAAAGACTGCACTAAAACTCAAGTTACACTTGAAGAAGCAAGCTAGAAGATCGTGTACACATGCAACTACACTGAAAGATAATCCTTTCAGACTTAGGTACAAAATTGTATCTGTGGCCCTCTCGTTAAGTCTTTTCAATCAAAGTAGAGATCTCTAAATATGTTCTTTCTGCAAGGATTGTAAAGCCACCAATATTGGTTGTTCAAACCCATAATTGTTCCGCAGCTTGACTCAACAAGTCCTTCAATATTGAAAGGCTGCTTGAACCAGGATGATCATAAGTCTCTTTTTTCCAAGTTGCTACACTGTGCATGCACAGCAGAGCGCCCTTTGGAAAATCTGCACGGGCCAAGAACACTGTATAAGTTTGTCAACCGTCTGTGCATTACATTATCTCGAACGCATGCTTATCCATAAGGTAACTTGGCGATGGCGCCTTTTGGACGGTATGATCTGAAACTGCTGCTAGAAGAAGCTGAGCCATGGACAGGCGGAGGCAGAGGCATCCTGTTTGGGGCCTTGTAAGTTCGACATCTGAGTGATGATGACAATATTACTAGTGCGTACATCGATTGACATTTATATAGCAAATATCGGAGTTTTCTACAGCTGAAATGATTCTATAATTTTACGTACCCTAGTAGGTTGAGTTCAATTGTAGCCTTATATTGGGAAGGTACTTCCATGAGGGCGGCAAGTGCAAATTCTGCCTGTTTCCTCTGTGGATCCACATTTTTCGACATTATCTCCGTAAAGTTCACAAACTGTGACCAAAGAAAAGTGAGAGAAAACACATCCCAATTTCAACATATATATATATATATATATTTTTTTAAAAAAAATAAATAAAAAATAAAAAATCACCCCATAGACCCCACTTAAATGTGGGTAAAACCTCCCTTACAATCCCTGGGAATGAACCCTAGTCCATTACCAAGAAGGACATTAACCTAATCACTGGACTGCCATTCAATTCTCCTCAATTTCAACATATTTTAGTGCGGTTAAGACAAAGAAATAACTGAAAATCTTGCTGACCTGAAAATTATCGAATGCTCTTGCAGGGATGTTGTCATCAAACTCCCTCATCATATCCCAAGGACCATCTCCCACACCAACTAGAATGATAGACAACGGATATTCACTGCATTGTTGATGCTGATGAACATTAGTCTGGGTAAATTAATGCATTTTCATCACCTTTTCCCTTGGGGAAAGAAAAGAACTTTATATGATGTACCTTGCTTTGACGATAGCATGAACTGTTTTCTGCTCCTGAGGACTAATTTTACTTTTGGGAGTCTCAGAACTTCTCAGCTATACAGCAAAACACAAGTATCACAATGGTTTCGTTATTATAGTCCTAACAGTCTACAAAGCCATTTAAAAGGTTAAAATGCATAGACAGTGTAGGAATCACCTGGCCATCAGCAATTATCAACAGGATATGGTACTGGCCACCGCTATCCTCTACAATTCTCATAGCCATTTCGATTATAGGTGCAAAAGATGTAGGTCCTGGGCCATCGTTCAAGATAAACTGAGTGACATTGTAAACCAACACTTGAGCTAATAAATCTAACAAATTCAGGTTATGAGACAGTACCTGAAAGTCGAATCTGGGGAACTAATTCCCGATATCTCCTAACAACTTCTTCAAATCCATTACAGACCCTAGAATCTGGATAAAAGCTAAATACATCTTGATCACGAGTTGAGGCTGCACACAGAAAAGAGAAGAATTTTCAACTCAATTGCAGATGATCCTTTGTAGAATCAAGAAGAAGCTATAAATTTTCGGACATGGATGTACCATCTCCAAATCCAAAACATGGGATCAAATTGTCCTCATCAAAGGAGGATAACGATTTCCCAATAATTGAGATTGCTTGCTCATATGGATTCTGACCACTTCCAAGGTGATGCAAGCTTTTGTGCTGAAATGACCTGGAACCTAATACATTCCAAACAGGTTGATCAACTCACTAAAAGTGTTAAGACCTCAAAAACTTGGAAAAAAATTGAAGAACTCAGGGTCGGGGGGATTGCTAGACCTGTCCATTCATTGCTCTTTGTGAAATCAAGACCAATAATAAGGTTGGATGACTCTAATCCTGCCTCAACGAGTGCAGCTCTTACCTGAGTTACCAATTATAATTTCATTGCAAACGAAAGAAAGAAAAAAAAGTTATTGATCGATTCAGTGCACGTTTGTGAACAATGTAGCAGTTAGAAACCTTCATATGAAAAAAGGCCTTAACTCACCTGGTCCAGGGATTTGTAGTCATCAAATATCCTGGAATATCTTGTGTCAAACCTCCGATGATGTGGCTGAGGAGTTCTGAAACCGTAGTTGAAAGAAGGCGGCGCTAGGTGATGCTGAGGAGTTCTGAAACCGTAGTTGAAAGAAGGCGGCGCAAGGTGATGCTGAGGAGTATAATGTGTAAGATAAGGCCGCTGATCAAAGTGTGGTGATCTTATTTGGTAGTCATGATGATGATCATCAAACGAAGACAAACCGCTACTGGTTGAAACATTTCTCCTACCAGAACATCTTCCTCCCATGATTAGCCTATCAAAAAATCAACTCAATCTGCTCCTAACACCAAAAATGATAGCAAAATGAAGCAAACGGTGGGAATGAATTTGGAATGTGGCAAGTTCAACAGTTCAAGTATGAAAGTACATATAAAGAAATCCATGAAGGGTTTACCTTTGAATATATAAACTGCATTGAAAAGAAGTGGTTGAGTTGACTTAATATATGTACATTTTTCTTCTTTTTTTTTTTTTGGGGGTGGGAAATTACCAAGAAACGGCGAAAACCCCTGAGCAAGAATGCAACGAGGGGTTCAAAGAAAGAGAGCAATTAACCAGAACTGCAAGTTTTTCTTGACAGCCCGAAAATGGGTCATCCATAAAATTGTCGACATTGCAACTGTATGCATGAACGTTGACATAAAGTACTTAAAGCGTCAACCTTTTACCTAATCAAAGTTTATAGTATTCATTAGGTACGACCAATACGTCGGCACAAACATCATTCCAATTCATGTTAAATAGTGCATTCCTTCTAAAATGATTTCAATTTTTTTTTTTTTTTTGGCAATAATGCCATTTGAACGAGTCTTGTGCAATATAACCACAGTGTGTATTGTTTGTGGAAATTATACATCTCAAAGTGTGTATCAATATGTGTTTTTCCTTTAATTAACAAAGAAGTAGATCAATTAAATTGGAGTAAATCATTCCCTCCGAAATTAAGAGTGCAAAAATTATTCATTCAACAAACTAGATAATCAGTGTGTTAATGGAGCCATACAAAAACCGCTCATCAAATTCGTTGATATGTTTAAAATTAATATTTAGTAATGTTCCCGAAAAAAAAAAGGGTTAAAATCTGAAATGAAACTGAATATGGTCAGGATGATAAATATTTTTTTTCCCAAATAAACAGTTCTATTTGTCCTAAAAAAATAGTAATATAAATCACAAAATATGATACACCTCCGTCTCACAAAAATAGTCTAAATTGAGTTTTAAGTATTGTACTGTTTTTAGTACAAAATTAAAAACTCAATGTAGACTATTTTTGTGGGACGTGAGTAGTATTATCTATTTTTCTTAGACCAAAGGAGTAGTAATTAAAACCTTTGTTATCTTTCAAAAAAATAAAAAATAAAAACCTTTGTCGAAGTCTTTTTTCCTTACTAAGGATATTAATTACAAACAAAAAAAAAAAAGAAGAGAAATTTGCTTCAAGTAGTGGAACCCGCAAGTGAAAAAGACGGCGGCTTCTAGTGCTGACGTTCGTTTCCCCTTGGGTTCAGTCTGGCCGGAAGCTTCCTTCTTTCGCGGCCCGTTTGTTAGTTAGTCAGTCTCCGTCACCGTGACTCCGGCTCCCAGAAACCTTATTATTAGTGTATTATTTATTTATTTAGCTTATTAACTAAAATCCATTCCAATTACAAATCGCATACCTTCCCTCAATCACATCCAGCCGTCCAACGATCATTACAAATACCCACGTGTCACCATCTCAATAAAGTCCATATTTTTTTATTCATTCCAATAACCAAGCAGGAAAAACCAAGGATCCCTTCAGACTGGTGGTTGCTCTGCTGTCTTCCTTCGGCGGAGATTCTGGTTGTTGACAGCCATTTTGCTCTCCGGAGTTTCCACAATTTTAACCTAGATATTATAAATCAGGGTGAAAAAAAAATTGAAAATTCGATTTCGGTTAGATTGACCTAGTTTTCTTTAATTCCTTATTTTTATTTGATTGATCGGGTCATTAAGGTGTAGGAATTTTGCCGCTTTTTTTCGATTGAGTGTTTCAGTGTGAAATGTCGGTTGCTGCTGGTGATGAGGAGCAGGACGCGGTGTTGAGCGACGTCGAGGAGGATGATCCGGTGTCGATTAATATACAGTCGCCGGCGCCGGAAGATGTGTCCATCGGTAAAGTTAGGGAACTCCTGGCGGAGCTCGATCGAGAGCGGAAGGAGCGGGAGGCGGCTGAGAAGGCTAAATCGGAATTGCAAGTGTCGTTTAATCGGCTTAAAGCTCTGGCACATGATGCTATCAGGAAGCGGGATGAGAGCTCCAAGCAGCGAGACGAAGCTTTGCGTGAGAAAGAAGAGGCTTTGAAGTCCGTTGAGAGAGTATCGTCGGAATTGACTGAAGCGGCCAAGGGCAAAGATGAAATGTTGAAGCAATTGGAAGAGATGACCCGATCCAAGGATTCGTCTAGGTCGGAAATTGAGACTGCCGCTTCGATGCTCGTGAGTGGGATTGAAAAGATATCAGGAAAAGTGAGTAACTTCAAGAATTTCATGGCTGGTGGTTTGCCGAGGTCTCAGAAGTATACAGGGTTACCTGCGGTGGCTTATGGAGTTATTAAGAGGACGAATGAAATTGTAGAAGAGCTTCTTAGACAGATTGAGTTGACTACAAAGTCTAGGAATGAGACTAGGGAATTGATGGAACAGAGAAATTATGAGATTGCTATTGAGGTTTCACAGCTTGAGGCCACCATCAGTGGATTGAGAGAGGAGGTCTCCAGGAAGAGTTTGGAAATTGAGAAACTTGAGAAATCAATAGGTGAGAATGATGAGAAATTGGGTGAATGGCAAGAGAAGCAAATGGCTCTGGAGAATGAAGAGTTGGGTTTGAGGAACTTGATCAGTGAGCAGGATGAGAAGTTGAGAAGTATGGAAACAAAGATGAGTGTGCAAAGGTCGTTACTGATTGAGCAGTTGAATTATGTGACCAAAGTACACCGCGAGATATCTAATGTTGTGAAAGTAGTGGATGCCAGTAAATACTCGGAGTTATCTGAATCTATGTTTATGGCTAAAGAAACAGATGCTGAGGAAAACATTAAGGCATCTTTGGCAGGAATGGAGTCCATATATGAGTTAAGTCAGTTTGTTGTTGAGAAAACTAGGGAGTTAATAGAGGAGAGAAATCGTGAAGTCAGAAGTAGAAATGAAATGGTTTCTCAATTAGTAAAGGAGAAGGAACAAATTGGATCATTGTTGAGAAGTGCTTTGTCAAGAAGAACTTCTGCGGATCTGTCGTCCAAAACAAATGAATTGTTTAAAGTAGCTGAAAATGGGCTAAAGGCAGCTGGCATAGATTACAAGTTCAGTAATCATCTTGGAGAGGGAAAAGTAAATAAGGAGACCATTTCTGTGGATGCAGAAGAAGATGAAGTGTACGCATTGGTTAGTGAAGTGTATCTTCTCTATAGTGATTCTGTTAATTTTAAGTTTTTTTTTTTTCCCCATCCTATTCAGACCATCTTTCAACATGTGCAGGCTGGTGCTCTGGAGAATATAATAAAACAGTCTCAGGTTGAGATCATTGAACTGAAGCATTCTTTGGATGATCTAAGGTACCTTCTTTCGCACTATTGTTATTTGCTCTCAATGGCATTAATAACTGGTTGACAAGCTAAATTTTGATAAAAGATTTGGGAATGATAACTGGTTGACAAACAAATTTCTGAAAATATTCGGGGATGCGGAAGGTTATGATTTCCTTGCTTTTCTCAAAGAAGGTTATGAGTTCCTTGCTTACTTTCACGCCATGCTCATGTTTGTGTGAAAGAAGATTTCTTGTTGCTTATAATAAAGCATCCATTGTTATGAAGAGGGTATTGCTTTTTTTTTCTGTAAAGAGAACATTGATACAAGTTATCTATGCTCTTCCTAGAAATTGCATTCTTTTTGTATTCATTGTTCATGGATATCAAGATTGTTTTGTTCCAAGGCCTATTGAATAATCCCATCTTTCCCTCTGATCTGGGCATTATTTTTTATTGAATTAAGGGCAGAGTCAAATGCTCTGAAGCAGCAAGTGGAGACTCAAAAAGAGGAACTCAACCACTGGCGTCAGCGTGTGGATGAGCTTGAAGAGAAGGAGAGAGTAGCTAATGCAAATGTTAGTCTCTGCGTATTGTACTTGCTGTTTGTTTGAATTTGATTTAGGGCATTGTTTTATGGTCCTCTTCGCTGTTCCCAAAATAGCCTCAGCTTGACTATTTCTCTGGAATGTAGGTTGAAGCGCTTATGCTTGACATCGCAGCTGCTGAAGAAGAAATCACAAGGTGGAAGGTGGCTGCCCAGCAAGAAGCTGATGCAGGAAAAGCTGTTGAAGAAGATTACTCGAGACAGGTAAAATGAAATTCCTGGTCTCCTGAAACGAAGTTTCTTACACATCACTTCCGCATATTTTATCATTCAATGTAGCATTTCCAGAATTTGGTTTTACCTACAAGGTGGAATATAGCAATTCTGCTCTCTGTTTGTGTGATGCATGCTTTCAGCCTTGACGTATAGTCTCTGTATCGAATTTAGCAACCTGCTCTTTCTTTATTAGAACTGAAGTTTTGGGCTTTCTACTGCTGCTTAGGATCCATGTAAATATTTGGTTGCTCCATGTTGCTGGAGCCTAGATGCTTTAACATGTTAAAAGTAGGTGCTTTTAAGTAGCAATAGTTTCTGATTGTAATTGCTTCCTATCCTCTCTTGCTGCTGCTGCTGTTCACTCATTTCCTTGTAGGTTCTATCCCTCGATTGAATAACCCTAAATGCATGTGTTCATATCCTTCTGGGATCTGAGAATGTCACTCTAGAGAATTATTGCCTTGCGGATATGGTCTCACCTAAGCTCATGATATTGATCTTTCTGTTTCTGTGATTGCTGGTAGCACAAACTCCATTTATTCTATTTGATTCCTCTTTCTTTGGCAGCTCTCGGTCGTACGGCAGGAACTGGAAGAGGCCAAGCAAGCTGTAATTGAGGCCGAAAAGAAGCTCAAATTCAAAGAAGAAACTGCAACAGCAGCCATGGCTGCTAGAGATGCGGCCGAGAAATCCTTAAGATTGGCAGATATAAGGGCGACTAGGCTTAGAGAGAGAACAGAAGAACTGACCCGTCAGCTCGAAGAGCTGGATACTCGAGAACCTTCCCGATCAGGCCTGTCAAGACCTAGATATATGTGCTGGCCTTGGGAATGGCTCGGCATTGATTTCATCGGCTCCCAGCGTTTGGAACAGGCACGTCCGCAACAAAGGACCAACGAAATGGAGCTCCTATCTGAACCTCTACTTTGATTCTTTCTTTTCCCCTTTTTATTGATTTTTTTTTTTTGTTTTACAATTTTATTTTGACACTTAAGGTCACCTGGGTTTTCCTTGCTTGCTGGGTGTACTTATTATAATCGTCCCAAATTAGAGCCGTCAGACAGGGGGGGTTGGTAGATGGTATATATAACATTGTTGATATTCTTGTAGTGAGGTTAAATAGTCTTTGATTAACCTGTAAAAAAACACGCGAGGGGGTTTTTAGATGGAGTGATTTTCGTGTTGTGAAGTTTTTGGTTATCCACAGAGATTTGTTGCTTTGTTTTGTAATCTCCCTATAAATCATAGAATGCTTTGACTCAATACGTAGTTAAACATCCTTTCGAGGTTGGATTTGTGTTTCAAATTTTGACGGAGTTATAACGATATCGGCATATTATGAACATCAACTTTTGCAAGCTTGTAGAAATCAATCGGATGAATTGAAGCCTACCGCTAGCTAGATGAAGATTGCTGGTGTTTCATCGTTTTTCCTGCTCCCTTGAACAAGTAATACTCTTCCTCTGGGATGGATAAGAGTATCTCAAACAAAGACTAAAAGATTCAAATTGAGTCGCGTATGAAAAGCGTAAGTTTCATAAGAACTTGATTCTTTTTAGTGCTGAGTTCCTACAGTTTCCAAAGAAAATTTAAATTGAGTGGTTTCCGAAGAAAAGAATCTAATGTAATAGTGTTTAAAAAAAAAAAAAAAAGGGGAAAAAATCTAATGTAGCTGGACTTTTGGGAGGAAAAACAAAGGGGAAAAGTTTAAGGGATCACATCTAATATTCAAAAAATTAGGGGCTTCAGAATAAATAACCAAAATACCGAATCCAAAAGGGAAGGAATCAACTTAACCATGGTTCAAAAACCGAACCACCGTTCATAAAACGGTTACCTCGGTTCAATGGAGCTGCCTTTGATGACATAGGGTTAGGGTTTGAATCCTCAATTCAGTCGCTCTGTCAAATTTAATCTATGGAAATGCATTACATGTCGGATTATTCCTACTCTCAAATGGATCGTCGTCCCAACAAGCGTCCTAGATTAGCCTGGGACCTACCTCACGCCCCAAAGGTGAAATCTTTAGCTAATTTTTTGTGATTTCTTTATAATCTTTTGTTAGGTTTTTTTTTTCTGTTCATCAATTGATTTTATGAAGGGGAAAGACGAGTTTTGTGGAACGAATTTGCCAATTTGGTGTTTAATGTTTATGGAATGGAGTTTACATTAAATCATAGGCGTGTCAATTTCTTGAGAAAGATGCTTTTGACTTTTTCATTTGTGTGTGATGTGCTTTATGTCTAATTGGTCTTTCAGGTGATAAATTATTTGTTGTTTCCATAAATTCGTTTTGACTTTAGGGGAAGACTGGGAATTGCTCCAGATTATTTTGTGCCGGAACTGGCAACATTTGTGCTTTTCTCTTTAGTTTTGTTCAGCTAAGGTTTGGAATGGTCGCATGAATGGGTGTGTGGGGATCATGATTATTTCTGTTTCCTTTGATGTTAGATCATCAGCTTGCACTTTGAAAAGTTTGCCAAGGTTCTTGCTGTTAGTTACTTTGATTAGTTCTGAATCATGTGTTCCAAATCGACATAGGATGAAAGTGTTTTCTTTTGAATTCAGCCGGTAATGAGAGAGGGCTTCTTATTTTTCTTTTTAATTTAGCAAGAAAATGAATGATGGCTGTGTGTAGGCCCAATCAGGAATATATTATGGGCAAGAGGTTGGCAATGTATCAAGCTTTGGGCATTCAAGGGTATCCTCAGACCATGGTAATCTTTATGTAAAGGGAGGAGGTGCTCAAAGAGGATCTCCCCCGTGGCGAGAAGATGACAAAGATGGACATTACATTTTTGAGCTTGGAGAGAATTTAACTACTCGCTGTAATGATGATTTATTTTTTTAAAATTCACGTTTGGGCATTTCTACTTCTTTATAGCTCAGTGTTCATTTTTTTTCTACCGCTGTTTGTGTTTTTCTACTTCACTCGAACTCCTTTTTAATAAAGTTTTTAGTATGAGGAAATTGATGACTTTGGAAAAAAGGTTCGTGAATGCAAAAAGATTTTGGTTTACTTTATGTCTGCCCTTTCTTTCTGTCTCCTTCATTCATAGCCATCATGCAATATACTGGAGGATTGAGAATGGCAATGCTTGGATACTATACCACTTTTGTTTGATATATAAGGTAGATGAGAAGAGAGTGATTTATTTCATGTTTGTTGTAGTGTCCTTGTTATTATTTTTGGTTTTTGTTAAAGGTGTCTTTAGACCTGCAACAAAAAAACTTAGTTGTTCTAGAAATGTGTGCTTTTTTATAAAACAATGTTGTCTGATATCAATTAATTTGACGTAAATTTGGATGTTTTAGTCTATCTATGTTAGTTTTAGCTACTTCTTACTTGGTACTTGTTCTTGCAGATAAGATTCTAAGGAAAATTGGAGAAGGTTGGTTTTGAAACTTATTTACTGGATTGCATGATTTATATACATGTATAATCGTTCTCCAGTTTGTTAAACACAATATTTCACCCGTTTTTTAAGGTATGATTCTTTTTGTCATAGGTACCTTTGGTCAGGTTCTGGAATGTTGGGATAGGGAAGCAAAAGAAATGGTTGCCATAAAAATAGTCCGGAGCATAAAGAAATATCGTGAAGCTGCAATGATTGAAATTGATGTGCTTCAGTTGCTTGGGCGATATGATAGGAATGGCAGCCGGTAAGTGTTGTGTTGCCATTTTTTATCATCTATAATGGTTAATTGCTTTCTTCAGAGAAACCTCTGTGTGGGTGGTTAAGTGAGTTGATCCCTTGCAGTTGTGTACAATTACGGAACTGGTTTGACTATCGTAACCATGTTTGTTTAGTAAGTACTTTTGCTGATTGCTAAAAACATGACTTTCTTTTTTCATAAATTTTGTTAGGGGGTTTTTTGGCTAGTTGAATGCTTATAAATCGTCTTAACAGGTGTTTGAGAAGCTTGGACCAAGCTTATTCGATTTTCTACGGAAAAACAGTTACAGCTCATTCCCCGTTGATCTAGTCCGTGAGATTGGGAGACAACTTTTGGAATGTGTAGCATGTGTGTTCCAAACTTGATATCAAACTCTCTTAGTAAATATTTAATCCGTCCACTTTTCATGCCTCATGTGCTGCAGTCTCCCATTTCAATCTCTTTCCTGTTCTGAGTTGCTCGCGTTATATTCCAAAACAATTTCGTTTTAGGATCCTTCTCATTTCTCTTATGAGTTTCTGTTTCTCTTTTGGGTTGCTATTTATCTTCGCTAGATTGTGATGCTATTATAATTTTGTTCTTTCTGCAGTTATGCATGACATGCGTCTCATTCATACTGACTTGAAGCCTGAGAACATACTGTTTGTCTCTCCTGAATACATCAAAGTGCCTGATTACAAGGTATGTTGAAGTTCTTCTCCCAACTCCCAACTTTAGTTTCATATTTGGAGTTGATATAGAATTCAGAATCCTGCTGGTCGCATTTTCCAGTGTGAGTAGTTTCTCTTTTGTTCATGCTATCCTTCTGCCGTTGAAATTTCAATTGGCATTTTAGCATTTGCAGGCTGCTCCCTGGACTCAAAGAGGAGGAGCTTTGTTCAAGAGGCTGCCAAAGTCAAGTGCTATTAAGGTCATTGACTTTGGTAGCACTGCATATGAGCGCCAAGATCATAATTATATCGTCTCCACTAGACACTATAGAGCTCCAGAGGTTATTCTTGGTAGGTTTAGATGTCCATTTGCTCCGGTTTGATGTCAAAAAGTATTCTGGAAATGACTGATTGCTGTATTTTTGTTATTGCAGGACTCGGCTGGAGTTATCCTTGTGATATGTGGAGTGCTGGTTGTATCTTGGTGGAGTTGTGCTCGGTAATGACTTAGAATGTATTGACTAAATGATTAACTATAGCAATTTACTGTGGCTTAGAACATCTTATGGACCCTTAATTGTCTAGATTTATGGTAATTTGTCAGGGCGAAGCTTTGTTTCAAACCCATGAGAACTTGGAGCACCTTGCCATGATGGAGAGAGTATTGGGTCCACTACCACAGCACATGCTAAAAAGAGTGGAGTGAGTGCCCTGCTTATGCCTTGAGAACCATGTTATAGTCATAGTGCAGCTCTTAAATATGATCTTATTTTTCCCATTTCCATTTGTGCAGCCGGAATGCTGAAAAATTTGTTAGGAGGAGTAGACTGGACTGGCCAGAAGGTGCAACTTCGAGGGAAAGTATTAAGGCAGTGATGAAAGTACCACGTCTTCAGGTACGTGTGATCAAGTGTATTTGCTCCAATGTCATCTGGTTTTTTGGACATTGCTTTCGTGTATTCTTGTTCTTGCATTTTTTGTTTCATTTACAATGTTTTCTTTATTGCGTTTTACTTTCGACAGGTTTCTATGAAAGTACTACTATTATTTAGCCATCTCACCATGTGGAGTTTGAGGGATCATATGTAGCCCCTGTATATGATTATATCGTTTTAATATTTTGGTATTGCAGAATTTGGTAATGCAACATGTGGATCATTCCGCTGGGGATCTCATTGACCTTTTGCAAGGGCTCCTAAAGTTCGACCCTTCAGAAAGGTTAACGGCGCGTGAAGCTCTGAGGCACCCCTTTTTCACCAGAGACCACTACAGGAGATCTTGACATGACGTGGTCAATCTGGATTGCAATAACTGTTGGATTCTCTTTGTATGCACAAAAATGTTGTAGTGGTGTTTATAGGATAGTGAAGATTAGGTTGTTCCAAGCTGTCGAGATCTTGGAATCTTTATTGCTCTGTTATACGAACACACCATAATTTTTCTATACGTAATTGGCAGTAAAAATGTGGATCAAAATCACAATAAAATCCTGCCTAGCTTTGTTGGAATGCCCCAAAATGTATTGGGGTTGTCATGAAGATTTGGACTTACCTCATCTGGATCACTTATTCTGCACTATTTTGTTCTTGCATTTAGTAATCTGTGTTGCTGGGTAGGGTGTGCATTATTCCCTCCGTCCCATTTTAATAGATTAGTGAGACTCGGTATTCCTTTTGTCTCGGATGAAAATTCTGAATTATCTTTTTCATTTTTCCTTGGAACACACAAGAATTGATAGTCTCAATTACCGACTCCTGCACTCATACGAGAAAGTGAACATGTACAAAATATGATCATTCACTAACCAAAAATATAAAATAATGATCATTCGGAAACAACTCAGATTCTTTGATTATCTCTCACTAACAAAAATCGTACTGAACAACGTATGAAATGAATACTCAAGAAAAGGAAATCAATGATACATAAAAACATCGAACAAATATTGGCTCTACCAAAACACAGATCCTTTACCCAACAAAAATAAATAAATAAATAGATCCTTTGATCACCATTCAGCAACATCACCAAATTTCACCCTTCATTGAGCCTCACTTTTACCGCTTTGTTGAGCACTTCTTACTGACCAAAACCCCAGTTGGAGGACCTGTTACAGTGATGGTACAATGGCTGTATAACCAGTAAGAATACTTCAACACACCACCCAACATGGACCTTGTCCTGAACAAACCTTTAACTTCAAAATCGACCCTACCCTCATTGATTTGCATTGTAAGATCTTGGGTGGTGGAAAAGGGAAGCCTAACCTGACTTGTAACCATATGAACAGTTTGAAATGTGGACACACTCTTGAATGCTGTGAAGGGCTCAATGTATCTTGTGGAAATTAAGTTGTTTTCGTAATAAAGATCCAATATAACATAACTGAAGTCCACATTGACTTTCGTATTTGGATTGGTAAAGTTTGCTAAGATGGTGAAATCAGCATTGAGGAGATACCCCATGTCCAAGTAGGCTGCATTGAGAGTTGCAGTTGAGATGTCGAATTTTGGAAGCCGCGGGCGGTAGACTAAGAAAATGATCAGAACTGTTAGGCCAACAACTATGATTATGATCCAAAAAAGTGCACAAAATGCTGCAATGAACCATGCTAATGGCCTAGTCTCGCCCCCTGTTATCACTCTAAGAGAAGAAGGCCTTTGATGTGGCTGCCGGGGTGAATGTTGCGGGTGCTGTGAAGGGCCGCTATCATGTTGATCCCGTCCTCCAAAATGAACTTGTCTTCCTGGGATTTCGTCACTATGTTTGCCATGATTCCTGGGTTTTGTATTGATGATTGGACGTGGCTGTTGAGGAGTCACCGGTGGGACATCAAAGCGAGTATCATATGCTGGAGGTATCAATGGATCCGGCGAACGTGAAGTTGGGGAAACATTCTGGCCGTGAAATGGTGCTGTAACATTCGGGCCCTGAAAAGGTGCCGGAAATGGGGCATTAGTACGAGGTCGCCTTGGCCTCTGATCGGGTAGTTGCAGAAAATGTGGTTGAAAATGAGGATTGGTTTCCTGTTGAGGGTACATGGCTGTTTGCCTATAATTATGCAAAATTGAACTGGGAAGATGTTGGCTCTGTTAATTTGACATTGAAAGAAGTGTTCTAGTGTAGTGAGGAATGGAGATAGATACAAAAGAACAGGATGAAGATGTATCATGTACCAGTGGGAGACAGATTGAAGGTTAGGCAAAGAATCGGAGTTTAGCTAAGCATAGAAGGCAAGTAAACCTTATTCCTTTTTTGCCTGCTTCCTTTACACGCATTTCTCCTTGTGTTACAGAGCATCATTCATACACTGTTCTGGAGAGTTTAGAACTCCTATATACATTGGCAACAGGAAGTCTATAGTCTATACTCTATAGCGTAACTCTTCAGATTTTCTGACAATCTTTACTAAAGACTTCAGAAAGTATTTCTGGAAATAGATTGATTCAGAACGAGTCGGGCCATTTTTTATCGACTCATTGGAGGTAGGGACAACCCAAAGCCACACTCAACAGTTGCTAATCTACAAGTAGGCCCAGCAAAATTTCAAAATTGAACTTCTAATCCACAGCCTAGCTATCTAAGCAAGGATTCCTAAGAACTGGGTGAACACTCAGTCCACCACTCCGATTCCACCAACAGGAGCCGCAGCTAATAGCTAACCTGCTCACGCATAGTAACACCTTTCCTCACCTTCCTTTCGAATTGAAATATCAACTGCAAGCCCCCAGTGGCTTGATGCCATCCTAGATGAATACACACAGCAGATGAGTAACCGGAGCATCTTGGCAAGGATGTCAACGTGGTAGGCACATTGCCTGGTTTATTTGGGGCAGTTTCAAGAAAATGACAACCGGCAAAAATAGACTTCAGATAGGGATGGGATCTTTTATACCCATTAGCCACATATCCACACAAGGGATTGCTAATGAAACTTGAAGAGAAATCTTTTTCCATGATACCAGCAAAGGCTTCTGTTGCCACATTATCACCTCCAATTAGTTCTGCATGTCGAACGTACAACAAATCATGAATATCTAGGTAAGTAAGAGCACAAAGTATCTGCAGTCTTTGAACTGCCTACCAAGCAAACATGAAAACTGAGATAAATCATAAATCCTTACCTTCTGGCCTTTCTGCAGCTTTGAGAGAATACAACAAAAGGCTTTGGGAGGCCGAGTGCAAAGGTCCTCCAGGAATGACTTTTCACAAGATTATCAACACCTCAACCTGACATTTAGAGCAAACATTTTAGCCTTGAATGATGCAACACGTAGACAGCTTCATGCCATTCCACTTAGTGCAGTGAAATGCACTAGAACCAAAAAACAGAAAACCGAAAAACAGAAATTAGGACAAGATAGAAGGATTCCACAAAAGTAAAGGAACAAACCATTTGTGATATCCGTGCAGGATGCATCTTTCGAATTAATGGCTTCAATAAGAGTACTTGACAAATCACTTTCAAGTGTGAATCCCTTCTCCATCATCTGATCCCACACTGAACATGCCAGCGAAATCTTATTTTCCCGAATAAGACCTCTAATTATCAATCTGAAAGTCACCCCATCTGGACACAAACCTCTAGAATGCATCTCCTCGTACAAATGCATGGCCTCATCAACTCTAAGAGCCCCACAAAAACCACAAATGAGAGCATTGTAGCAGACAACATCAGGCACTTGTCCCTGAGCAATGATATCATAGAACATACCACGGGCGATCCCTACTCTGCCACTCTTACACAGATGGTCAATGATTACAGTATACAATACATGATCAGGATACAAACCCATCTCAGTCATCTGGTCAAGAAGTCTTTTAGCTAAGCTGGAATGGCCTTCTTTAAGAAAAGCCTCAATAAGAATTGTAAAAGTAACAACATCAGGGGATATCCCCTTGAGTGCCATCTCGCTAAATAGACTGTATGCCCTCTTAATGTGGCCGGCCATGCACAACGACCCAATTATTGTGTTAAAGGTCACAACATCAATTAAACCTTTAATTTCCATCTTATTCACCATCAACATATAAGCCTTATCAACTCTATTAGCCCTGCAAAGACCTTTAATCAGCTCATTATAGCTATAACTATCCAGTTCCAATCCACCTTTCTCCATATTTGCCATTAGCTGCTCAGCTTCGTCTAACATAAGTTCATCGCAACAAAAATTCAGTAACACGTTGTACGTAACTAGATCTGGTTCACATCCATTTTTCCTCATAAACCTCTTAATCGCCTGCGCCTTGTCAATCCTTCCAGCTTTGCAGTACCCATGAATAAGTGCATTGTAAATTTCGGTAGAAAGTTTAACTTTATCCTTCATTTCTCCCAATATAAGCTCATAAGCCAAATCAACTTTCCCATTTTCAATTAATCCTAAAACAAGAGCCCTGCAAGCCTTATTGTCCAAGTCACTAACTTTCCTAACCATCACACGCCAGAGTTCAACCGCTTCATCAATCCGGCCAACACGGAGCAACCCATTAATAACTGTAGTATAACTTACCACATCGGGTTCCCTCCCTTTCTCCCCCATTACTCTCAAAATCTCCAAGGCAAAATCCACATATTTCTCGCTACATAAAAGATTCAAGTATATATTACAAGCCCAAATATCCGGGACAACCTCGAGTCTATCCATGTCAACCAAAAGCCTATCAATAAGTTCAAAGTTCTTAACTTGGCACAACCCAGAAATGAACCTGGAATAAGTGAACGAGCTCAAAGAGAACCCTCTTGGCTGCATGTCACGATAATACTGTTCGGCCAAGTCAAAACGACAATTGGCAATCAACACACCAATGAACCTGTTGTAATCAACGCTGAAAACTCTGCATTCCGATTGGGTCATTTCGTCGAACACTTTGATTGCTTGATCTAATAGACCAGTTCGGACGTAATAAGCTATGTGAGCCCGGTAGATAAGGCGATTTCTACCCAGAGCTCTGTACATATTACAAATGGGCTTCTCACAAACGAATGCATAGCATCGAATTTATACAGCTTTATTCCTCAATGGGACTTCTCAAGAGAGAAATGAACAAAAAGACTATATTCTGTTTGCAGTAAAAATTAAAAAACAAAAAAAAAAAAAGAACTACACACTGAGCTAAATGTACAACAAATTCAACATGAATGTATGTTAGTGTAGCAGTAATGGAGGCAAGTGATGAAACCTGGATGCTGCAACAAAGGAAGAAGACGGCGAGACAGGGAGGAAGGGAGAGAGGAAAGGGAGGACTTCTTTGGGCGCGCGGCCCAAAATCATGTCCCGTAATCATAAAAGACTGCAGATGTATGGATTCGGTATAAAATCAAATGTCCAAATTCCAAGTTTGTTAACTACTATTGGGTTGGATTGATCATATAAATAGATGGGCCTTAAAGAACCCACCATGGGCCTATGCAAAATTAATCAACCAATTTGCTTTTGGTTCTTCGAGTTATGCCATCAGTTTTTTTTTTTTTTTTTTTTAATAAAAAAAAAATATTCACTTAATTCTTAGAGAATTCGATTCAAAACTGCGAGTCTTGCAGATAACCGAAAGTTTGTAACCGTTGGGAACAGAATTGCTTTTAAACGTGCAAAAAATGTTTTATAATTAGCTCAGTAATTGGCCGATCATATATTAAGTATTCAATAAATGAACAGTATATAATGCATTCTCTTTCATGTGATCAAAACATTGTCTTTTATGTTATCCGGCCAGGGTAAATAGATGATTCCCAAGTGAGGAAAATGAAGGAATGTTGAAGAGTATTTTTTGATATCATGCAATACTACAAATTCCATCAATTACAAGAGAAAATATTATGGTAAGTGATAACTGGTCGGTCATATAACAATTTAAAATATTTTTGTAATCAAACATATTTCTACATTAAGACTAATAATTAAATGAAACGAATCTCTCCTTTTCTCAAAATAATTATATCAAATAAACCAATGTCCTTGCGAGAAAGAACTGGCTCTTTAATCAAATCCTAATACATTAGTACATAAAAAAAAAAAATTAAAAAAAAAAAGAGAATGAAAGGGTACATCGTTCATGCCTTGCTGCATGTGCTGAGAATATATATATACGCCAGTGCTGAAAATTCTAGTAACAGGGTATTTAAAAATTTTACTACAAATTTTTTTAAAAAAAATTAGGGCTGATTCCCGGCCTCCTTCCTTGACTCGAATGCGACTGCCTACCCAATATAGTCTTGCTTGCACTATTTTTGACTTGGATTTACTATTCTTTCTTCTTTTTCTTTCTTTTTTTTTCTTTCTTTTTTTTTAATTACTTGGATTTATTATTCCTCTGTCTTCTCCTCAATTCTTTTTTTCTTTTTTAAGTTGTCCGTGGGTTTTATTTACATCTTGTTAAGAACCTTTCAATGCTTAAACATCATAACCACACAAGTACTAGTTGAAAAATTCTTAATGATAAGGCTGAATATTACTCCGTCCAAAGAGAGCATGTTAGATTATAAAACAAGATTTTTTTTTTCGGAAAAGAGATAGTAATATTAAGTTCAGAAATAATAAACTAGCATCTCCTTTATTTGGGGGAAAAAAAAATACAACTTATGAACAGCATACTGTATTTCTCTGGCTTTTAAGGAAAAGTAAAATAGAACGATGATACTCTACGTTAGTGTTGAAGTAAATTGATGATAAAATAAAACTGTAATGTTACTCCAGCAGTTTATATTACTAATATTTTAATCCATTTTCTAGAATAAAGTGACCAAGTATATGCAAGATAGAGTTGGAATTTTCGATCCGCAATTAATTTAGTCGTACATTGTTGACTGAATATAAATATTCATTAAAAAAAAAATAACGCGAATGAGGTAGTAGTTTAGTGATAAAACTATCATTACCTTTAAGAGGATGTTCAAACCCCCACTCCAACAAATAGTGAAGGGTGGTTCTAACTTTTCCAATTGACACCTCTTGAGGGCTTGTTATGTCAAACTCACTCATGAACAGTGACGGATTTAAGGGGGGGTCACGGTGGTCGATCGACCCCCCGGCCGCCCGGATTTGGCCAATTTTTTTCTTAGTAGGGTGTCCGTTAATTGAAGTTTTTTCAGTTCGACCCTCCTGTGACGGTTGAATAATCCTATTTTCGACCCCGCGATTTGAAAATTCTCGTTCCGTCACTGCTCATGAACTTCCGATTTTGCATTCGAGCTTGTCACCTTAGGTTTTTCTAGGGTGGTTTGCAAGCTATTGTAGTGGGTGTGGGTTTACCACAGATTTCGCACTCGAACTTGTCATCCCGAACTTGCTTAGGGTAGTTTTCATTCCACTGTGGTTTGCAAGTTATTGCAGCGGACGTGGTTTTACCCATTTCTGATGAGGTTCTCGACGTTATCAAAAAAAAAATGACGAATTGAAAAGATTGAAGAAAGAGTGAGGGGTGGTTATAATCTCGACCACTGTAGTTTGCAAGTTATTACAGTGGGCGTGGATTTACTCATTTCTGGTGGGTTCCCGACGTTACCAAAAAAAAAAAAAAGACGAATTGAAAAGATTGAACAAAATGAGAGGTGCCTTTAATAATATCAATTGATACCTCTAGAGGGTTTGTTATGACAAACTCACTCATGAATCTCAATTTCACACCCAAATTTGTTATCTAAACTTGCCTAGAATGATTTATCTCCCACTTGGTTTGCAAGCTATTGCAGTAGGCGTGGATTTACCCATCTCTGATGGGGTTCCCGATGTTAAAAAATAAAAAACAATTGAAAAGATTGAACATTGTTTAACAAATGAGTTATTATAGTTTAGTGATGTTCTAAAATCTGAATCGGTTCAATTAAATTTGGTATAAAAGGGTTGTGGTGTAAATATAAACAACTATGTTAAACCATCGTTTGATAAAAAATGTGATAATGATACTCTTAATGAAAATTCTCATGATTTTTATTTTTAAATGGAGAATTATATGTCCAGATTTAGAACTAAATATTTAACATTAAATGGATGAGCCTTCATGAGTTTATATGCAAAATTTTAGACCTTTAGAGACAAAAGTCTCAAATACTGTAATCTTATGCCGCACTAGTCAAGATTTTGACACATTGTCTTAACGGTTTTATCGGTGGATTGGAGTGTTAGTAAAAAAATTTTTTTAAAAAATAAATATTGAATATAGAAATTTAACAAATTTTATAGGGTGATTTAGAAAATTTTGTAAGATTGTGATGTAGTATATCCTTAACTAATTTTATAACATCATTGGCTAGATTACAATGGTATATATGCTACTTTAACATTTCCAACACTAAAAATTCATTCAAAAAGTGTTTCAAACACACCTCAATTTTCTCTTAGATTGTTTTTCAAGAGTCTTAACCAAGTATTAAATAAAATAAACTATTATTAGTTTCTGGTCAAAGAAGATTAATTATCTGATAATCTCTAAAATTAAATATGGAGACCTTCAAATATAGTGAAAATTAGGATGAGCAGGGAATATTTGACTATATACCCTTGAGTTGGGTGGACAAGAATATAACAAATTATCCGGCACCTTTGACCGTCAAATCTTCCTCATCGACTAACATATTTTGTTTTCCCGAATTCCATGGATTCATTAATAATACTCATTCTGTCCAAAAATTATTGTCCAGTTTGAGATTTCACTTTCAGTACAATTTGAACTAAAAATGAAAATTCAAACTGGACAATAATTATGGGACAGAGGGAGTACTAATAATAGTTTCTTGAATTCAATTCATGTACAAGCTTGCCCCTAAAATGTAACAACTTATTGCAACTCGACACCACATTTTGCAAGTAATACAAGTAAACCACCTCCGTCCGAAGTACCTTTGAGTTTTGGGTAACATTATGGACATAATAAAATTATGATAAACAAAGGACGATGAAGATTGCTCTGTTCTGTAGTAATAAGGCCAAATTCTGAATTTTCAACAAACTTTTGCTCTGTTTCTTAAAAATTGCTCTATCCAATCATCACCCTTTCATTTTTTATTTTTTTTTGGTTCGAGTTTCCAAAAAAAACCCTTTCATTTTTATTTTTCATTTTCATTTTTAATCAATTTTCTGGACCAAAATGAAGGAAACGCCAAAGCTTTGAAAACTTTATCTGTAAGCAAGAAAACCACTCGGCCACGGTATGGTCAAATGCATTTGACTCAAATCGGAACAAAACTTGCCGAAATTTGCAATGGAAATATTTATCCTTTGGAAGCGGAGGAGTACATCAAGTTACATGATAAATACGGCAAGTACAAAACTATGATGCCAAATGATACACTTCATCATGCATTGTGATTATGAATTTTAATTATTTATCATATCAGAAAAATGTTTATTTATTGAAGTAAAACATTAAAATTTATTCAATACAATGGAATTTTGATTAGTGAATTGCTAAACGCAACATAATTTTACTTTGCACAACTTGTAAAATAGACTAAAATACCTATGAACTATAAATCTTCCTAAATTTTTTTATAAGACCATCTCTTTTTACAACTTCATACATATTCTTTCAAGATACATTGAAAATTCACCGATTACTAATAGTTTTAATGTCGGAGTACCGAAAAACTTGTGAAAGAGGAGAAAATGAGGTGATATTTGGGCCAATTTTTTACTTTTTCTTCTGGTGATCAGGCGGCTTTGAAGTTTTGGACTTTTTGGCGGATTTTTTTTTGTTTATTAATTTTTTTTTAACGAAATGTTGTAGGTTAAATTTTTTGGTTTTGGTATGGTTGATGATCATCGTTTTTTTTTTTTTTGCGAAATGTGTGATCGTTTTTTCTTTTGTTGCGACCGCTTTCTTTTCTTTTTTCTATGTTCTTTTTTTTTTTGGATGTAATCGGCGGTTTTGATGTTATGGAGAACAGAAGGTTTAAATTGCCTCTTCTGTAAATATTCAATGCAAGGATTATCGGATTTTCGCCTAAGAAATTTCCATGGATTATTTTTTTACTACAAGTGTGATTCCAGTTTTGTTGATCGGTTTAGAGCAATGAGACAATGAACTTGGGATTGTAAACACTGAAGTTTGAAAATTTGGATATTGCTAAATACAACTTGTTTTTACTTGCGCAACTTCATAAGGGTTATTTAATCTATTTAATAAGATGTGCAAAATAAAATTAAGCTGTATTTAGCAATATCCTTTTGATTATAATGTTGAATGACTACGAATAGCTAAATATTGACCTAGTTACATGATAACATCATTTGGCATTACATTTTTGTCACTAAAACAAGTAAGGTCTTCAGATATAAGCTCCATATTTATAAAGTTTTATTTGAATTACAGTCGATATGACAAATCACCATTTATTTATTTTTTTCATATGAAATTATATATTATTATTATTATTATTTTGTTTTTTGGCTTGTTTCAGAAATTTTGTGATATTAATTGTAATTATGAATTTTGCTCGTGCAAAAAAAAAATTGTTGTATTTTCCCTGTTTTTGAAATAGTAATAACTGTATTTTTTTTTCTTAAAAGAAAAAAAAAAACAAAATGATAGAAGAGGTCACTGTCCATCCATGACGTGGCCGTTTGACCGATTCTGTTCAAGTCAATGAACTGCCATGCTGTTGTCTTTTTCGCAAGTGTTCTGTTGGCTTACATGCGAATCATCCTCTTCTTCAATTTTTTCTTATTTTTATTTTTGTCTCTCCAAACTTAGAAGCAGCTTCAGCTAGGCTCTTCTTGCATCTTTACTATTTCTTCCTTTTCATTTTATTTTTTTTCCCACCGTATTTCATTAATTTAAGGTTATTTAATTGGTGGGATTTTTCTGGATTTCATTTTCTCTACAAAATCTAATGCCTGGGGCAAAAAATCATCTTGGTCATCATCACAGACCAATCCACAGTTTCAACTTCAAGTGAGTCTTCCTCGTGTATATGATTTGTTCATGGGAATTTCTTCATGCCCTTTTTCTTCTTTCTTGATTGGTTTTTGTTTGCTGTTTACCGTTGATTTGATTATTGGGATGATGGCTTTCTTTTCTTTCTTTCTTTATTTTATAAGCAGCAAGTTTGCTCGGTCGTATTCGTGTTTGATTTTTTCTCCTCCTTGTTTTTCCTGTATTTAACATGTTGAAACTGAGACTTGGTCAAGGGTTTTAGGTGAGAGGAAAGTTCACAAATGTTGAATTGAATGGGTAGTTGGGATGTTTGAATTCGCAATAATAGGTGGATGTATTGTTTTCCTTTGACTGCTTTTTCTCCATATTCCACATGATATTGGTTTGATTTTTCTGCATTTCAGTTAAAAATTTAATCTTTTTTCCTGCTAAAAATACTTTACTTTTTGCCATGTCCAATCTGGGATTTCTCATTTATTTTCCTTGAAGTTATGTTAGTCTCAATTGTATTTGTTCCCATTTTTCGGCTATTTCAAAATTTGTTTTTAACAGTCTGAATAGTCAAAAAGGTAATCACACTTGATGTTCTCTATTCGGGCTTCCAGGAACAAACCCTCAGTTTCTCTGATTGGGAGTGGAGGAGGAGTGTAATTTGTTCTTTTCAGATGTTGGGGGAAGGGGACAGGGAGAGGCTTTCAGCTTCCAACAGGAAAACGTATTCCCGCTCTGTCTCTTGGACTGGCCGGTCACCTGCACAGTCTAATTCTAAACCACAATGGAACAGTAAAGCTCGAGCTTGTTTACCACCCCTTCAGCCACTCTCAATCACTAGGCCAGCCGTGGAGGAATGGCCGAAACCTGGGTCAGATGATCTTGGCATTTGGAATAGTCCTCCTACTCCCAGTGTGAGACCTGGATCAATCACGCCCCGTGAGAACTCGGTTTCAGGTCACAAAACACCTAGAGAATTTGAGTTCAAGAAAGATAAGCTCGCATTCTTCAACAAGGAATGTTCGAGGATTGTAGATTACATATACCTAGGAAGTGACACGATTGCAAAGGATCGAGAAGTTCTTCGTCAGAATGGGATTACTCATGTGCTGAACTGTGTTGGATTTCTTTGCCCAGAATACTTTAAAGGTGACCTGATTTACAAGACGCTCTGGTTGCAGGATAGTCCGTCTGAGGATATAACTAGTATCCTCTACGATGTGTTTGATTACTTTGAAGAAGTTCGGGAACAAGGTGGCCGGGTTTTTGTCCATTGTTGCCAGGGGGTGTCTCGATCGACTTCATTGGTCATAGCGTATTTGATGTGGAAGCAGGGGCAGAGTTTTGAAGATGCATTCCAGCATGTTAAGGCAGCCAGAGGGGTGACAAACCCCAATATGGGTTTTGCTTGCCAACTTTTGCAGTGCCAGAAAAGGGTACATGCTCTGCCTGCGAGTCCTAGTTCTGTGATAAGGATGTATAGGATGGCTCCTCACTCACCATATGATCCCCTTCATCTTGTACCGAAGTTATTGAATGAGCCAGGAGCAGAAGGACTTGATTCTCGTGGAGCCTTCATCGTTCATGTCCCTTCAGCTATTTATGTATGGATTGGAAAGCAATCGGTGTCAGTCATGTCTGATGCGGCTAAGGCCGCAGCCAATCAGGTGATTCATTATGAAAAAGCTAAAGGTCCAGTCATAATGGTGAAAGAAGGTGACGAGCCATCTGAATTTTGGGTTGCTCTTCGTAAGGATGGTAAAGTGACTGTTGGAAGCTTTTCTGACGGCATTAGAAGTGTTCCAGGGTATGATTTGGATTTTGAAATTTTTCAGAAAGCACTTGCAGGAGGGGTTGTACCGCCGTTCCAATTATCCGGAACTGGGTCTGAGACTCATCTCCCTGCACGTCAAAATGGGTGGAACCGGTTGAGATGGAAATTTGCGAGTGGAATTATGAAAGAGTTTATAACCTCAACAAAATCTAGCTTCGAGGCTGTTCAAACAGATCATGGACAGGGTGATGAATCAAATGAGCAGACTTTTGGAGAACCTGAAGATACATCATCACCCGTTGACCGTACTCCTCCCTCAAGTCCTCAGTGTGATTCACCGTTAGCCTTTCCTCCTTATGTTGCTGCCAGCTCTAATTGGATCAAACATTCAAGCCCCCTTGATAATCTTTCATTATCTCCTTTTGCTAGCAGAGCGAAGTCTGATACTACATCTCCTTCGCTCTCACCGTCAACTTCAGATTATTCCAGTTCATTTACCTTCTCACCCACTTCTTCTAACTGGTCTGACTTGTCGTGTATGTCCACTCAGCCTTCTCCCTCAGAATTGGAGTCCAAAAATTTAGATCTCCACTGTAGTGATGCCTCCTTAGAGGAAAGTGCACCTTTACTTTGTGATGGAGTTTCATCTCCAACAGAAAATGTATTATCTGGTTCACGTGATTTGCGTATGGCTTGTTTTCCAAGCAGAGGAAGATCAGTTTCTCTTGCAGAAAGAAGGGGAAATATTCCTCCTCCTCGGATGAGGCTGCATTTGATTGATGAAGCATCCCAAGTTCCAGTAGGCTTGACTAGATCGTGGTCATTTACTCGTCCTGATCTTGATGACGAAATGATTACCGAAGCAGATTGTAATAAAGGTTCTGTTGAAAGCTCTTCTGAAACAAGTAGAGAAGAAACAATGACTGATGCTGATATCTTCGTCAGTGATGATGAAGCCCAAAGTGGAGATCAAGATGAGCTCTCTGGAACCCACTATCTATCAAATTTAAAGCATGGATTAAGCCTTTACCGGTGGCCTTCATTACATAAAGTGGAGAGGTGTCATGGTGTCCTTGATTCGACATCTGTGTACATGATGTTTGTACCAGGCACGAGTGATAAGAATGTTTTGTATGTCTGGTTAGGGCATGGAGCTTCAAGTGAAGGGGGTAGAGATAGTGATAGTAGCTCATTTAAAGACATTGAATGGGAAAGAGTCGGGCATGATTTCATTGCTCAGAAAGGTTACCCTACAACCTCTTTGATTCAGGTACATTTCTTGTATATACACCCACATGATAGTATCATGTTTCTTGAAACAAAATCATACTTTTGGAGTTGTGTTTCCATGGACGATGATGTCCAAAGATGTCGAATCAGAGAAGTAAATGTGAAATCTTTATGTCATTCATCTTTCTGTTTGCTTTTGTTCTTTGAGTCTTCAAAATGTGTTATTGACCATTCATGTACCTTGATGTTTGCAGATCGTCAAAGAAGGGGAGGAACCAGAATTGCTTTCAAAGCATCTTCCCTGTTTCTCATTTCAGGACATGTTAGATACTGGAATCCAGTAGGAGAAAATGAGCCTAACCCAACCCTTCCAAACTTTGGCCTGATTTTGGCTTTGTGCATACGAAAGATTCGCTTCGATACTAGCAAGGTAAAGTCTGCAATCCAGGCAGTACAGGTTTTCTTTTCTACTTAGTGTGATGTAAAGAAAGTAACACAACATGCCTGAGGTCATGTGTAGATCCAGTTGCAGTATACCAAAAGCAGGAAGTACAAAAGTTCTTTGGAATTATCAAAGTTTGTAAACTACAATTGTTTTCTTATTTAACTTGCATCAAATGAGCTATTAGTAACATTAACCATCAAAGGTGTGGTACCGATGATCTTTGCTGGCTTCAAATACAATTGTTGAGATACAGAAACTGCAGAGATCTACCAAGGAATAAAAGAAATCTACCCGGTTACCCTATAGAAGAAGCTCTTGCTTGTGGTGGGAAATAAGTTGAGCAAAGAGTCTTGTTTCTTTTTTTGAAAAGGAAGTGTCTTGTTTCACTTACTATACAATGCGTGTATCTCCTGTAATGTATGTATCAAAAGGAAAAGAAATGATACTTGAATGGTTATGTTCTTTTTCTTTTGGTGGTCAATGGAAACGTTCTTTGGTAAGTGCAGGAAATTTTGCGCAACTTCACTTTCTGAAGATGTGCTAAATAGTGAATCAATTAAATAGGCAACGGTCATAGGTTTTGTTGGCATAAATCTCTTGGCTCATAGCTGCGAAAACGATATGGAACTAAGGATGAGATTTTCCCTTGTACCCAAACACCAAAATTTTTCATAAAACTAAAGTTCGATTAAACAATGGATTTCTCAGTCATCAACTGTTACTGTACCATAATAGGTGGACATGTTCCCGGGTGCAGATTCCGCAGCATAAATCCATACATAGAATCTCCAAGCGCGTCAAGCACAGAATAAAGCCGCCCTGATGGCATCTTTCAATGTGAAGTTAGCCTCCATTCGGTAAGGGAACTGGAGGGTGAACCCATCACGATATAGCCACCAACACGAACCCTTCTTCACGGAAGTGTCTATGCTCATAAACTGCATCCTGATATTCCACGGGAGACCATGGACTTTCGGCCGGGCAACTGAACGTGATTTCCAAACCTGGCTGAGGAGTAACTGTTTCGGAAGCTCGTTAACTTACAGCTTTTAGTTTCGTGAGGTCCTTCGAATAGTTGCACTAAACTAACCGTCAGTCTTCTTCTTCTTCAAAAAAACTTAGTAAATAAACGCATCTTTTTTATTACTTTATGTTCTTGTTCACCTCCTGATTTGTAAGCAATGTGAACAAATGCATTTTAGGTACTAAAACTAATCGCCGTATTCATCGTCCGAGTTGTGGGAGCTGTGACAAAACGCATTTTTTAGGTACAGAATACCATTTTCTTTCATTAAAACTGAATGCATTCCAGGTCATTTACTAGCACTCAAGCCTACTACTGAAAACATGATTAACACAATGCAGCTACAATATCGTTACATAGCATTCTAGGCCTACCGATAATTCGAAAGCCAGACTTGTCATAAATTACTTTCAAGTTTGCAAGGCTAAGAAAAAAGAGTTGGAACTTTTGCACGTCAAAAGATGCAAATATATACAGGATTAGTGCCACCGAGATTAGATTAACACTGCTGAATACCTACTTAAAGGATTAGAGGGGTATTAATCAGCAAACTAAATCCATCCGAAGAGTGCAAAAGACATAAAAATCTCTTTTTTCTACCCAGGGCATCATCTCATAATTGGTTTTTTGATCTCAAGTAAGCCATGGTAGGGCCAAGTGCACTACGCCTTAACCAGGGGGATCCCTTTCCACCAGAACTCGGACTTTCCCATGTCTTCACGGCTGACAGTTGTTCCTTCTTAGCACTCAGTTCTTTGCTTAACTGATCCCATATGTCTGTTGCTCCCTTCCCATTCTCTGCATGAGCCAAAACAATAATAAGTATTGTGGCCAAATTTCATAGATCAAAAATGGAACTTAGATCACAAGTACCTGAACCGTTTGTTTGTTTATCGCCATTTGCCAGTTCGGTTCCTGTGTATAGTAACAAGAAGGTTAAGACTATGTACAATCTAAGATGATGTCCCGAGCATGCTAATAAGAGGGGAGGAAAATTTAGGGTAGTGAGATGGATTCAGACTAAAAGACTTTCTATCTATTTAAACTCCTGCGAATTACATTGTCTTTTTTCTCAATTAGAAGTAGAAAAATGTCTAGTTGAACTGAAAGTACTGAGAAATATCCTATTAAATGCTGCTTCATATCTTGACTTACCATAAAGACATAACATTTGTTGTTTCTAAACATTTACTAGCAGTTTATATAAGTTCCAATAGCACTTCTTAACAAAGTAGAATCCACGAAGAGCCTAAACTTTTAAATTTACGAACTTACTATTTTTTCACTTAAATAGTCACATTTCCCATGTGGCCTTTTGGGGGCGTGAGTCTTAGATTCAAAAGGCCAGGGGCTAGGGTGATCATGGGATTAAGATTTAAGAGACAGGGGCACATAGTCAGTTGTTCCTTACGGAAAATCCTATTTATGGAAGCTACATATAGAGATAATAATTGAAAATTCAAGCAAACACTGCATACCTATGGTAGAGGCATGTGTTTCTTTCTTATTACTAGCAGGCATAGCATTACTAGCGTCAGCCAGATCTTCATTCACCTCAACAGTAACTCCTTTAGCCGAGCCTTCATTGCTATCTTTGATAATACGAACATCAATAAGAGTCCGAAAGTCAACCTGCAAGTATTCACACAGCTTTTAGTATAAGAAATGAAATGAGACATGACTTTCCATTACAATACAACAAGATGTTCGTAAGGGTAAAGAAAACTTGAAAAAGACAAATGCTAATGAGTACCTCCAAAGATCCGTCTTCTTTGTATAGGGAATCTTGCTGTGCATCAGGTTCTTCTTCATCTGAGTTCTTTGAAACAATTGGATGCCCAGGAATTTGCATCAGAACTAGCTTACCAGATTTATCATCACACCATGACACATGCCCAACCTACAGCAAACATGTCAGATTCTAGCATGAATGGTTAGTTGTTCAAACAACTAAACGAGTCGCAACATACCCGAAAGGCTGAAACCTCAGGGGTCCAGCTTGAGGACAATTCAAGAAGACGGTAAGCAATCACATCACCAACCTGCTCAAGTAAAAAAGGGACTTAGAAAAAATAGGACACTCATTTCAGTTTAACAGTTTGATTTTATTAAGCAGATAAGCTGGCACTCTTGCACCGAAATCAAAACAGCAAGAAATAAACCGTCTCTTTTGGAAATAAGGAATGGCATTATAGGTCCAAATCTACCCAATTTAACCATTATGTCAAACTTCTAATTACATTTTCAAAGTGGTGGCTCACTCTAAAGCCGGCTGACAAAGGAAAGATATACAGACAGTAAAACTGAAGACGTGATACAGACCAAAACGTGCAAAATAATACATCTAGCCAAGCACCAACCTTAGGCAACTCGGGAAGGCCACGAAGATTATCAAAATCGATTGGGCCATCCAGATTTATTTCTTTTGGTAATACTAATGTTTTAGGGATATCTCTATCAAAATCTTTATGATTACTTCGCCGAGAAAATGAATTTCTTTCAGTGCCCCACTTTTGGCCCTTTCTTTTGCTGTTGATTCCATTCCAGTGGCGAGGCACCTAACATGGACAAGGTATCAATATGTGGTGAGCCACTTAAAAATCCTCAAAAAGAACATTGTACAGAAGAATTCCAGGGAAGAGTGTGCTATAAAGCATAACGCATAGAACACCTAAGTTAAACACAAATGAAAAGTTTGCAGAACCATATATATGAGTTACATTCACCAACAATAGGAATTCAAAAGCAGATCCAGTACTTCACCAAAATATCAATTAACTAGCTTCATCATAGTTACTTAAAGAGAAGAAAGCCTAGTCAAATTGGTACCAGACAAAGAAATCTATAAGGGATGTAAAATTACTACCAGATGTAAACGAACTACCAATATGACATCCTCCTCTAATTACTTAAGCAAACAAATATTCTCCTATATCTAGATGCTTGACCCCAGCCTTAGAAATAATCTCTATTATAGTGAATCAAATTCATTAAACCTTTAGCTCAAAGCTCATGATGACGACTCTTCAAAAATACTTTAAAGTAAGGTAAATGATAACAAAATGTTGAACAAATGAAGCTGAAACACACATCACCCACCCACCCACCCACACGCGCGCGCGCGTGCACATAAAAATGAAAATGAGGGTAACGGTATCTGAACATATAAAGTTTAAGCACCTAGCAGTCCTTCAAACAACAAAATTAGCATGTTATATATAATGCCAGAGATTTACAGAAACTTGATCCTCATTAGAAATATATCAGGATGTGCAATAATAAATCAGACCTCAGGGACTTGATTGCACACCTCAGGGTTTGATTCTGCATCACATCATCTTCTGCAATTCCAAAAACAAGCATTCAGAGAGGACAAGTTATCGACTGCTTAAGCAGTAGATGTGCCAAATTCAGAAAGTTATCAGGTTACACAATATAATTTTCACAAGAGTCATGGTTGCTCGCAACAGGAGTTAGAGTATAATTTGATTGCTAATCTTCAATGGGAAGACAATTCTATTTCTTAGTTTTATAATTCAAATAGCACAGTCAAACGACAAGGACCAAGGCACAGATGAAGTGATATAGGAGCAAGAAGGAAACCCTGCGAGCCTCTCAAATTACTTGAACAACGAAAGATAGAAAAATCTAAGAGAAAAAGGTTTTTTTTTTTTTTCGGGGAGAGGTACTAGAGCTTAAAAAAATCTGTTCTTGCCACTAAATGATAGAAACCTTTTTTATTTATATGCAACTACATGTCAAGAAACTAGGTCAAAGGATTGACAATGTTGCAAAGATTAGTATAGAATGAGGAATCATGTCCCCAAATCATCTCTGCAGCCATCTCGAAATTTAATCACTAAGATAAATCTTATAGCTCTGTCCCAACTCCCAACAGAGATGAAAAAGCAGTTTACTTCTTGGGGTTCGACATGTGAGTAGTATATAATATCAAGAAATGGAAAAAAGTTGATTTAGGAATCTAATTTGCACTTTTCTTTTTACTTCAGAATAACTTGATATCTGAATCAACAACCTCCTACAGTGGTCTCGAAGTGTATATAATACCTGAATTTATAGCAGCCCACAGAGAGAGAGAGAGAGAGAGAGAGAGAGAGAGAGAGAGAGAGAGAGAGAGAGATGACTGAAAACCAGACCTTTCTCTCGAGGTTCAAAGCGGATATGCCCTGGCCTTACTAGAACTGGAACAACTTCATCATCTACATCTGTAGTTTTATGGGATTGATTAGATAGAGTACCATTTTGACTTGTATCTCTATAAGCTTTCTTATCTTTATGTGTATCCCTTTGGGATGACTGCTTCCAATATAACTGCAAATAGAATTTGCATTTTAGAAACTGGTGCTAGAGATTTACACGAATATGAAGCAGTTTTACATTCACTTACTAGACCCTTTGGTTGGCCATCATCTTCTTTGTCATTGACTTGAGCCGATTTTTGTTTCCAATTGTTCTTCTTTACATCAGCTCTGCCAGATTTTTGTTTCCAACTCTTCTGCAAAATCCAGCAAGTTATTAGAATATAGATTCTTGAAGCTACAAAGGCTAATCATTAGTGTTTCTTTGCTCACAGTTTCCTTGGTTTTAGAATCGCTGCTCTTTTTCTGAATTTTTGCCATCTCACGTATCCATTGCCTCTTAGCTTTTTTCCGCCGTGCACTTCTGCTTGCACGCTAATAGACAAAATTGAATGACACATTTAGGTTTGAAACAACCTTCATCAAAGCAAATTAAAGAGATTACAGACTACAATTTTCATAGAAGCACTGCATCTTAAGGAATTACATTGATCAAATATGTAGTAAAGTACCTTAAAACTCGACAATAGCCAATCTTTTACATGGTCTATTTTTCTGAGAGTTCAAATTGTTATGGCTTTGCTAGAATTTGATTTATTCATATTTTGTATTTATTTCCCTTATGAATAGGTATATGCTACTCGAAATCCCCGACAAGCAAATTAGTTCCCCTAGAAATATTACAGGTATTACTCATTCAAATTAGAATCTGATTCAATTAGCTTTACAGGTAAAAAGCGCGAATCTCCAACATAAAGAAATATATTCCAACAGAACTCAGACACTCATATATGCAGTTTGGCAAACCTTTTCTTTTTCTCCAGCTGCTTCATTAGGTTCTTCACTTTGTGGAGCTTGGTCAGAGCTGCAAAACAACTGCATCATTGCCGGAAGATAACAACATATAGATACTGTATTGAGCAACATTACTATAGAACAAGTACTCACGCACATGTAAGGAACAAAATGGATGGAGGAAAAGTATTAAGTAAAAAGAGGCCAAACCAAAAGAGATTTTGGACTTTAAGAAGCATAATAGCAAACTCTTGAACTGCATTGGTGCTCAGTAATGCTGCTTACATTTAAAAGCTAAAAACTAAGCAGCGTATGAAATATGAATAGTAACCACCAGCGCAGAAGTTCAAGATGAAACTAATCAATTGACAGGGGTTAAACAATGGAAGTCCCAGAAAATGCATATAGGCTGCGTCCAACACAGTTCACAAGAAAAACCAATAAAAAAGAGAACATAACTAACTGAATGAGACAATTCTAATGTTACAGTGGCACTAAATGCAATCCTATCATACCTCGGCTTAACTGGAGAGGCAACCAAGCTTCCATCACCTGCTTTAGTATTCTTTTGGCCATTCTTTCTCTTGAGCTTAGATCCTTTTTTCTCCTTTTGTGCACTTTCATTCCCGACAAGGATCCCTTCTTGGTCAGTATTCTCAGCCTGCTTTGTCGGCAGATCATTTTCAAAATTTCCCTCAACTCCAGAGCGATGTTTCTTAACTCTGTAATTTACCAGAATGAAAGAAAATTAGAATTAATATACTTCAAAATTTGAAGCATGGAGAGCATGAGGAATCCTAGTAAAGCATCAATAAGTATAAGAATATTCACCTTGTTGCTTGAAGATCCTGCCCAGCTTTTCTTTTCTTTGAGTTTGCATTTGTTTGGGAATAATTTTCCATTTCTCCCTCTTCCAGTTCATCCACCAAATCCTCTTGCTCATCCTCATCCACCTCTTCGGACTCATCTTCAGGTTCATCACTTTGATAACCTCCGGTTTCTTTTTCAAGCTCATTGTTAGCTAAAAGTAATGTTCTGGTTTGTGCATTATGATTCTGGATAGCTCCTGACCCCGCAATTAAGCCGGAACCATTGTTTCCTTCGAGAGAATATGTGATCTCTTTCTTCCTCACACTATCACAGCAAAACAAATGAATTTTTCTTATCATACTAACATTACTAGCTCATCGGTATCCATAAAAGTTAAACATTTCAAAATACTAATATGAACTGAAGTTGAAGAACATGAGCCTAACCTGATGACATCTTTATCCTTCAAAATGGTAGTTGATTCGAACCAAGGCAACACGAAGCCATCCATCTAAAACCAAAAGAACTCACCATCACACATCCATCACTAAACTTATAAGACAAACAGAGCTGAAAGGAATGCTGGTAAATTAAATGAGAAAGTATCGATTTTCTTTTTTTAAAAAAAGTAAGGAACAAACTCATGCCTTTTGCCTTTCTCAAAATATTTCAAACAAACAAAACCTCATAAATACAAGTTTGATCATGCAACCCGGTGAAGTAGGCATAAGTTCCTCATTAACCTATTTTGAAATTAGTAAAACTTTTATTTTATCAACATCAAACCCACCTGTCCCAACTACATTGCTTAATCATCAAAGCCACACTCTTCTCATAACAAAGAAAACGAAGCAAAATGCACCCAACAACGAAGCAAGAAATACACAAAAGTAAAAGGAATAGAAGCACAAACATAGAGAAGGAGGCCATGAGGACAAGTGGGTTGAAGGTGAAAAGCCTGGAGGATATGTTGAGTGAGGTCGGAGATGGTTTGTTGCTGCTGGGGTTTAAGGAGAACCCAACATCGCTCAAGTCCTTCTGCTTTCTGGGCATCGCTCAAAATCGCATCTTTATCATCAAACACCAAACGAACCCTTGTGATGGCTTCTTCCATTGTTCATGCAAAGTTGAAAACCCTTATTTTATCTCGCTTTCCAATGGCTTTTTTTGTTGCAGACCATGAAGAGGCTTCTCAATTGGGATCCCCCTCTTTCTTCACTTCCTCCACAGTGACAGTGGCAACTAGTAAACCCCCACTACAGTTTGTATGTGTTATTTTACCCAGTTAATTTCACTGTTTTACCCTTCAATAAAAATAAATGAAACTGTAGTATAATTTCAGTTACATGGCATACATTTCTTTTTTTCTATTTCTCTTTTTGACGGAGATAGTTATTTATCCCTTTAAATCATTTGAGGCATATGTTTGGTTGGATTTTGGGTAGCTTCTCTTTTCTTTTTTTTTTTTGTATTTTAAAAATATTTAATAAATATATTAATTAAATAATTTTTTTAATAAATACACCTTTTCTTTTCTTTTTTTGACATTCTGAATACATACCATTTTAGGTTACAAACCCACCCCACAAATAAAATCATGAACATGAAATAACAAACTGTAATAATAATACTAGTAGTATTAATGGTGCTTTTTCTTTTATTCCTTATTTTTTAGCATTGTACTGACTATTCTTGTGGATTGTACTTATTATTTTTGTGGATCGAAAGAAGCACAATTAAGTGAAATATTTTGGAGTGAGTATTATTTGTCATTTTTTTTTCCCAACACATTACTTTTCTTTTTCAAAACAACTTCTAACATTTTCTTTGATTCTTAAAATTTCAATCCTACACGCTATAGTAATTCTACTGCGTAATCGTATTGCACTATTGCTTCAAGCCTTCAATTTTTATTTCTTTATTTATTTTTTAATATTGCAGGGTGTCCACTGTCGGCAATAATAACTAATCCTTCTCGCTAATGATAAGTATCTTGATGGGTGGGAGAACTGACTAAAAGATTTAAAGTTATTCCACACCCACGATGAGGTTCGAACACTCGACCTATGGTTAAGAACCGTTTTGGTTGTTCAAGCCTTCAATGTAGTAAAACACTTTTCGATTTCCGAAGTCAATTAATTACAAACGACATTTCCCAAAGCAGTTTTGAGGCATCAACCTTGTGATTCTCGAAAAATTGGAGGGAAAATAGTATAATTATAGGATGAGCAAAGGAGGTAATTGGCATTTACAATTAAAAAAAGGGGGAAAATGTAAAAAAGGAATAAACAGTCCTGTCTTAACACTTGAACCCGATCTGAAGTCACAATTTTCTTCCACAGTCAGCGCTAGACATCAAAGAAGTGAAGTGTTTGTTGCTGGAAAAAGAAAGAAAGAAAAAAAAAAAAAAGATTGTGAAATTAGCAAGAAAGGCCCATCGGATTTTGTATAATTAAATAGTTTAAGCTCGCCGGACGGGAGTCCTCTGCCGTGAATTCTCGAAGCTGGCGTTCAGTCCGACGAAACGTGCAATGGTAGAGCTCCGCCACTCCAGTTCAATCGGAAGCCGGGCCTCGACGGGGAGTTCGCCGATGAAAAGGGATGATGTGTCCTTAGCTTCCTCCCCTTTGTCCCCGGCTAATCTTCCGTCTTCACTGGCTGCCGCTGCCGTCGTCGACGATGACGATGATGATAATAGGACTCGTCATTCCAGAGATCGCGGGCTCCGAAATCTCTTTGCCAATCAGTTGCATTCCCTCTTCCCTTTTTCCTTCACCGACGACGTTAGGGTCCACACTCACAATTCAAGGATCTCAACTTTCGTGCTCCTCTTTATTTGTTTCACCCTCATCATTTCCGTTTTTTCAGTCGTTAATCGATTGGTGAGTGTGCTTGATTTTTCAGATACTGTTCATGAACATATTCTTCTTTTCAATTGATTATTTCCTTTTTGCGGGCGTAGATTAGTTTTGTGGTTAATGGAATGATAAAGTGGTGACATTTTCGGTTTCTGATTCTGGGTTCCATTTTTTAGGTTATTCTATTGTATTTGGCTTTTAAAATTTTCCTTTGATGTACTTTGTAGAACTCCCCATATCTCTGCAAGAAAGATGGCATTACTCTCCATTGTCCAAGGGTAAGCTCAAAAGGGCCAAATTTTTGTGCTTTGATCCTGTTTCTTTTTGAGTCTTAAGTGAATGAATGAAGTTAATGATATAGAGTAATTGTTTTCATGTCATTTTGAATCAGGTGAAGGAGCATCCTTCACTATGGGAAAATCCATACTCGGCTACCACCTCGTGGAAACCATGCGCCGAACGGCGTGTTGGTGTATTTTCAGGTACTTGTAGTGTTTTTATCGCATTTCTGAGGCTGGATTTATTTCTTCTTGATTGAGACTTTTTTTCGAGAGGTAGAATTTCCATCATTTCTCTGTTTTATTTTGATCCTTTGTATTTTGTGTTGCAGATCTTCCTGCTGAGAATGAAACAAATGGATACATATTTATACATGCTGAGGGTGGTTTGAACCAGCAAAGAATTGCGGTAGGGCTCTCTTACTTATATTTACACATTGTTTAGTACCAAGCAAAGGAAATTTCTTTTGTTTTGTCCAATTGGTCAACTTGTGTCGTGTGTAACGTAAACTTGAGTGTTGTTCCTTGTGATATCAACTGACCTTTCCTCATCTTCCACGTGACTGTTTTTTTTGGGAGCTATTATTGTAACTTGTTGGCGGTTTGATTCCAAAGTTTTTCCCCGAAGTAAACTCATGCTTGGTGTCAGATTTTTGCTAATATATTTCTTATTGAAATGTTATCTTCCATTCCTCAATTTCATACATCCCATGTGTTTTTGTGCAGATTTGCAATGCTGTAGCTGTGGCCAAGATCATGAATGCCACCCTAATTTTGCCAGTGTTGAAACAAGATCAGATATGGAAAGATCAAACGTGAGTATACGTTGGATAGAACTACTAGACAATAGTGTCCCATGCTTTAGAACTTATACTTGACAATTAGTCAAAGTAATGTTGGCATCTAGTATTTCTGTGCTGTTTTTTTTCCAAGCTGCTGTTTCTTTAGGCACTAATATTTTATTGTGTGACTCATGATGCATGCAGTGTGCACTTTATGTTACCACTTTCACTACCATATAAAGATTAGCGTTTATCTATTTTAGTTCTTATGGTTTTTGCGACTGTTAATACTTAATTGCCTTACATGTGCTGATGAATTCTTTTATGGTTAGAGATTTTTGTATTTTCCTTGTGAAAAGAATGCACTTCTATCATAATCCTTGAGATATAATTTTATTCTGTCCTTGCCGTCTCTCATTTATGGCTACTTCAGTTATTTCTTTTTTGATACTTATATTGCTCGATGTAGTATCCTGAAGCTTGGTGGTCACACTGTTGGTTTCCTTGATCTCTGCTTTAATTTTCATGCTTGTCATCTTGTGCAGGAAATTTGAAGACATTTTTGATGTTGATCATTTTATTGACTACTTAAAGGATGATGTGCGCATTGTTCGGGACATTCCTGAATGGTTTACTGACAAATCGGAGCTGTTCACGAGCATAAAGTATGATTCTTGCTATTTTTTCCCTTACAGGATTATTGATGTTATATGCCACAAATCATGATGAATGAATATTCGAGTCTTTTCAACAATATACCATAAAATTTATTCAACACATAAGATCATCTTGTAATTATATTAGTGTACCTCTTATTCCCATTTTGTATAGGACTGTGTACTTTGGTGTTTCTAGTTCAAAAAGGGGATAATGTTTGACCTTAACATGTTAGGTTTGAGTTTAAACTTTAAAAAAGCATGGCTTTTCCTTAATTCATTTGGTTGTGATCTATGTACCTTAAATGACAGACGTACTGTGAAGAACATTCCCAAATATGCACCAGCACAATTCTACATTGACAATGTGCTACCTCGGATCAAGGAGAAGAAGATAATGTCCTTGAAGCCTTTCGTTGATCGACTTGGGTAAGTTATTCCACGAATGACACTCTTAAATCATTTGATTATCTAAACGGGGTTGTTCCCTTTATCGCTAACACAAGTAGATCTTTTATTTAGGTATGATAATGTTCCCCAAGAAATCAACAGGCTGAGGTGCAGGGTTAATTATCACGCTCTAAAATTTCTCCCTGAGATTGAGCAAATGGCTGATCAACTGGTATCACGGATGAGAAACCGCACCGCTGATTCAAATCCATTCATGTAATACTTTCAATAATTTTTGTGTTCTGTTGATTCAGTGATCGTTTGTGTTACTCTTTTGGACTAATCTCCGTTCTAAAAAACCGCTTCTCAAGCAGGGCTCTTCATTTGAGGTTTGAGAAAGGGATGGTAGGCCTTTCATTTTGTGATTTTGTGGGAACAAGAGTAGAGAAAGCTCTCATGGCTCTGTACAGGCTTAAAGAATGGCCTCGACGTTTCAAGGTTCTCTCTAGATCATGACTATCTTATAGAAAATGTAAAAGATTAACAATATGGAACTAATATATGTTGGGGGCTAATGGCAGGATGGTTCACATCTGTGGGCTCTAGCCCTCCAGAAGAGGAAGGAAGGCCGGTGCCCACTTGAGCCTGGAGAAGTGGCAGTGATGCTTAGAGCAATGGGTTATCCCAAGGAGACTCAGATATATGTTGCTTCGGGACAGGTCTATGGCGGACAGAACCGCATGGCACCATTAAGGAATATGTTCCCGAATCTTGTAAGGATAGTTGCACATTTTTTATCTGGCTATATAGAATTCTATCACTGAGCCTTGTCTTTTTGTTTGTTTGGTCATGTTCTTTTACATAGACATTCTGCTCCTGTATGAAAACTATTGTAGACATTAGCACTTTGATCACACTAAACTGTTTCGAATTTTAGGAGGAAATATTTTCTGCTTCAAAGGATTTTTATTTGCAGCAGAATGGAGACTTCTTTGTCATTTGAGTGAACAGTTGTTACTGCATTTAGTTGGGATCTATGGAAGCTGGTTTTTTTTTTCATGTTTATTTTTTTATAAGAGAGGATTGAAGTAATTAATGCGGAAGTCTTAGACGTTGAGTTTTAATGGTAATGGATTACTGTTTTGGGTTTTGTTGGAATCTGTTTTTTTGAGTAGTGTGCTTGTAGGAGAAGCATTCTGTCTTGCTCTTTTTTATTGCCATTTGTCATAGAAGTCATTGCTTTTATTTGGATATTCATTTGAATTAGCTAGCTTGTCTGTTTGCCCTCGCAGTTGGTACTTATTTTTGGGTCTTCTGTAACAGGTTACTAAAGAAGAATTAACAACGAAAGCAGAGTTAGATGGGTTCAGGAAGCACGTGACAAGCTTGGCAGCCCTTGACTTCTTAGTCTGTTTGAAATCCGATGTATTTGTTATGACTCATGGAGGGAACTTTGCAAAATTAATAATTGGATATAGGCGATACATGGGTCACAGGCTAAAATCCATCAAGCCCGACAAGGGACTTATGTCCAAATCATTAGGGGACCCGTATATGGGGTGGGCTAGCTTTGTGGAAGATGCTGTGGTCACACACCAGACCAGAACTGGATTACCTGAAGAGACCTTTCCTAACTATGATATCTGGGAGAACCCCTTGACACCTTGCATGTGTAGAGCCTAAGTCTGATAGCTTGTATAGTGGCAGTAAACACTGAAGAGTTCTATTTAAAGTGCATCTGATCAATTTGTGATCATGGATTTGGAAAGCAATCCAAGAAGCTGTTCCCAGAAGTCACTGACTCTGAACTCCATGACGAGAACAACCATAGAAAGATGGAATCTACTTGGGTATGCAGAGTGCTGGTTGCTGGAATGGCATACTGGAGCTGCCTGCTGGTTGCCTGACCTGGTGCCCTTCCTGTGAAAGAAACATACAACAGTTTTGTATCTCACCGCTACCTTATTCTTGTTGTTCAATTAATACTGTACATTAGGATTTCTTGGAAATGTTTTAGTTTAAGAAATTTCATCAAAGAAAATGGCTATAAGCTCCTGATGATATGTTGTTATTTGCAGTTACAGGGCCAGTGTTTTATCTAACTTAATAGTTACTAGTTGTGTGATAGAATCAAACTCTCTATTAGAGCATCCTTGCATATATATATGAACTTTGAGGTAGTTATTGAACTGGTGTGGTTTTCCAGGCTCAAGTAATTGGCTCAAAGCTTTTCAATATCTTCTGCTTCTTCTTTTGTTGTTATTGTTGTTGTTGTTGTTGTGTTGAAAACATGAAGTGGGCTAAACTTATCAATTGTGAATTCATCCTGAAGCATCATAAGTCCACTCCTTTCTCCAATAATGCAAGGGTAACTAAGATTTATTGATTACCCAAGGAGAACAGTTACTAATTCGTCTAGGAGTGGAATCATTACCCAAAAGCTCCAATAATTCAGACCCCCTTTTTTCTTTTTCTTTTTTTTTTTTTGTAAAACCAAGAAAAGCAAGACAATTCTTTGGGGTACAAATGAGGATATTAGCAAAAAAAAAAAAAAAAAAAAGAAGAAGAAGAAAGGGGTAAAACGAGGAGTTTGGCCGAGCGAATTCTGCAGGCGCCATTCTCAAAGTTTATTTACAGCATTGAAAACCGGAAAGTTAGTTAAAGTAGTTACGCTACTGAACACTTGCCACGACAACGTTGTTTAACAGATACGGCGTTCAAGATTATTTAAAAAAAAAAAATACTCGTAATAAATGTAAAATACAGACTCTTTTCACTGTCAGTTTGTCACCAACAAAAAAATGATGAATTAGCCGCAATGAAAAGCATGCCCCCATAATAATAAATGATGATGATTCTCACTGCATTATCTGCATCGTCAGCACTCAAGCTCTCATTCTCTCTTTTTCACAGTACAGATCATTTGAATTTAGATAGAGATATGAAGCAATTAATTGATTGCCAAAGAAAGAGAACAAATCTTTGACTACTTGTTTGAAACTTTCTTCCGGGTTTTTCCTTTTTGGTAAGCCACTAATAGTTTTGACTGCAACCGTTACTCCCATTGGCCTATAAATTGATGATCTCCATCAATCACTGATACAGGTGCCATGAACACGATGAAGTATTTGTCACTGATAGCTTTCCTCTTCCTTTTCTGTGATTTCTCACCCAGGTAACCTCTGAATTTCTTGTTTGGTTTGATTGATCATTGAACTTCATAACCTTTTTGTTGATGGCCCTGATTCTTGAATTGCGAATTCTGAATTATTCTACGTCTGCCCAATTCATTTGGGGTATTTATATGTTTGGTTGTACTCTGTTCAGCTAATCTAATTCTAAGGTACTGGTCTGAGTGATGACTAACATCAGCTGCTGAGGAGCTTCTCATAATCTTATTATTTTTGGGCAAATTTTTTTTTTTTTCTTTTCCCTAGGAACAGAAATTTGATAGCGTGTTTATGTTGTTTTTGGTAGAATATTGGGTATACAGCAAGCTAATGTCCCACCCAGAGGTTGGAACTCTTATGATTCATTTTGTTGGACAATATCTGAGGATGAGTTTCTGCAAAATGCTGATCTTGTTGCTAAAAAACTGCATCCTTTTGGTTACGAGGTGATGTACATACATGTTTATGTGATTTCCGTAGCAATCTTCATTGCTTAATTGGCTAATTCATAGTGTTCCTGTTGTGAATGTTTGGCTTGTGTTTCCAGTATGCAGTGCTAGACTATCTTTGGTACAGGAAGAAAGTGGAAGGTGCTAATGTTGATTCACTTGGATTTGATGTGATTGATGAGTGGGGAAGGGTGATTCCTGACCCGAGCAGATGGCCTTCTTCCAAAGGCGGGAATGGGTTATCAGAAGTAGCCAATAGAGTGCATAAGTTGGGTTTGAAATTCGGGATTCATGTAATGAGAGGTATCAGTACCCAAGCGGTCAATGCTAACACCCCAATTCTGGATATCAGTACGGTAAACCTACTCATTCATTGTCTACAATTTACTCCTTGCACCCTTTTGTCGATTTTACAAAATTGTTTCTTCAATGAGAGAATATGTAACCTTTGTGCTGGTGAGAAGAAGGGAAAGTTTCATGGCTAGTGACTCATATGCATGAGAGTTGGTCATCATTTGTACACGTTTGAGAGTCCTCTAACTGCTTATTTTCATTTAGGGCAAGGCTTATGAAGAATCTGGAAAGAAGTGGTATGCAAAAGATATAGGTTTAGAGGAGATGAAATGTGGCTGGATGCAAAATGGTTTCATGAGTGTGAATATGCATTTAGGAGCTGGAAGAGCATTTATGAGATCCCTCTATCAGCAGTATGCAGACTGGGGAGTTGATTTTGGTAATCATCTTACATTGCCAGTCAAAGCTGAAGACCTAATATAAACATCTGATATATTCTTCGAAGCACTAAAATTCTCTGTTTCTGTGGTTTTTGAAAATTTTACTTTTATCAGATTTCGAATATTATACATGCTCACTTTCAAGTCTTATATCAATTTCTTAGTTTTGCAATGTCACTCAGTGGATAAAGATCAAAGTTGATGTGCTCCTTCTTTGAATGCAGTGAAGAATGACTGCGTGTTTGGCGATGACTTGAACATAGATGAGATAAAATTCGTTTCACAGGTATCCGTTTCCTGCATTGTCCGAGAGATCAAAAGTTCTTTTGAAAATCTGACCAACTTAAGAAGCGATTTCTAATTAAAACCTCATCAACAAATGTGGCATTTGGCAGCTGTTGAATGAGTTCAGTCGCCCAATTCTGTATTCATTGTCTCCAGGGACTAGCGCCTCACCAAGTATGGCTAAGGATATAAATGGCCTAGTCAACATGTATAGAGTAACAGGGGATGACTGGGATACGTGGGGAGATGTTTCATCCCATTTTAATGTTGCACGGTATGAAGCTAACACACACCACTTGTTCAAAAGTTTCTTACAGTCTACTTTTTCTTGAAATTTTTGCTCCTTTTTTGATTGTTGTTTATGAATTTTTTCACTTCTCTTGCAGCGATTTTGCTGCAGCTAAAATGATAGGAGCCAAAGGTTTAAAGGGGACGTCATGGCCGGATTTGGACATGTTACCTCTTGGCTGGCTAACTGATCCAGGTGACGTATCTTAAGCATTGACATCAGAGACGCTATGATTCTTTACTGTTCCAAAAGTCTCTAACTATGTATACTTATCATACTCTACTACAACTGAAATTTATGATACCACAATAAGGTCTCAGGATGAAAGATGTTGATGTAAAATTATTTGCACATCTCCTGAACAGGTTCGAATGATGGTCCACATAGAAATTGCAGGCTCAGTATAGATGAGCAAAGAACTCAGGTATGTATAACAGATTAGTTCAGGAAGTTAGATTTATCTGACAAAATTTCGGTTTTTACCATCAAGTTATTTAACCATTTTCATTATTTTGGCAGATGACTCTGTGGTCCATGGCTAAGTCTCCCCTAATGTTTGGAGGGGACATGAGAAATCTAGATGAAACAACCTTCAGTCTCATTACCAATCCTACTTTGCTGAAGATCAACTCTTTTAGCTCAAATAACATGGAGGCAAGTGAATGAAAAGGCCTTAATGCTTATAGATGTATAGAAAAAAGATTATAGTACTGTGCTAAAGCTTTGAATGCAGTTTCCATATATTACAGGCGCTAAACATCAAGAATTTAGACGTTATGCTCTCGCTAATCAAGTAGAAAGCTACAAAGTTGTAGATGGCTTAGAATCAGAAGATCGTTTCTTGGGCATGACTAGCTGCAGAGATGTCAATGCTAATGGCTGGTCGGCAGAAGCATATGACGATGAGCTTGAGAAAGTTTGCTGGAAGGAAAACTCGCCAAGTGAACAACAGGCACCTTTCTGCCTATACAAGAGAAAACTGCTTTTGGAATCGTAAATAGTCTATTTATTTGTTTGGTATTGACACACAAATTGTTCTAGCTCAATTGCGAATCCAAGGTTTGATATTGCAACTTTGTGGTAACGTGCAGAGATGGAAATATGATGTCTAACAAAAATAGTCGCTGCAAACTACATCTGCTAGCGACTGAAAGAAGAGAATTCTGCCTTGGTGTATCTCCAAATCGAAAGCTTGCCTCTAAAGAGTTCAGAAGAGGGTCATTTTTGCCTTGCAGACGAGATGCTAATCAGGTTACTTCTAGTTTAAATTTCGACATCATTCATGTTCGACCTATTAGAAGGATGACATGGATTGATTGAAGTGAATGCTGTCAAAGAATTATGTCGATTTTTTTATTCTCTTTCTTTTTTCTTCCTTCTTCTTTCGCTATGGAAGTGTGATATTTGATGCGGGTTTCATGACCAGATGTGGGAGTTAAGTCATAACGGAACCCTGAAAAGCCATTATTCAGGACTATGTGCCTCGGTGAATGCTATAAAAGGTGATGAACTGAATCCTAGTATTGCCATTTGTCATGAACAAGTTTATGTAACGATAATGCTGAAATTGTTTCCTGTTACCCGCAGCTAATGAAGGGGAAGTTCGATCGTGGATTGCTACTGGAACACAAGGTTTGATTTCTGAAACTTGTAACTGAGTTTTATCTTTATAATGACCAAAAACTTACAAAAACAACTGCCCATTGGTGAACTTCTTTTGCTAGCTGAAAGAACCCTTGATTAGTCTTGAGCCTCCGCCTTCCCTAGTTACTTTTCTAAGTTTTCACAGATATGACAGACAATTGTCCAACTATCTCGTGCCTGATTATCCTTCCTTCAATGCAGGGGAAATATATCTTGCATTTTTCAATCTGAACCCTGAGGCACACACCATCTCCACGGAGATATCGGACATAGGAAAGGCTCTTCCAGGAGGAAAAGTTTACTCAGACTGCAAAACCACAGAAGTTTGGACTGCGAAAGACTTTGGAGTTGTAACAAAAATGATATCAATGGTTGTACCACCACATGGATGTGCATTATTTACACTACACTGCACCTAATATACATGCTGAAGCATCAATTTCTATCATCTTCATTTTGGTCCAATTATTATTAATATTATATGTATTGCATAGAGGAAAAAATGAGCTTAAACATTAAAGTAACAAAATAATCATCTACAAAAAAAAAAAAACAAATTTATATAGATAGAGTCCTCTGATTCACAAAACCTCAACTGTTACCATTAACAACCAAATCTTTTATCATGTTAACAAATGCCCGTTCCTCATTTTCTTTTTTCCTTGAATACAATATCGAGCAACTTTCAGAAAAAAAAAAAACGAATATATTAATATTGCTTTTTCATTCTGGAACAACATAAATCAAGTCCTTTTGACAATGTCACAAATCAATCAAGTTCTTTTTCCAAACTAATTTTTCAACAATGAACAACTAGCAATTACTCCCTCCCTCTGTTCCAAAATTATTGTTCAGTTTGAGGTTTCACTTTTAGTACAATTTGAACTAAAAATAAAAACTCAAACTAAACAATAATTATGGGACGGATGGAGTATTTGTTTTTTTCAACATTAAATTGTTTTCTCACTTCCTTCTTACAAGGTAAAAAAGGGGCGTGAAGCACTATTGCTTTGTCAAAAACTCAAGCTTTAAGGATGTAGCTGTTCTTGGCACCTCATTCAGCCACTCGTCATGTTGTGTTTTCCATTCTATTATGGCTTCGCGTAATCTTTTGTACTGTTTTCATGCTTGGCTTACCTAGTTCCTATCACTGTAATCTCAATTAGTGTTGAACCGTTTTTTCAACTAATAATGAAAATTTTCTTTTACCTTAGGAAAAAAAAACAAGACAAAACAAAAATTTAGAGCAAATTTGTTATATAAATAGCAATTCTTTCAAAGTGCCTATGTTGCGCTTGTACAAGTTTTTAGTGCCTTTACCATATCTCTCTTTCCTGTCTTCTTTCATTCTTTATGAATGAGGATAAAAAAATTTCACCATACTGATTAAGGTTTACTTGCCTACCTCCCATTTCAATACAATTACGCATTAATCAAATCATGAATTCCAGAATTAAGGTTTTGATATTGGAATTCTACGACTTATAAACCAACTCCCATCAACTGAACATCAGTCCTCTCCGCCATAATCAACTTCCCTTCAAGGTAGCATTTCTGATCCAAGATCCTTGTACGAGCAACCCTTAACCTACAGTTCAGACTTTATCCAATTCCAACACGAAAAAGAATAAAATTAAAACCGTTATCCAATTCATATGGAACTTTCTCCCCCACCTCGAGACCTTCACATTACCACATATGCCTACTAAATGGATACTATAAGGCTAACTGAAGGCTTGTAGATTTACACCTAGAAAGAAAAAAAAAAAAAGAAAAAGAAAAGGAAAAAACAAATTGAAATTGAAGGGCTTGCAGATTTATAAATGCAGCATTTTTTTTTAAAAAAAAAGTTGGAGACAGGAACCTAATGGATTTGGAATAGAGGTAGCTAATAAATATTGATTTGTGAGTGGTAAGAGGAATTTTTATTATTATTCACAAAGAATGAGAAGAAAGTAAAAAGGACACAACTATTATAAATATATTAAAATCTTGTAATAAAATGGTAACATAGGTATTTTACAAAATTTTGCTCTCTCTCTCTATATATATATATATATAACAAATGTATTTTCAATTTAACAATTGCCTTTATTTCCTAGTGATTGGCTGCACTAAGAAAGTGCATACATCTACCGTAAATTAGATTGTGCATAATAGACAATACTAGTGATTAACCTTCTATAACATGTAACTTGGACATTTTCATAAAATTCAATCTCTACTATTTTTTAAAGCAGAGTGAGTATACAACAAGTCCTTAGCCAATTTCAAAATGATAATGTAATTCGATTGCCTTGGCTACTTCAATCATCTAATATATAGCCACCAAAGTTGCATCAAAATCAGAAACAATAAAAACCTACCAACTGATCATATAGCAAAATTGAATGTTCCAACAAGGTACTAAGACAAAGGTCGTATTTTCAATTACACCACTAACAGAAAATTGAATGAACTAGCCACAATTTCACAATAAAATGTTGGAAATTAGAGATATACAATATTTTCTTAGGTCTTAATTATAAATCACAAATCTTCTATATATATGATAGGAATTATTTTCCAGGAATACGTGTCGCTCAATTAGAATATTAATAAGTTTTTTAGTAAATGTTTACCTTAAATACGTGATATTACATTTACTATTTACTTTAATAAAATGTTATTTTTTATTTACTTATTATTTAAATATTTACTGTTTTATTACTTATTATTTCATTATTACTGAGATAATAAAAAATTTAACCAGACATAAATTTGCCCTGTGATTGTCCAGTTTCAATCCGGCAACTATTGTATGTCCGTCGGCCGATACCACGACAATTTAAAAATCGCTATCAATCCGCGACTCAAAGGACGAGTACTCTTTCTTCTTCTTGAAGACTCATTTGTCTCCCGAAAGATAGAAAAACAACCGCCAAAAAAAACAACGATGATGACGCCATCAGAGCCTCCAACAGAGCAATCAGTCATACCATCTGTAACGCCCACGAGGCTACGATAAGGTGCCCTTCGCCGTTCACGCGACTCTTTTTGCCTCCGGGTTCGTCCTCCGCACCACCGGTCCGGTCGCCTTTTCAAGCAACAACACCAACCTTCCAATCCAAATTAATAAACGAAAAGACAAAGAAACAAAAAAAATGTAGAAAATAAGAAAGGCACAGGAGAAGGGAAAGGGAGGCGGGGGGAAGAAGAAGAAAAAGATGAAACGCTAGGGGAGAAGGGAGGGGGGTGCCGGATACAGGGAAGAAAATAAGAAAAGGGGAGGGTAAGGTTTTATTAGTATATATATTATTATGTTAGGACTTATTATTTAGATTATTAGTAAATTTCACTCTATTAAGTTTCATAGTTCATAATTTTGACTTCTAAATTTATTGAAAACTTAAATAATTACTGTTGAAATGTCAGATTTCATTGATAAATATCTGTTATAGATTTAATATATTTATGACATCATGATAATGTCGTTCGGTTTTTTAAGCGGTTTAACCGGTTCAACCCAATGACCCAGAAGAAAGAGCAGTGTTTTTTTTTTTTATCACAGGTTTATATTTATTTTCATTTATTTCTATTTATAAATAATGTCACTACTTTTATCATTTTATGTCAGTATTTATCTGTTATATCTTATATACTATCTTCTCTTAATAGTTTCTACAATGGCGGTTTTAAAATAATTTTTTTTTTAAAGGGATCAATAGTAGTTCCCCGCTTACCCTTGGCGTGACTCGAACCTATAACTTAGTGGTCAATAGGTGAGGCGTCTTACAACTAAGCTGCGCGCATAGGAATTTTATTTTTTTTATTAATTGGAGAAATTTGTAAGAATCAAATCTCTACTTATCATGCAAAGCACGGAAAAGTACTATTTTGATTAATTATAGTATAAATTTGTGACTTATAATTAGAACCGGAGAGTATTTCTCATGAAATATTAGATTTTTTTCATAAAATTTAATTTTTTTTACACAAGTTTTTAGTTTGTTATGAAGTGCTAAAAAGCTTTGTTCTTTTTCAGAGTTTGATGATCCCTGAATGCATAAGATCTCATATTTTTATCAAGTGGAACCAAATCATCTTAAAGAATCAAGTTAAGAATGCTCAATCTATTTGAAATAACTATTTCTTCTACAGATATAGTACATTATATAGTCATTATAGATACTTATAGGTTTTACTTCCAGATCAATTGACAATAAGGGAAATATTCCACGATACTTATAAAGTATAATAATAATCTTCTTCCAATAGTGATGTGGAATTCTCAATATTCTTCTGTAAGTCTAACATATATATTTTTTGGTTTAGCTTGGTCTTTTTTTCTTCCTTTTTTTTTTTTTTCTATTTTTGCTTTTTAAGCCCACAATATCGCTTCCCGTCTTCGTCCTAATAGTTTTATTATATCAAAGTTGCTCTACTAATTTTATTACATCAAGTTTGGAGATTCGACCGACCTACTTTTTTTATTATCAAGTTTGAAGATTTTTTCTTGACGGGCTAACTATGATAACATATAAAACTCATTATCATGCACTGAGTATAAAGTTTTAAACAAAATAAATTTTATAGGGGAGAAATAAGATTTAAGGGAATAGAATTCAGGTCTTAGAAAATGAGAATTAGAACTAAAATTAGGGAAGAAGAAGAAGAAGAAGGGGGAAGATCAGGGAAGTTTGGAAGAAGCCAGATTTTCAGTATTTTTGATTTGAGCGATAATTTTTTTACAATTATTATATTCTACTGTTATACTAATCTAATCAAGTAAAACTAACTACAATTTCAACGCCTTACATTTTTCTAATTATACTTAATCCCCAAAGGCATGATATCTATGGTTGTACTTTAACACTAATTAGCAATGAGAAGAGTAACCCTTAACACTTATATATTAATATCGATGTTCTCTCATATCACTGATTTGAGATTCTCAATATTCATATATTTAGAGATTAAAAAACATTGTTTTCATATCAATTACATTTTGTAATATAAGAATTGCCATAGTATATTGAAATTGACTGTTGGGTTATTAAAATAACATTTTTTTTTTTGTCATAGTCCTTCCTAACAAAAGTATATCAATTTTGGAACCAAAAAAAAAAAAAACGGAATAATTATAGTATGAATGTTTACTCTAGTTCGAGTTCGTAACAAATACATTGAATTTGAAAGACCAAAAAAAAAAAAAAGAAAAGAAAAAGGGTCGACATAATCAAATTATTCCCTCATTTGTGTTTTTTCAGCTTTATCCACACTCTGGATTAAACCACTTTTACGGCTAAACATGATTACATGACTTTTTTTTTTTTTTTTGGTCTCAACTTTGAAATTTGAATGAGTGTTTTTGTTCATCACCTTGCTTTGGATCCCCCTGTTCTTCCTTAGGCTCTCTCTCGGAACTGGGAAGTGCCCAATTGATATTTTGATAAGTCACGTGTATATATTTAAAAATTGGATATAATGCAATTTGCCTCTCAATGGATGCTAAGGTAAGCCAGTTAATACGTAAGCACGTACATAAATTACTACTTATTGGAGTGCTGACCACTAACAAATTAATTGCTTTTGGTATAGGTAGATAGATGATCGTGTCTCCAATTTATATTTTAATTTCAAGACTAAAATCAAGATAATGCTTGCAATATATCTTATCGCTTGTTTTAGCGCATTTTTCCAATTCTATAATCGGGTGATAGATTTACTGACTTGTTGTCCTTCCTAAATTTGCCAGTTAATCCATGGATGTTTTCTACCTTTTTTTTTTTTTTTTTTTACAATTTGCATTTCTTTATTGAAAGAAAAAGATTTAACATCCAAACAAATTTCGATCAAACGAGAGTTTGGTAATGATTAGAGAAATAATCAGATCTTAATGAAGCTTCAATATCGATTTTGGTTGCCATAGTTGACTAGTGCTAATGATTTGCGAATATTCTAGTATCCTCCAATGTAGTTGGTAGGTTAGGTTACTTTCTTTAAAAAAAAAAAGAAAAGGGAAACACTTAATAGCAAGAAACTCCCTTCAAGTTTGCCAATTCTGTAAATTAATGCACAAAGATTGAGTTTGGATAGAAACGGTTACCACAAAACTATTTTGAGTTGTCTTTTAAACACCATTTTAATATTTTACTCCATCATTCTACTTTGTAATATATTTCAAACTTAATCCTATACCTTTTATAGTTAAAAATTATGGCAAAGGTATTATCAAATATTATGAATGAATGTGAGATAAAATGGCATGAGCTAAGATGACACCAATTAATAAAGTGATTTTTTATTTTATTTTTTACAAAATGAGATTTATTAACGTCAAAAAGAAAAGGATAAATGGTAATTTCTGAATATTTAGTTCATTAGCGTGCTTGTTTCAATTTGTGTAGTTATCCTAGTATTGTTTAAATTTACATTTCTTCTTTAAATTAGAAGATAACAAAAGAGGCATCTCAGGTCATTCTAATATTGTGTTCTTCCATTCTTAAACGTTAACGAAATTGTTAGTTACTACAAACTCTTTTTAGAGGTAGTAATATTACAAAATAGACAAACTGGAGGAGGGTAATCTGCAATTAAACAACTCCTTTTTTTGCCGCCTTGCCTTTTTACATTGAATATTCTCCTTAAAAGGGGGCGACTCCGCCATTCTCTGTGTCTTAAAACCCCTCTCTAACCTACTAGTACTACTGATTACTGACTGGATTGGGTCCGCATTTCAAGGATCTCCATTCTCCAATAATATCCTTCCTCCAATTCTACCGGAAAACCCACAGATTCCACTTCTCACTTCCATCCACAACCTCAAACTTTTCAACAAATTCTGACATTGTTTCCCCTGTTTTTTTGGTCCTGATCCCAGAAAAATATGCACTCTTTAACCTCTTCAAACCTAGTACTACAATTTCCCCCTTTACTCCCAAGAAAATTCCCGCATAGAACTGAGCCTATGTTGTCGAATCGGATGAAACCAAGAAAAGGGCTCCTCAAAGATCCAATCTTTTTCACAACCCTGAATTCTATACACGCCCCTGACAATCTAATTCGGAGTAATTTTCAGGAAGATTCTTGTTCAACCATAAACCAAACGGGAATTCCATTTTCCCCGACTCTGACCGTTGCTGAAAAAGTTCATTTTTTGGCTTCCGAATTCAGATCATTGTCAGAACCGATTGAGAGAGTGAAAAGATTGCTGCACTACGCAACGCTTCTTCCTCCATTGGATGAGTCGGCCCGGGTGGAAGAAAACCGGGTCACGGGTTGTACCACAATGGTTTGGTTGAAGGTGGAAATGGACAGTGATAAGTTAATGAGATTTGGAGTAGATAGTGATTCTGTAATTACCAAAGGGTTCTGTTCCTGTTTGATTTGGTTGTTTGATGGAGCGGTTCCTGAAGAAGTTCTGAGTGTAAATTGTGACCATTTGATGGATATGAATGTGGGATTAATGCCCAGTAAAGGTCCTTCCAGGGTGAATACCTGGCATAATGTATTTTCAAGTATGCAGAAAAGGACTAAAAGTTTCATTGAGTTTAGGGATTCAAAAGATCGGTCTTTGACTCGTTTCCCACCTTCAGTTGCTTCTCCGGACGCCATTAATGGAAGTTTCAAGGAAGCTCAGGTTTGCTGGCCGCCTTACTTTTCTTTGCAGTTTTTTTTTTCCCCTTCTTTTGTTGGTAGTTCTTGGATGCTTACTTGGATGAATTATCTTCTTACCTTTGATTAGTTTTGCAAGTATCTTGTCTTCATTGTTTTCCTTGCTCTTGGCCTTGTTTTGATTTGGATTTTTGAGTTTAGTTCAGCGAAAGAAAAAGTTTAGTTTTTTTTTTTAGTATAAATCATGATTTTGAAATTATATATAAATAAAACTTCATTTTAAAGGTGAGAATGTAGTGACTAGTGAGTATTGAAAGAATTGTTGTCATTTAAAAATATGAGTGGATCAGTGGAAAACCAAAACTCGTTGACACTTTTGTAAAGTCATAATTTTTAATTTGAGTGAGTGAATGATTAAGTGTAGCAGTATAACTAGGTGTTAGACCTGTTCGATGGACGGTGAAGGCATATACATTTAGACATTTTTACATAAATTTTCTATTTTTATAAAATATGTAATGATTTCAGTTTTAAACATGATTACCTATGGATTTACAGGAATTTATTTTTTTAAATGACATTTTAAATTCACTGGTGATAAGGTTTATGCAGATCTCTCTAAAATTTATTAGGATTTGGTACTCTCTCCAATCAATCTCTGTGTTAGGATTTGGTTCATGAAAATAAGGGTTCTGTTTTTATTATTTTGTTTTTTTATAATTATTTTAGTTGTTTTTTTTTTTGATTTTATTATTTTGTTTTGTGTATTTTTAAATCTAAAAAATTAAGAAAATGCCACATAGGATTTAATCCTATGTGACATGTGCTCCATGCCTTTAGTTTTCTCTCTCTGGTTTTTGTCTTGGTATAATATATATATATATATATATATAGATAGATAGAAGATAGATAAATATAGATAGATAGATTAATTATAAAAACATTCACGTTTGACAACAATTTTTTATTTCTTTCTCGCATCTTAATTATAAAAAACAAAGTTAAACATAAGGTTGAATTCGGGACTCTTGGAAGCATATGCATTTTTGTTGAGTGTCCTCTTGAAACACTACTTCTAATGGATGGTCTGCTTATGATTCTACAGAATCAGATGTGAAATTCGTGTTGAAATGTGTATTGCGTACAAGAAACTGAAGGGATTTCTCGCCCCCCAGTCGTCGGCCATTATCTGCACAAATTCAAAGCACCTAATGTTCAAGGTACGTATGCAGACAATAATTACTTTACTTACTTGAACTGTTGTCATTCGATTAACCATTTGAATAACGCAATCGCACTGTTTTCCGGTTTTTTGATTTTTTTTTTTCCAGCCAACAATCAAATTCCGGCTCAATTCTCAACGTACAAGACTGACTTGACAACATCCGGCTAAATTAATCGCCGGAATTATCTAGCAAAAGTGTGAACTTTTATGGAAGACGAATGTCTATGTGATTATTATGTCATTTAACAGGATTGACTTAACTCTGTGCACCTCGTGTATCTTGATCATCTTTTTATTTATATCCTTTTCTTATAAATGAGCATACGCACTAATGCTTATATTAGTATAAAACAAGGTGATACACTGAAAAATAAAAATAAAAATCCCAGCGAATTGTGAATAGTTTGATTGGCTTAGGATTTGGTCCTGGACCAAACCTTAAGGACTTGCATGTCTTCAAGTTAGTTTCCAACGTTGTTCCCCAACATATTAGTGTAAATTCTTCTGGCCTTAAAAAGATATCGTACTAGTTCACGGCAAGAACGTCTTCCCGCTTTCCTTGATAAAATTTCATAGAGAAACCAAAAAGGGGGACAGAAGCCGTCGATTGGAACATTCTGAAAGCAAAGGAAAATGACACCCTATATTGTGTTGATGAAGAAGTTGGCCTCGCATTTTGGGCTCAGTCATTTGATATTGATCCGAATTCATACATCATTACAAAAAATGGTGAAAAGGGTAGTGGACTACTAAAGGTAACGTAGTCGTCGTAAACTTGTGATAGCTAGCCATTAATTAGAAGGGATGTATATGTTGATGTTGTTTTATTGCCTGAGCAAAATCCAGTACTATATTTAGCAGTAACAAAAAAAAGATCGGACGTTCATGATTATAAGATGGATAGATTTCTTCCTTGAAATTTTTATTACGTCTTCTTCACAAATCACAATCACCTTATTCGTTACTCCAATTGCATACAAAATTAAACATTGACCATCCATCCGCAGCAACATTCCTAGTTACAATCTCGTCATTTACCACTAATTGATTGATCTGATCATTCCCTTCTGCGGCCATCCATTTTCCGGTAAACAACCTTATATCGGCTTGTTCTCGTTCGCCGGAATTTCCAAACTTTGCCAAAAGGAACCACTTTTCTTCTGTTGAACAAAAATATTTTCCAAGGAACCCAAACACATGAAGGGAATAAAAAAATGCTTAAAGCTTCTCAGAGACTTCAAACACTTCTACCCCACTAAACGTTGACAACAAAGCCAGCCCAGAATTAAATACACACTCCACTTTTTTAAGATTCTCCTATTAAGTCTTAACACTTTGCTAATAATATAGTACTCCCTTCATTCCAAAATAAGTGTCGTTTTAGCAAAATGAAAAAATTCCAAAATAAATATCGTTCTCATATTTCAATGCACTTTTTGTCAAAAATTTCCAAAATTACTCTCAAAAGAATTGATACTATTGGCGGACAATTTTATAATGGGGTTGATTGATGATATTCAAGTAATTTTATTATCCTATTTAAGAATTTCTTAAACTATGTATAAAGTGTAGGATGACACTTATTTTGGAATGGAAGGAGTAGTATACAACTTTGGCATGGGAAAAAAAGAGAGCTCAAATTGAACATCAAAGGTAGTTGCATAATTAAGAAATGTTCACGCACATTATATTATTCATTTTAAATCCAAACATCATTAATCACTTCAAACGCATAAATTACTCAAGTTGCCGATTTCAATCTAAAAACTAGTGTTCGATCGATTGAACCAAACACTTGGTTTATTCCACTAATACATCAAATTTATTAGTTCATATTTCCGGTTTAAAATAGTCCTTCTAATCAGCTAACGTCATTCAACATGACACCACCAAAAAAAGAAAAACCCTTGTACCATCATCATCAGGGCACACAAGTGATTATAAGAACCAAAAATTCCAAAATCAGCTAAACACTGGGAGAAAAACTCAAAAAACTGAAAAAGGCCATGAATGATATTTTTTTTCCAAAAAGGCCAACTCATCCTTCCCTGACCCTGCGTTCTGAACCAGTCATAGATATCCACGTCATCATTTTCAGGTGGGTCACAGCACATCACCCACCTTTGCCTGGCCCCCCACTTTTCCTCCTATTCTATTGGGCCATTTTCTTTACCAGAGTTACCCCCAAAAAAATAAAAAATAAAAAAGGGAAAAAAAAAGAAAAAGAAACCGAATATCTTCCATTTCTTCCATCTATGGGTATCGGAGCCCCGGCTCATTTTTAACAACAATTAACAACAATTTATTTATATTTAAGTGAGATATCTCTTTCTATTTATATTCTCTGGGATTTAAAAGGTTGGGAAAAAGGAAAGTTTTTTTAATTATCATTTCGAGATCTCGTGTTGCCACTCTTCGGAAATGTCGAAATCACCATGGGGAAATATCGGCGCCTGGGCCGCCGAAGCCGAGCGGGAGGAGCAGGAGGAACGGGAGGAGGCCGCCAAAGCTGCGGCTGAGGCGGCTGCCAGGGGTGTTTCCTCCGGCGCCGGCGCCGGCGGCGACACCCAAAATTACCCCTCCCTCAAAGATTCCGTCACCACTGCGTCCAAGCAAAAGAAGAAGACCAAAATGACCTTGCAAGAGTTCACTTTGCAGAATGCCTATGGCTCCGGCTCGGCTCAGTCTCGCTTGACCCCGGAGGAAATGCTCCGTCTTCCCACCCGCCCGAAAGACCGCTCCGCCGGAGATGATATGCAATACGGAGGAGGTGGTGGTCGCCTTGGGGGAGGGTTTTCTTACACGAACCGCCCCGGCCCCGGGCGGATGCGTGATTCGGATTCTGGCGATGGGTCCTGGGGTGGAGGACCCCGGAGATCTTATGGGGGTTTTGAAGATGATCGTCGGAGGGGGCCACCACCCGGTAGGGTTTCGGATTCTGATTCAATTTCGAGGGCAGACGAAGTCGATAACTGGGCAACAATGAAGAAGCCTCTGCCGTCATACAATTCCGGTCCTGCTCCTGTTGGTGGCCCGGGTCGCCCCAGTAGGTATGCTTCTTTGGGTGGTGGCAGTGGAGGGTTTTCTAGGGCTGATGAAGTTGACAATTGGGCTTCCATTAAAAAACCTGTTCCGCCTCCAGCAGGTAGATCTTCGAGTTTCGGGTCTGGGTTTCGTGATTCCAGGCCAGACCCCGATAGATGGACCCGGGAAGTGACTCAGGATAGGCAAAGATTGGTGCTTGATCAGCCCAAAGGAGGTGAAGATGGTGAAGAGGTGGCGGTGAAGGTGAACAAGCCTAATCCTTTTGGGGCAGCTAGGCCAAGGGAGGAAGTATTGGCAGAAAAGGGATTGGATTGGAAGAAATTGGAGTCAGACATTGAAGCAAAGAAGGTTTTGAGTAGGCCAACTAGCTCTCATTCTAGCCGCCCCGGGAGCTCGCAATCAGCAAGGTCAGATGGGCAGGCATTGCAAGGAATAGCTGATGCCGTGAAGCCGAGGCCGAAAGTGAATCCTTTTGGAGATGCTAAACCAAGGGAGGTTTTGTTACAGGAGAAGGGTGTGGATTGGCGTAAGGTTGATTTAGAGTTGGAGCATCGGCGTGTTGAAAGGTTTGGACTTTCTTCTCTCTCTCTCTCTTGTGATATAATGATTTTCAATGCTGGTATTGGTGGAAAATACTAGTTTTGCTTCATTGTTTCAAAGTAACGACTGCAGAACTTTTTTGTTGTGAATCAATGTTGTGTATTAGTTGATTTATAGGACTTAAACTATGAGGTGAAGAACTTGGCTGGTGCAGTAGCTCTACTAGTAGTATTTATGTTGATTCGCTGGTATGATAGTGTGTTGCGTAATTGGTAATAAGTGTTAGGAACATGTAAATTTTAGGAGGCTTTGAATTGTGATCTCCAGAAAAGATGCTGTGACTGAGGCATATACATGAACGGCACTCCTCTGCTTTGCCATTCATTAAGAGAAAGTAAACAGATGTTTAGATATATACTCTTAACGCGGCGTATTTGATCTTATTGAATGAGAGTTTGATTAACACATCATTTGTTACCCTTGAACATCATCTTCTGTGTGGTTCCAAATTATCAGACTTGATTAGGATCCTATTCTGAACCATATGATAATGAATAAAACTGTCTTTTAACTTATAAGTATGTTGTACTACGTAATATTTATATCTTTCCTCATCTATTTTTGGGCTTGGTAGGATGTGAATGCACTTTCCATGATATTGGCAACTTTTGGTGTCATATCTGTATAGAATGGCAGAATCTGTAGAATGTGGCTATTGGACAAGCCATATTACCAATGTAGTAGATGGGCAGTTAGAATTTAGTATCAAAACAAAAGTCGCTTGAAACTTCATCTATTTTCTTGTGAGGTGTGCTGTTGGTTACATGCATTTTGCAATAAATGTTGTCTTCATAATTTTTCACTTACATGTAATGCTGATGTCAACAATTGTGTATCATTCTCCAGGTCTATATTATTTCCTGCAATTAATGAAAACAAATGATTATTTAATCAATTTATTTTAGCTGTCTGTTTTCAGTATGTTTCCTTCTTAAGAGATTCACTTCATCTTTTGGCCCTAATAGCTGCCAAATTGTTATGTCCAATGTGGACTTCTTTTACACTTTTAACGAAATAAATAGTTACATCCAATGTGGACTTCTTTTAAACTTACTTGGTTGTGTACTTTGATTTGATGGTTTATACTTTTGCATGATTGGTGTTTTACACATGTATATATTGTTAATAACTGAGAGTAACAAAGAAAGCCATCTTCATAGTTGGCTGGATGCCTGTTTCATCTTTCATATGTATGTGAGTGGTTACATTAAGGCATGAAAATGCTGTCCCACAGGATATTAATTTACGTTTGCGCAAATTATAAGAAGTAACACTTTGAATCTCCTTCCTTTTGCTGAAAGTGGACAGTTTATTTCAGGCCGGATTCGGAGGAGGAAAAGAACCTGAAAGAAGAGATAGAACAACTGAAAAAGGAATCCACGGAGCACTCTGGTGAAAGTCAATCGAGTATACTTGAACAACTACATCAAAAGGAGAGAGACTTGGAGCTGCTGATACGCGAGTTGGATGACAAGGTTCGTTTTGCACCAAAACCAGTTGAAAGGCCCGGTTCTGGAGCAGGCAGGTTTGCTGGCCATACTGAGAGGCCCCCTTCTCAACCGACCGGATATCATGATGCAAGAGGTGGTGAATTTACAGATAGGCCTCGCTCACGTGGCACTGGAGATTATCACTCAAGGCCAATGGATGATAGAAGAACATACCATGGTGGCAGGGGCAGAGGCTTCATGAGCAATAGAGATGTGGACAGGTGCGCTTTGTTATATTCTTTTTTATTGTTTTCTTTTTGTCGCTCCAAAGGCATTTATGTGGTTGATGTTTCCAATAGTTGGCCTATTCAAGTTCTTTGAATTTTTTGGGATAACTCTTGTTTATGATTTTGATCGTTCAACTATGAAAATTGATCTCTTTTTTCCTGGTAGAAACTTTGAAATCGATTTAATTGCTACCTGATGCATACCAATCAAATTTGCAACACACTCTTTAGTTTGTTCTGTATCTGAAATTTCACTTCAACGGTGATTTGATTGGCTGTAATCCTTGGTATGGACTCCTGGCAAGGCCTGTAAAGCATTGGAAGGTTTCAACCAGGGTTAACCTGAGCTTCTTTTTTGGTCCATGAAAGATTGGCTAGATATGGATGTTTTCCCTGTTGGGCTTTATGTGGTCTTTCCCTGTCCTGTTCTTCTTTAGTGCTATATGCTGTACAGAGCTCATTTCACATTCAAGATCTTTTAAGATATGCATGCTGATCTGACTTCATTGTTGTTTTATTCGAAATTGCTATGAAGAGTTCTTAATTTCTGTTTCCATGCTAAAAATGCAGGTCAACATCAAGAGACAGATGGTGAATTTCACTTGCCGTTGGTTCTTAGAATCTCGTCTAGCCTCTTGTGCCTTCATCTTGGTCACTAATTTAGAAAATAATACGTATTAATCATCTTTCGTATTACTCTTTTAATTTGATGTGAATTGGAGGTAGGAATTGGTAGACTTTGAAAATCTAGAGTTGATCAAATTTATCGACTCCAATCTGTGTAAAAATTGCATTTCCCTCCCTTATTTTGCAACCATCTCGAGGGAGGAACTTAAACGTATTTTGCATTGTTCTTCATAAAGACTCATGTAATGCGGGCAGCTTCCAACCCTGTTTGATTTTATGCTTTTAGCCTTTCTTTGTTAGTTTTTCTTTTCTGACAGGGTTGTGAATCTAGCGAACAGCTTCTCAATTTTGTATATTTTTTCAACTTTAGAAGACTAACATTTTGCTGTCTTTATATTTTCTACTATTTCATCTGAGTTTGTGTTATTAAAGGAGTGAACATCTTGTTTAATTTAATTCCGCCACTATTTTGCCACTGAGTTTAGCCCAATTAAACGAGTGTTAATTTTTCTTTCTCCCCACCCCTCAATCTACAAATTAATGGAGTTAGAAACGTGAATAATCTTCAAGGTTTGACCAATTTTGCAATTGGCTTTTATTTGTCACGATTTCAACTGCTTAAATAAATTCAAGACTATTTATAACAAGGCAAGGAAAAAGCAAATCAAGTTCAGTTCTGCATTAGAATTGTCTTAGGATAATACTACGCTATTACAGAACTCAACTTCAAAACCACCGCCTTTACCACTTGAAACCACATATTTTAAAATTGGATCATTTTACCCCTATTATTTTTTCAAATCAAATAATTTGACTAGAGAGAAAATTAAAAAAAAAATAAATTAAAATTTATAAAAAATAAAAAAAAGTTGACCGACCGGGCGGTCCACCTGTCCCGGGTTAACCCAGGACGGGTTCATTGGTCGGTCGGTTCCGGTCGGTCCGATATGGTGAATCGGACTGGTCATGCCTTTTTTTTAATTTTTTAATTTTTTGATTTTTTTTTTGATTTTTTTGTAATTAAAAAATAGCAATATTTGTTATTTAAAAAATTTTAAAAATTAAAAAATATCAATCGGATTCATTGCTATTTTTTAATTTTTAGATTTTTTGTTGTAATTAGTTAATCTAGTTTTTAGGTCATTAAATTTATTAATAATTTATTATTTGAGTTACATTAATTATCACTAATTTTTGTAGTACAAAAAATAGTTAATCTATTTGTACATATTTGTCACAATCTTTGTAGTACAATTATTATTTTTCATTATAAATGTATAATTATTATTTTAACTAAAAATTATCTTTAAAATAATGATTAAAGCAAAATTTATATTTTAATATCAATTCGAATAAATTAACTTAACAAATAATCTTAAATTTGTTTTCAAGTAAAAATTAATTACTTGTTTATTTTCAAGTAAATATAAAATCGAGAGTTTAAGCACTAAAATATAAATATTGTTAATAATATTTAAAGTACGAGGTATTCAACATGTAACAATACTGCGAATAACTAATATTAAAATAAAAATTAATAATTTATCTGTTCTCACGTGAATCGGACCGAATGACTTGCCCGGTTCGGTCCGAGTGGCAGGGGCAAAAAGAAAATTTTTCAAAATTGGTGGCTTCAAGTACTAATTTTGGTGGCTGGAAAAATCCACCCGCTATTTATAGAGGAAATTACAGCTTGTTAATAATTCAATTGCATAAATACAAAGGACTCAATTCATTACTTTTTTCGAAAAATAAAATTTAGGACTATTTATAAGTATTTCGTAGAACAAAAAAGTAAATCAAGTTCAAGTTCAGTTCCTGATCTTGAATTGGAATAGCCTTTTGGATTTACATTTCTTTTTTTCCTAAATTAATTGTAAAATTTGGATTTGTTTCTATTAGTAAAATTTGATTCAAAAGTGAAATTTTAAATTGAATAATAATTTCGGGAAGGAGGGGAATATATTATTCTACACGGAATTGCTTAAATACAGAGCTTCCAACTCATAATTTTCTTAATTAATACCACCATGGTTAAACCATTACATAGAGCCTAAGACAGAAAGCGACAAACAAACCAAAAAAAAAAAAAATAGAAAAAGAAAATAGATGATCTACGGACAAGATTAGGATCAGACACATGCGAATTAGATAGATACTACTAACTCTTAACCCCATGTTAATACCCAAACCCTACTAATTAATACTAACAATACAAATCAGTCACACACACAGTCTATGGGATGCCATTGCCACCGCCCTGGCCAGAAATCGACTCAGCTTCTGAAAGTTGCTGCTTTGTGCTTGGGATTTGGTCTAACCAGGAGAAGAAGGCCATAACAATGAGCATGGAGGCAAGCATCATTCCCGAAGCGCAGAATGTGGTACTGTTGCGCTGTTGAAATTGGTCCATCTCCAGTGGGGTGATTTGGGCATGATGGCGGATCTTGCTCAGTATATCACGGGTGTCTTCAATTTGGAGAATCCAAACTAATGCCATCACCAAACAGAACAAGGAACCTACCCAGAAGATTGAGGTTTTTTCTTTGTTGCTCTGATTGTCAATCTTCTTCGGGCTGCTGGAGGAGGCTGGAGGAACCCCGTCAAAGTAATCGAGAGCCAGGGCGTACAGAAACACCAGAGCGGTGACCCCGATGGCAGAATCAAAACCCAGATAAAAAGAAAAAGAGATTGTGTAGGCTGAGGGGGTGATATAGGGTTCAGATCTTGCCGCCCGAAATGGATCTTGTTGATCCCGTAGTGGAAGCAGATCACAAGAGGAGCGCAAACGGAGCAGATAAGCACCGCGATCCCACATACTCAATTCCTCACATCCCCAGACACGGATTTCTGCTTCCCCATCCACTTTTGAATCTTACTGGTTTCTTCTTCCCTTTTTTTGGCTCTGTGCTTCTCTGGAACAACTCTAAATTGAGGAGGGTACTGAACAGTGGAAAAATGAGTTGCTGAACACTGCAGGAGTAGTAAATATCTACTTGTTTTAGTACCAAAATTTTTAATGTTTGGAGTTTGGACATACACTGTATCCCACTCACTTCAACTGCTGCTGATGATGACATGATCAAACTTCAAAGTATCAAACACACTTCTTGATTTTCTCTACATTATGGGCTACAAGTATTTTACATGCCCGGTCTATTCTCCCTCCCCAACCAACACCCCCACACCCCCACATTACTTGTAGTTACTTTTACTTTCCATGTTCATTTCAACCGGCCCAAATATGGGTCACTTAAAAAAGTTACATCATATTTCTATCAGCTTCGTCTTGCTCCATTAGTCTCCGATGTCCGAAATTAGTACTCCTTCTGTCCCAAAATTATTATCTAGTTTTAAATTTTACTTTTAGTATAATTTAAACAAAAAATGAAAATCCAAACTAGACAATAATTATGGGACGAAGGGAGTATATCATAATTATTAAGAGTCACAATTATTTCAACGAATATTTAATTATTATTATACACTTATTATATTCATGTTTATTGTTTCGACTCGGGTCATGCTTAAAATGAGCAAATGTATTCGTTTAGCCCACTACTTGTCGTTTGAACTGGCCCAAACAAGGGCTCACTTTTGCATCATTTTTTTTGTGCAAATTTTAGCTTCGTAAGGGTATTTCCATCCATAAACCAACCCCATTCCTATAAATGGTCCACGTCAATCTCTCACTAATAACAATTAATATTAAATTTTATTACACGTCCTTCCACAATAATATAAACCATCCTAGTTTATACCCAAATTTATAGAAATGACCCACCATGGACCCACTATAAAACTACATCAATTTTTATTACGAATTATAAATTTTAAAATAGAAAATAAATTTGGAATAATTAATGAGTATTATATGATATTTGACCGTTGGAATTTTTTTTGACCACAAGAATTTTAACAAAATGAAAAGAAAAAAAATGGCCATTTTGTTGTCAAAATGAAAACAGCCGTTTGCATAGGAAAAAAAAGACAAAAATGGGCTCAGAAGATGATATAGTTTGTCTTCTTTTGTTTTTTTAAAAACATGGCCTGTCAGAATTGACTTTCTTCATATTTATGGGCATTAAATTTTTTTTTTCCTTTTAACTGCCCACAATGACAAATCACCCGTTTATGTAGAATGAGTGGGCCAATTGTCAGAATAAACTTCCCCATAAACGGGCCATTGGGGATGCTCTAATGTCCAAAATTGTTATACTATTTATTTTCAAGAGTCATAATTATTCCAACGAATATTTAATTACTATCGTACACTTATTATACTATGGGTCATGATTAAAATGAGTAAATGTATTCATTTAGCCATTTGGATCGAGTGTTTGTTGGAATTCAACATTAGTTTTTTCTTCGTGTCTTGATATAATAAAATGGAGAATCATCAATTTGTTTACCAAAATCATAAACAAAGAATTATGATGTATTTTTAACTAGTGGATAAAAACAAAGATAAATGGATTAGGATATTTAGGAGGATATATATGCGGTCAACGTGTCCTTTTTTACCTTAAAAAGAAAAAAAAAATTATTCTTCAATCATTCATGATGATTAGCCCAGCAAAACGGGATTATGTTAGTATAATTTACGCAAGTTTTTTTTTTTTTTGTTCAAAAAGTAACATTCCTATATTTTCTATACTAGACTAGTGGTGGTAACTGGTAAATATGAAAAATTACGCCTTAAAAGTTATAAAAGAACAAATAATGACTTGTTATTGGGAAAAAGAAGACAAAAATACAACGGACGAAATAATTACTTTAAATTTATTTTTGGAAAAGAAGTCCCGAAAGAGAAAAAAAATGAAAACTTTATTGATTTTTGAAAAATATTAAATATAAATACAGAGGCATCATGATACAAGTCTTCTTCCTTCTTTCCTTGTGTGGAAAAACTCCAAAACAAAAGAACGACTCCACTGGGGATCGAACCCAGAATCTCTGGTTCCGTAGACCAGCGCCTTATCCATTGGGCCATGGAGTCCTTTGGTCAGTGTGAGACAACATAAATAATAATATAGAGCTTGATGAAGTTTGAAAAGTGGCATAAAATATGTTAAATTTATTGTACCTAGACACAAAAGAATATACACTATGCATGAGTAGTATTTTGTTTTTTCAAAAAATAAGTAGTGTTTTAGAGAATGGTTTATGTAGTTCTTGAATTTTAATTATGGCCGTTATTTTCTTAAAAAAATACTACCTCGTCCCAAAAAAATAGTAAATATTGAGTTTTGAATTTTGTATTATTTTTAGTACAAATTTGAAAACTCAATGTGAACTTTTTGGGACGGAGGTAAGAATTTTTATTGAGGATTGTAGGAACTTTTGGTACTTGCCCCTCAGCAAGATTGACACATGATGTCATCTGAAAATTTTTTAAAAGCTAATATATTTCAGAATGAAATGAATATCTACAAAGCGATAAATGACTGTAAAATTCTTGCCAAAACGTAGCGTCCTAAGCACTTAGGAATAGGATAATATTTATGTAAACGTGATGTGGAGATGATTTGTTTTACAATTTGGATTTTGGAGAACCAACCTGGTGTAATCCACTTTTAGATCTTCAGATACGATACGTTTGAGATAAGCTCATTAATATAATCAAAGCCGGGTATGTATAAAAAGTAATGCCTACCCCCATCATCAATCTTAGAAGGTCAGTAAAAATATATATATATATATATATAGTATAGAAAAAGCCCCAAGGATGAAGGGCACCCAATGATTGGTCGTATACTCATATCTAATCAGCCATTGATTAAAGTGAAATCACTTAAGTAACTTATCACCAAACAAAGATGAAAGAAAAGGACAAGGAAGAAGAAATCACAAATTAATTAACATAAACATATACTTTTCTTATTTAATAATCATAAATAAATTCTCTCAAATATAGAAATTGGGCATGTCCAAAAAATGGTTATGGATAAGTTCTCTTGTACTTAATATTCGTATTAATAACATTATCTTTATTTTGTGTTAGAGTAGTGATAAAATTTACAGGTAATTTTAACAAAGAAATCCTTTGTGTTAATATGGATGTTTTTTCTCAATTACCTATAAGATCTAATCATCAATAAGTGATTGTACATATCTCAAATAACATATAGATTTGGACATGCCTTAAAAAAGTTTGGTTATGGGATAATGTTACAATTAATCTCGGGGTGGGGGAATGGGTGTTGCATACGTGGTTTTCCTCAAAACAATGAGTAAAACGACAGTTCCATTTTCCATATAAAGGAAACAAACCGCAAACACCACTTTTCTGAAGCCTTAACCAAATAAAACACTCCATAAAGTATACTGCCTTCTTCGTAACCCCAATCATCACCATTTTCATCTTCTTCCTCTCCGTTTGAAGTTTCTTTCCATACGAACCAAACCAAATCCAGCCAAAACCAATGGCGGGGCTTCCCAGTTACAGAAATAAAGTTTTCCCGTTTCCACTGTTAGTAGTGGTAGTAGTAGTAGTAGTAGTGGCGACGATGATAAGTCAGGCAACAGTAGTTTTTGTGTCGGCAGAATCGTCGGCGTGTGAATTCCCGGCGATATTCAACTTCGGAGACTCGAATTCCGACACCGGAGGGTTGTCAGCGGCATTTGGACAGGCGGGCCCACCCGCTGGGGAGACGTATTTTCATGCCCCTGCTGGTCGCTATTGTGATGGCCGTCTTGTCATTGATTTTATAGGTAAATAAATCGTCATTTCATATTTTAGTACTTCTTCTTTATATCATTTCATTTGGTTTAAGAAATTTTGTTTTTTTTTTTTCTCCTCATCAATATAATGAAAGGCTGAAAAAAAAAAGTCATATTAATTTCACAAATGACAAAACAATCAGCTAAGTAGCCTTGTACCAATTTTAACCAGCATCCATAAGTTGGTTAAATCAACTTCTCATATTAATTTCCCACTATTATTAGCATTAATCGGCAGACCTTGCTAATGAACTCATTTTTTGGGTTTACATTTGCGGTTGAGTTGGATGCATGTGGGCAATCAACTTGTATGAAATAGGAAGAACGGTCCGACTTTTTTTTTTTTTGTTTGGGGGACCAAAAAAGCCTGACTGGGGCGTGGCGCATGCTATTTATTTTGTCATGTCCCGTTAGTTGCAGCAACGTGACAATTTCAATTAAAAATTTCTTCCTCTAATTCATCTTCCCACACTTTTCTCAGTTTCTGTTGTTTCTTTTCGTCTAAGGTTTTCATTTTTTTTTTTGGGGGTTGTTTCTGCAATACGAGACGTTGCGAGCAGAATTATAAAAATTCAATAGTATCTACTATCTAATACTCATCAAAAGTGCTATGTTCTATGTTCAAGTGGGGAGGAGAGCTCAAATATTTTCTTATAGCGTTTTTCTTTGATTATTATATCCTCCATTCCGTTGATGTTAGCCTGAAATTTTCCTCCCATATTTATAAATGCCATTTCTTTAAAAAAAAAAAAAATCCTAATCCAAGCTAACTGCCACACGTCTAATTTGTAACACGTACATTTTTGCATACAGCTGAGAGTCTGAGATTGCCACATCTAAGCGCTTTCCTGGATGCGTTGGGTTCAAACTTCACGCATGGAGCCAATTTTGCAACAGCTGGTTCGACCGTTCGACCCCAAAACACAACTCTACATCAAAGTGGGTTCAGCCCCATCTCCTTAAATGTACAGTTCTACCAATTCAGTGATTTCCATCGCAGGTCCCAACTCATCCGCACACAAGGTAATTAATTATTACTCTTCATTCATTCATTTGAGCCACATTTTCATTTATTATATAGTTTTTGTTTTTCCATGTAACTTTTAAGGTTGAACACTTGAACTTAGCCAATATATACCAATGTTCTTTGTTGTAGGAGGTGTGTTTGGGGGATTAATGCCACATTCAGAGTATTTTTCTAAAGGTTTGTACACGTTTGACATTGGTCAAAATGATTTAACTGCTGGGTATTTTCTCAATATGACCACCGACCAAGTCCAAGCATACGTTCCTGATGTACTTGACCAATTTACCACCATTGTTAAGGTAAAGTTTTCCCATACATATATTTTATACTCCACAATATCAGGATGAAAAAATCATGAATCCCAAAACAAATTCTCTCCTTTCATTAAAATCGAAAAAGATACATGTTCTTCTTCTTTTTTCTTTTTAAAAGTTCTATTTATTTGATGTATTTCTTGCATTATTATGTGCAGAATATATATGATCAAGGAGGACGATCATTTTGGATTCACAATACGGGTCCCGTTGGTTGCCTGCCATACGTATTGGACCGAGTTCCAATAACGGCAGGACAAATTGATGAAGTTGGATGCGCAACTCCTTTCAACCAAGTTGCTCGATATTTCAACTCCAAATTGAAGGAAGCTGTTATTCAGTTGCGACACCAACTCCCGCAAGCCGCACTCACCTATGTAGACATTTACTCCATCAAGTATGATCTCATTAGACATTCAAAGAAGCATGGTACGTCATATTCACAAACACCTAGTTTTTTTTTTAGTCTTAATTTTCGAGTATCGATGATTTTAGTGATATCAAATAGTAACTAATAAAATGTCAAATCACCAAATCACGTGCTATTTTACATGATTTTTCTGCTATGTGTATTAATCAATAATTTGGTCACTACATTCGCGGGTTAATTTGCAGGTTTTGATCATCCTTTGAGGGCTTGTTGTGGGCATGGAGGAAAGTACAACTACAATCTACATGTTGGTTGTGGAGGCAAAATTATGGTGAAGGGCAAGGAAGTATATGTTGGATCATGCAAAGACCCATCATTAGTGATAAATTGGGATGGAGTTCACTATACTGAGGCCGCTAATAAGTACATTTTTGATAAAATTGTGGATGGTTCTTATTCTGACCCTCCAATTCCCTTGAACATGGCTTGCCATAGGCAAAACTAGTTCTTTTTTTTTTTTTTTTTTAAATAGGATTCAATTTCAAGACTCCCATATTGATTTGGTCGAATCATGAGCTGCAAATTTCAAAACATTTCTCATTGAATTCTTGCGCGTGTAGATGATTAGTTTTATGAGCTTATGTTCCATACGGCTCAATATTTACGGGATTCAGCAAACAAGGAGAGAGAGTCTGGAGTATCAAATAAGGGAAGAAAGTTTAAATGAAAAAATGGACAAAAAAGGATAATAATCCTGTGCAATGTAATAAACTAGTCACGTTTTTGGCATGGAATGACTAAAAAATAGCAACTAAATAGTGCACAAATGGCAAAATGATAGAGATTTGAGACAATATCGCATGTTACATATAGTAAGACGGAAACAACTCATAAAGTGTAGAGAGTAGACTGATTCATCTTCTCCCGTATTCGTTCTTTGTAATGGATGCTCACACATTTTCGAGATTTCCACCTAACGCTTTCTTGTTCTTACTTGTGTTACTATTTTCACTTCATTCATATGTGAAGGTAGTTTGTTCACCGGAATCCTTACCCCAATGCACTTTTCCGGCCATTTTCAACTTCGGAGACTCCAACTCTGATACCGGAGGCCTAGCAGCGATCTACGGCCAACCTTCTTCTCCATATGGCGAAACATTTTTTCACAGGCCTTCCGGTCGATTTTCGGATGGCCGGCTCATGATTGATTTTATGGGTAAGCATAAATCAACAATGATCATTCCATTCTTATTATTCCATTCAAGATGGCAATAATGCTTGCGATTTTGTTTCCTTAGATTTTTGTTTTTCTTTGACTAGTACGTAACGTACCATAAGTTTAGCTTCAGGAATAAAACTTTGTTTGGTTACTGTTTTTTTAATTGGTTTGGTTTTGGTCAGCTGAAACCTTGGGATTGCCATTGATAAGTGCCTACCTGAGTTCGGTTGGTTCAAACTACATGACCGGAGCTAATTTTGCAACGGCGGGATCCACAATTAGGCCGCAAAATACAACATTTTTCCAAAGTGGGTATAGCCCAATTTCCCTGGATGTGCAATTGGCTCAGTTCTCTAATTTTCAGGTCGCATCACAAATTGCACGTACACAACAACAAGGTATCAGCGAACTTTTAGGCTTTGTTTGTTAGGTTTTTTTATAGTATTTTTAAAATATTTAAATAATAACTGTCCCATTTTATTATACCTTTTTTATATTTTCAATACATCTTTTTACATTTTCAATACAAAAAACAGTTAAAAATACACACTAAAAAAATGAAATAAACATACGCTTAATTATTTAGCCTTTTTTTTTGTAGATAATTAATTGTTTGACTGAAACAAATTTTGAGACTTGTAGTATTATATTATTTATTAGGGGGATATCCTGAGAAGTGGTTGCCATCGGAGAAGGAATTTGGTGGCGCATTATACACAATTGACATTGCTCAAAATGATTTCACGGCAGCTTACGAACTTAACCTGTCCATCCAACAAGTCAAGTCTAGTATTCCTGATCTATTACACCATTTCTCCAGGGCTATCAAAGTACGTATGTTAGGACCACCAAATTACTTCAATTATGAGATCTTATATATACACAAGTACTCCTATATAATTAGAAAAATTATTATTACTTTTTTTTGTAATTTCATTTTACGATGATGGTTTTATATATATATATATATATATATATATATATTTTGGGTACACCTGCGCAGGACATATATGCAAAAGGTGGAAGGTCATTTTGGATTCACAATACGGGACCAGTGGGTTGTTTGGCGTACGTTATGGTTCGTTTGCCAATCACAGCAGCTGAGATCGATGAATATGGCTGCGCAACTCCTTATAACCAGGTTGCCCAGTTCTACAATCTTAAGTTGAAGGAAGCCGTTGCCAAACTTAGAAAATCTCTCCCTTTGGCTGCCATTACTTATGTCGACATCTACTCTGTCAAATATTACCTCATCACTAGAGCCAAAAAGCTAGGTAAGTTATTCCTTCTTCTCTCCATTCTTCATTTCAAGTATATTAATGTCAAACTCACTCGTACTCCCATCTCAAAACCAATTGATATTGTGTAGGATGACACAATGAGTATATTAATAAGGATTCCCTTCATTCCAATTCAATAGGTTTACTTCCCTTTTTGGATGTTTCAAAACTTAGTTCCACTTGAGACAATTAATTAAGTTTTACTATAAACTCTCTAATATACCATTTCTACTTTTACTGAAATCAAGAACATTTATTAATTTTTAATAATTACTCTCTCATATCAACCAATAACTTACTAGTCATTACTAGGGGTGCAGTAGGAATTTCATTTAAAATTAACCATATAAACTACATTACCCACTTTTTCTTAATCTCCGTGTATGTCTAAATGAGCCTATTGAATTGGAATGGAGGGAGTATAAGATCTTTCACACGAGTGATGTGAGATTATTTGTCCTAACCATTAATAATCTTAATTTAAGTGACTTAGTGCGATTTATATCGATCTCAACACACGTGTCAAGTTGATTCAATGTGGTAAGCAACCATTTTTGGATAGTTTTGGACTAAACCACTCTCTTTAATCAAACACCGGTCAATCGTACGTGTTACATTAACTATTTCCGTTTTGGGCATACGTTTAATGGCAGGATTTAAGAAACCGTTTGAGGTTTGTTGTGGACACGGAGGGAAATTCAACTTCGACAGACATTTGTTTTGTGGGAAGAAGAAAATGGTGAATGGGAAGATGGTGATGGCAAAAGGTTGCAGAAATCCATCAAGAAGGATTGTTTGGGATGGGATTCACTTCACAGAAGCAGCTAACAAATGGGTGTTTGATCAGATTGTCAATGGCTCCTTTTCAGACCCTCCTCTACCTTTAATTCATGCCTGTCATAGGATACATTGATCCTTCAATTTGATTAATCCAACATTTTGTTACTGATCACTTGTCACCCCTTCATGAATTGTACCCAAAAATTTATTCAGGTGAGGGTTGGACTTTCAAAAGTAAAATTTTGTCATTTTTTTCTTGTCCACCGACTTCGTACCCGATGGCGCAAGCCGCATCTTGTAATGAAGGAGCGGCGGATCCTCCTCTGAAACAACTAATAAATTCTTTCTTGTCCACCACAATTTCGCGCAAAACATTAGGGATCTCGATCTTGGGTGGCCTCTTTCTTTTCAATGAACAAGGCGGAACCGGACCAAAGACCGAACCTTTATTATGATTATGAGTATCAACCTCTTCCGGGTTTTCAAAAGAAACAAAATCAAGCTTAGTTGAACAAGACCCAGAAAGGATTGCTGGCGGAGTCTCTAAAACATTAGCCATTTTGGGGTTATTAGGTCAAAGAACACTCTGTAAAATGGATAATGAATGTGGCGAAATTACAATTACATCTGGAAGAAAGACAGATGGGATGTGAATAAAAATGGCGTTTCTTTATTCAGTTCCAACGGCTACAATTTTGGGAGAGCACTGTGTGTGTGTGAAGTGGGGAGAGAGGGAAGAGGGGAAGGTTGTGGTCAAAGTTAAGAAAACTGTAGAAATGGAGGGCAGTTAGAAGGCTTTTTTGAGGGAGTCAAAAACCATTTGATCTTTTTGTCTCCGAGCTGTTAGGAGTACAAGTTTGAACATGTTTGTATTTTATACTAATAATTTGTGTGATTCAAAGTTACTACAACCATCTTTATTTTCAATGTATAGGAGTAGTAAAATAATTCATCGGGTCACTGAGACCAACACAAATTAAATTACAACTTTTAATCAACAGCCAAAACATGACATTTACTTGTTTTGTTTCCTTACAATAGATTTTGGTTGTGCTTGCCGCATTTCTTTACCGTAATTTTTGTTATGGATTACGATTTCGAAGGACTGCATAATGTAAGTACATCTCTATAATGAAATGTGTTTGATGCTTACGTGATTCATTTGTTGAAATCTTCGTCCCTCAGATGTGATAATTCTACAATTTTAATGCTGTTATTCTGCTATATATGATCGTGTATATCACGAGTGAACAAGTCGATTCTGCCTCTTTTGAATTGGCATCCCCTTAAAATCTTAATAACGAACCTACTAATATCTTTTCCCATTCAAAGCCTTAAAAGTGGAACAAATAATTGTCTTTTGGGGAGTACTATATTAGGATTTCAGAAGGTTTTGTTGTTGTGTTTTTACTTTTGTTTCTTTGTAATTTTATCTTTTTTTTTTTTTTTAAATATTTTGAGTTCTTGCTGCTGTATTGGACTTCACAAACTTCATTTAGGCATCAAGGATATAAGATAAAACCAAGTTTCAAAGATATCGTTGTTATCTCTACAAGAAAAAGGGACATTTTGCAAAAAATTGTTGTAACAAGAAGGAGAAATCAGCAAAAAATGGCGTCACAAATCCTACAAAGTACTAATGATCATCTTAATGATACAGATATAGAATCCATCTATTCTGAGCAAGAAACCATCTTGCTGTTCAGGATGACTCAGTTTCAGACACAGATACAGATGATGATATTCCAGTATATATGATCCAATCTTCCTATTTCCAACATGTTGTACCAGATTTCCACTCATATTCCTACAAAGATGAACAAGAAATCCCTACACCTCATGTTAGAGTACAAATATTGCCTTCATCATATGAACGGCCAATAAAGGTGATAGATTTCATTGATACTGGTTCCATGAGAACTCTGATGAATCCATATATCCTTCCAGCAGAAGCTTAGAAAACACACCATGAAATTTTCAGAGCAGCTGACGGACAACAATTCTCTACATCCTTGATCTCAAAGAGGAAAATTAGAATCAGGATATTCCAAGAATGCATTGTATGGATCAATGTCAATTAGAGGTCTTTTTGCTTTTTCTTTTTGAAATTCCATATTTTTAAGACTGCAGATTGATTTGGTTGAATAATAAGTTGTAATTTTCATAGTACGTATTTCTGATTATAAATATAATTGCGTGTGTAGATGATTAGTTTTGTTATAAGCTATGTTCCATAGACCATACAGCTCAATCAATATTAACGGGATTCATTCAGTAAACAAGAAGAGATATTCTCCTTCTCTCCCAAAAAATGTGGACTATTTGTCTGGACGTGGGCTATTTGTTTGAGACAGAAAGAATATCAAATAAGGAAAGATAATTTAAATGAAAAAAAAAAATACTCCTATGCAATATAACAAACGAGTCAATGGTTTTTTTTTTGTTTAACAAAGAGTATTAAAAAAATGGTGTATTGTTGTCTTTCTGTGATAAATAATAGTGTATAATTTGTCCATTCATAGACCTGAATCTTAGACTAACATTGATGCATTATTACATTTACTCTTGTTCATTTAACCACATTTCTTTTCGATCACTGTCATTTAACTTATCCATAAAAATGTTCATCTCTATTCTTCTTTTCAGAGTCTGTCTGTTGAGTCCTTCTGTATGTGTCTAGGTCAGTAGGAGTGAAGTCTGAATTTGTTTGCGTGAGGACAAACAACTTTTCAAGTTTGAGGGAGTTGATAACACTAGAATTATACCACTTTTGAAAGTAATTCTTACTCATTTTTACTCATAAATTAATGTCAATTTAGTAGAATTAGTTTACTTTGGGGTCAATTGAGTATTTCAGGGTGATCAAAGGGTCTATGTAGAATTTTGTGATAAATTGGAGCCAAATTACAGAAAAGAGCATCAAAAGGGACCAGATGTGGAGCTGCTGGAAATCGAGGGCTGGACAGATCAAATGGAACGGATCAAGGGAAGGAATTCTTGCTAATGAAGTAGAATTGGATGCTGCTTGATAACAAGTTGCTGAGCTAAGCAACAGAAAGACCAAAGGAAGAAGAAGAAGTTGCACACTCTGCTACAACCACTGATGCTGCTGCTGATGTTGCTGACAATCCGGAAGAATCAGAGCTGAAATCTTGGTGCCAGATGAAGGAATTGCTCCACCATCACTGCAAGTTGCTGCTACTGCAAGTGGAAGAAGAGAAAGAGGGAGAATATGCAGAAGATAGTAGATACTGCTCTATTACTTGCCACCTGTTGCTACTGTTTGATTGAAGTGAAAGAATGGCTGCTGCTGGAGGTAAGAAATGGTGCTGCAAGTGATCCCGGGAAACAAGGAAGAGAAGAGCAGAAGATGGGAAGCCAAATTGGGGGCTGAAAAGGAAGAAACATAATGATGGAAGGAAAGCATGCTGCTGATGTTGCTGCTTGCGTTGTTATTGCTGCTGTTGAAGATTAAAGAATGAAGAAATGGAGATTGTGGTTGGAAATTGGTTAAGAAGCACCGGAGAGAATACTAAGAAGAAAAGGAATGATGAAAAGAAGGTGGCTGATTACGGTTGAAGAAGGAAAAGAGCTGCTAAAGAGAAGACAACAACTTGGCAATTGGACAAGTTGCTGAATAAACAAAATCTTCATCTGCTGCAAGTTGCCAACTGCTCTCTGCTGCACAGAAGAAAGACCAGAAGAATCAACCGATCCAAACTTCTCCAATTGTCTATAAATAGGACAACCAATAGCAAGTGAAGAACAACAGATTGGATAGTTAGAACAATCCTAAAAGAGTAGTTAGTTAGTGTTAGTTAGGACAGAACTCAGAGAAGTAGCTGCAGGGAAAGTGCAGGCTGTCACTTGGACAAGTGACGAAGTACACTTCTCCAAGTGAGCAGACAGATGCTGCTCTGCTACCTCTTTTCTTTAATTCTGTCCTCTAATATTTTGAGCTTTATTATGTCTTATCTTTTGTATTTTGTTACTCTCATGTTTAGTTCAATAAACATGAGTAGCGAAATTTTCTTTAGGGTCTAATCTCTGCTATCTTTATGTGAATGTTTTGATCCCTAAGTTCTTATATGAGTTGTTGTATCTAGTTAAGTGATTGAATTAACCTTTTAATTGAACTGACTATTTAGTTAATTGTGCAACGTAGTTATGAAATCCTGAGAGGGTGAACATAATTATAGAACTGCTTAACTTAGTCTATCACAACCGAAAGAACAATCCTTAGTTTCAGTTATTAACGAGAGTTAGTTGATTGACATAGGTGATCAATAAGGTTTAAGAAATTAACGGCTCAGAATCATGAACAATTACCATTGAGAGATAGAAAATTTAGAGTGTTCTGGGACTCTTTACTGGTAATGAAGGGGAAGGTAGATAATACGAGCGCCTGATTAAACAATACTCATATGTTAAAAGAATTACAATGTATCAAAACATGAACATATAGATAGGAAGGAGGATGAGCCTACTGCGTACTCGCTCGGTCAAGTGACTTTTCTCACTCTCTCAAGTGACAATCTGTTCAGTTTACTTGTTTTTGTTTGCACATTAATAAGATTTTATTGATTTTCTGCCATGCCTGTGGATCGACCCTACTTACTGCTAGCTATTGGTTTTGAGTAGGTTAATATTTCTTTTGGAAGTGTCAACGACTGCCTACTAGTGATGATAAAGGGTTGTAAAGATCCGTCAAGACGGTTAGTTTGGGATAGGATTCACTTCACAGAATCAGCTAACAAATGGGTGTTTCATCAGATTGTTAATGGCTCCTTTTCAGACCCTCCTCTACCTTTAATTCACGCTTGTAACAGGATTAATCAATTGAACCTTCAATTTCATCAATCCAACATTTTGTTACTCACTTGTAAACCTTCCCTAGCTAATTCATGAATCGTACCCAAAAATGTATTCAGCTGATGGTTGGTCATTCAAAAGTAAAACTTTGTCATTTTTTTTTCTTTAGTGACTGAATGAAAGAGGGAAAAATTGGCGTTCATACCCAAAGCTTTGGACATATTGTCAATTCTACCCTATTGATTTTCGGTTAGCCAATTTTGTTCTTACTGTTTGAAAAGTTTGTCAATTCCGCCCAATTGGCCCAATTTCTGTTACACTTAACTGATTCCGTTAGTTTTTAACCAGAAACACCCTAATAGTTTTAAAAAATTATAAAAATAACCTTAAAATATATATATATATATAAAAACAATATAGTCCCTTTTAGTTCATTTTTTTCTATTTCATTTTATTTCTCTTTATTACTTTTCATAACCATCAAAATATACTATATGATCTTTAAGAAAATAATTATTTATTTTCAAAATCTATTTTCATGTGCAACACATGTGATTTAGGTTGAGGGGTAATTTTATCATTTTAAATTTTTAAAATTTTAAATTATATTTTATTCGTCTTTTTTTTGAGATTCTTTTTCTTATATTTCCTGACTTGTATATATTGATACTAGAATAATTATTAAATTTTAATAATTAATTTACCTTTTATTTCATATATTATAAAAAATTTAACATAAAGAAAATGAGGAAGAAAAAATTAAGTTGAAATAAACATGAAAATTAATAGTTTATCATTCTAAACAAAAAGCAAAAAAAACCTTTAAAAAAATGCAAAAATAAGTGTTTTCTCCTTAACTTCCTCTATTTCATAGGCAAGTTACGAAACATAAATTTTACTTGATCTAGTCTAAAATAGTTATTTTGTTCTTTGTAATAAAAACAATACAAGTCAGGTAGTATAGTTTAGTAATTATTTTGCTAAAAAATACACGTATTTATCTTTTTCATGAAATTCAAATTGTTTACGTAGTTTAGCAACTGCCAATCGACAAAAAAAAAATTACTAAAAAAGAATAAAAATAGTGTTAACCAAATTTACAACAAATGCATCGTTGTGAACTAATTAAATTAGCACATTTTCATGTTTCAAATGATTGTCTAACTTTTATATTATTTTTATTACAACGAACAAAATAATTATTTTAGGCTAGATCAAGTAAAATTTATGTTTCGTAATTCACCTATGAATTAGAGGAAGTCAATGAGGAAAGACTTGTCTTTGCAGATTTTTTTTTAAGATCTTTTTTCAATTTTCGTTTAAAATGATAAACTATTAATTTTCATGTTTATTTCAACTTGATTTTTTCTACCTCATTTTCCTTATGTTAATTTTTTTTTATAATCTATGAAATAAAAAGGTAAATTAACTACTGAAATTTAATAATTATACTAGTATCAATATGTACAAGTTAGGAAATATAAGAAAAATAATCTCAAAAAATAACGAATAAAAGAATAAAATTATAAATTATAAAATTTAAAATGACAAAATTACCCCTTAACCCAAATCACATGTGTTGCACATGAAAAATAGATTTTGAAAATAACTAGTTATTTTTTCAAAGATCATATAATATATTTTGATGGTTATGAAAAGTGATAAAGAGAAATTAAATGAAATAGAAAAAAAATGAAATAAAAGGGATTATTTTATTGTTTTTATATTTTTTAGGGTTATTTTTATAATTTTTTGAAACTATCTGGGTATTTTTGGTTAAAAACTAACGAGAATCCGTTAAGTTTAAGGATATTTGGCCAATTGAGTGGAATTGACAAATGTTTGAAACAGTAAAGACAAAATTGGCTAATAGAAAATCAATAGGATAGAATTGACGATGAGTCCAAAATTTTGAATATGAACGCCAATTTTTCCAATGAAAGAGATATGAGAATGATGTCCATACTTACAATAGCAGATACATCATTTTGATATTCCCTCTGTTCCAAAATTATTGTCCAGTTTGAGATTTCACTTTTAGTACAAATTGAACTAGAAATGAAAATCCAAACTGGATAACAATTATAGGACGGAGGGAGTATTTATGATGATGAACGATTAAATGCATTTTGAGATGAACTTTTGTGCAGAACCAAATTATATTTGCACAAAAAAATATACCAAAAGTTTTTCCTCGGAGGAATGGTATTAATTTACTTAATTAGATACTCTACCTAAGAAAATACGTCTCCTTCTTTTCCTCCCATGACTCCTTAATCAAGCAAAGCTGGATAAACTCGTCTTTATAGGACAGAGATTTTGGATTATAAATAGTCAAGATTCCTGGAAAAGTAGTAACTGGCACTTTCATGGCTTAATCAATTACAGTTCTTTCATTTTTCTCTCTTTCAAAGAAAAAAAATTAATAATACTCATAATAGAGTTAAGTTTTACTCTTCTAATCAACGTGTATATAGCTGGTTGAGATTGTCCTTATTATCAGAGAAAATATATACAGATGGAATATTTTAAAACATTTTTGAAATCTTGGAAAAAGAAAATCAGGATTCTCAATTAATTTTTCCTTATGTAGTACTTTTGGTCGTTTGTTTCCATGTTAAGGTTTTGCTTTCTCCTCCTCCATTTTCAAGTTTCACTTCAACCCATTTGATTATTTGGGATCCAGCTCCTCCATTTTCATTATTATTATTTTTGGGTCACATTTCATGGAATCTAACAAACCGCTTAGATTTCCATCTTATGTTCTTTTCCTCTTACTTTTGTGTATGATACTTGATGATGAACTGATATTCGCTTCAAACGCCTCAACCTTATCCAAGTGCAAATTTCCGGCAATTTTCAACTTTGGCGACTCCAACTCCGACACCGGCGGGCTCTCGGCAGCCTTCGGTCAAGCTCCTTTTCCCAATGGTGAAACATCTTTTGACAGACCTGCTGGACGTTTTTCCGATGGGCGCCTCATAGTTGATTTTATCGGTATGTGTATACATGGATACTGTAAATCTGATTACAAGTTGCAACCATTCATTGTATATCTTCTCATCTTTTTAACCAATGCAACCCGGTTTTTTACTTTATTTTTCTACTAATAATCTTAATAAATGCTTTATGGAAAAATCACATCTTTATATATACATCTTCCCATTCGGGTGATTTTGGACTTATTTGGTAGTTGTAAACTTTAGAGCCGAAATAAACTTTTTTTTTTTTTTTTTTTGCTTAATTTGTTATATTTCCATGGTTTGTTCTCTTGTATCACGACACGGGAGCAATAAATAGCATAGACATTAACGTTGGACCAAGTTCAAGTTAGTGATGATTAGTGATTTACTTTTGTGAATCACTTGAAACAATTTCTGAATTGCCACTTCCATGGATTATCAGCTAAAAGGTTGGGACTTCCGTACCTCAATGCCTATCTTGATTCAGTTGGTTCCAACTTCAGTCATGGAGCTAATTTTGCATCTGCTGGTTCAACAATCAGGCCACAAAACACCACCATTTCCCAGAGTGGAGTTAGCCCTTTCTCCCTAGATGTGCAGTTCACTCAATTTTCTGATTTTCGCCTCAGATCACAACTTGTACGTAAACGAGGTAAACTATTTTTGTGATACAGTACATGTTCTCTTTTCCCCACTTTGTATAATGTTCATAAATCCACTGACCATCTAGTGCGATTTGATGATGATATTAGGTGGAGTTTTTAGATCATTGTTGCCAGAAGTGAGTGATTTTCGTCGTGCATTGTACACATTTGACATTGGCCAAAATGATCTCACAGCTGGTTACAAACTTAACATGTCCATTGAACAAGTGAAGGCATATGTTCCTGATGTATTAGATCAGTTCTCCAGGGTAATCAAAGTAAGGAACAAATGGAGTGATTAAAAAATTTTAGTCCTTTTGTCTGCTTTTTGGTCTTTAATTTGATGATCTTTTAAATCCTATGTTGATCGATGTTATGTATGGCACACAGAACATATATGCTCAAGGTGGAAGATCATTTTGGATTCACAATACTGGACCTGCAGGCTGTTTGCCATATGTGATGGATCGTTTTCCAACCACAGCTGGTCAGATTGATGAGCATGGATGCGCCAGTACTTACAATGAGGTGGCTCAGTATTTTAATCGCCGGTTGAAGGAAGCTATTGTCAAACTAAGGAAGGCTCTTCCAAAGGCTGCAATAACTTATGTTAACGTTTACAACGTGAAATATTTCCTCATAAGCAGAGCAAAAAACCTAGGTAATGTTCCGGGATTCTTGACTCTCGTTTGGGATCTTTAATTTTGTTTACCTTGCGAAATTCATTTGTAAAGTGGAACAAATTGCAGGATTCGAGGACCCATTTCTCGCTTGTTGTGGTCATGGCGGGAAGTACAACTACAATAGGTTCGCAAAATGTGGAGCTAAGAGAAGTGTGAATGGAAAAGATGTTTTAATAGCTAAGTCCTGCAAAAATCCATCTAAAAGGATTAATTGGGATGGCACTCACTTCACTGAAGCTGCTAACAAGTGGATTTTTGATCAGATTGTCAATGGCTCATTTTCAGACCCTCCTGTACCATTATCTTCTGCATGCCATAAGATGGATTCCCCTGATTCTTTCTAAGATAAATCGCTGAATATTTCTTTTGAAGTATGATGAACTTTGTTGCAGTCAGTATGCTGCAGTTCAGCTCAGGACCGAAATTTGTATCTTATATAGTTGACAAAATGAATTCAAAAGAGCGTGCGAAGCACAGAAAATGGAGAAAGATGAGATTGAACAAGACAGATTTGTTTGAGCATAGGACATGGATGTTTGATGGCGAGAAGAAAAGTAATTGTAGTATCATTATATTCATCAGTAATGTACATGGTGGTTAGATTCCAAAATCTTGACATGTACAATGACTATACAATTTTAGGCACCCTACTAGACAGGAACAACTATAATCAATTCAGTCTTTGAAGAGGTTTAGATTGACTATCATTACCTAACCACCATAATCAATTCAGTATTTGACAGGAACAACTATAACCTATTCAGTCTTTGAAGAGGTTTAAATCGACTATCATTACCGTAATGTCATCCAAACTACCCCTACTCATAGCAAGGCTCACAAGCTCCTTACAAGCAGCAACCAGTCTACTGCCAGACCCAGGTGTTCCTCTTCCAAAACAGCTATTTTCTTGGTCAGAGAGCGTATTTCTCACCTTGGATTGATTCATGAATGAAATGCGCCGAGCCTTGGATGGAGGAGTACTATCATTTTCACTCGCAAAGTTAACTTCAGTTCCCATTGATTTTTCATCTCTTTGCTTCGAGCTGGAAAACTGACTACTTGCCCTTTTTGATTTGAGTGAAACTCTCCGCAGCTTTGGGGAAGGACACCTAGTTATTACAAGGCCATTCTCATCACCGGAACATGACCGCGAAACAATTTCTGCAGCTTCCTGATTGCCAACCTACACCAAAATAATACATAGAATGAGTACCAATTACCATACTATTGCTTTTGCAAATGATATCAAAAACAAGATCTAATCACTGAATGTGTCAAAGTATTTGAGTTACCTCTTCCCAAAGTCCGTCAGATGCTAAAACAAGATATTCCATGTCCTTGCTTAAAGATATGATCTTCGTGTCTGGTTCAGCAATAACCCAATCCTTCAAATGTGCATCTCCAATGCTTCTCGAAACAGCTAATATGCCATGAACTCTCCATGCTCCACGATGATTCTGAACAAATCCCCCCTGTATCATAAGTTTTAAAATCAGCTCTAACACAAGCCCATCATCTTTTTGACACTTGTACATATTCAAGCACGATTTCAATCGTTTACCTTATCTTCTATTCTTTTACGTTCATCCTCTTGCGCTGCCCTGTGGTCTTTTGTAAGAGCCTCAGCTGTTCCACCTCTGCAAAGAACTGCTCTACAATCTCCCAAATTTGAAACTACAATATCCTTGCCTTCAATTAAGGCAGTAACACAGCAAGCACCACTACCTACACCCTGTTAGTAATTAGGACAAAAAATTAGAACTTTGAGGTTGTCTAGAAATGAATTCAATTCTTAAAAGATGACACGATGTGTCATTTTAAACTGTAATTGAACTACTACAAAGCCTGCTTCACTTACAATTGACAGATAATGAATTTTCTATTGGTACTGCTAAGGTCCGCACAGTTCCTCAATTAACAACTAGCAGTACATTTTCCATAACTAGCCTAAGATATCAATGTGGTTTCCAATGCCAAGAATATACAAACAATACTTCATTACAAAAGAATACAGTACAAAACCATTTCTAAGCTGAATTCAAACCCAATTTCATTCTGTTCTTGGATGGTCTATTATCCAAAATGTGCGAATTATTAAGCCTAGCATGAACCCTTTGCAGGATTGCGTGCAAATCCAAGATTAACAGGTATGCAAAAGAGGTTAGAATCCAGAAAACAAAGCATTATATAATTTAACCTTCAAAATTTCCTTGATCTACAGTTCAGAAGCTATCATGGACCATGAATGAAGTAAAAGGTAGTCAGATGAAGGACACCTAATAGTAACCTGGTCAGCACTCTTATTTTAATACCTAAAATAACCATGTTTTGAATGAAAATCACCGTCCGGATATTCAAAGCAAAAAATTGAACAAGGCCAAACTAACAGGTTGGTATGATTCTTCTCAGTATGTCAAAAAGTCTTGCACTAGTTAAAACTTAAAATAAAACAAAACACGGATGACATCATTAAAACAAACCCAATTTTCACCTTACCTGCTTTAAGAAGTCTTGGTCGGTTTTTAGATAACCAGCTTTAATCTCTTCTTCCTTTGGAGCATTCCCAGAAGAATTCTTCAGCACTTCTAAGATATTTGAATGCAAATTCTCTGCAACGAACTCGGCAGCTTTGCTTCCCCCATGTCCATCATACACCCCAAAAAATCCCTAACATTTATCAATCCAAAAGTTCAGCAACTCAATTGAAAATATGTGAAAAATGTTGAACCATAATTGAATTGATGTTATGAACTGAAATGCAACAACTTAAAACCAGAACAATTCCTACTTTTTTGTCAAGCGGGCAAGAAACAATCTTGTGGGCATCTTCCATGAACTTTTTCTTCCCTTTGAGGGAATACACACCGACTCCATAACCGGTGGCGCAAACCGCATCTTGTAAAGAAGGGGCGGCGGATCCTCCTCCTCCTCCTCTGAAACAACTAGACTCTTTCTTGTCCACCACAATTTCGCGCAAAACATTAGGGATCTCAATCTTGGGTGGCCTCTTTCTTTTCAATGAACAAGGCGGAACCGGACCAAAGACCGAACCTTTATTATGATTATGAGTATCAACCTCTTCCGGGTTTTCAAAAGAAACAAAATCAAGCTTAGTCGAACAAGACCCAGAAAGGATTGCTGGCGGAGTCTCTAAAACATTAGCCATTTTGGGGTTATTAGGTCAAAGAACACTCTGTAAAATGGATAATGAATGTGGCGAAATTACAATTACATCTGGAAGAAAGACAGATGGGATGTGAATAAAAATGGCGTTTCTTTATTCAGTTCCAACGGCTACAATTTTGGGAGAGCACTGTGTGTGTGTGTGAAGTGGGGAGAGAGGGAAGAGGGGAAGGTTGTGGTCAAAGTTAAGAAAACTGTAGAAATGGAGGGCAGTTAGAAGGTTTTTTTGAGGGAGTCAAAAACCATTTGATCTTTTTGTCTCCGAGCCGTTAGGAGTACAAGTTTGAACATGTTTGTTCTTTATAGTTTTTGGAGAGAGATACCAAATTTTGATAGCTTTTTGGTTTGGTGATCAACAATTTGTTTGTCAGAAGTTTGATCAGATCCCCATGTTCAAATTCTACTACTAATTTGTGTGATTCAAAGTTTCTACCACCATCTAAATCTCTAGTAAATTCAAACTTTACTTTTTTTATACACTCACATTCTTTGATTTTTATTTTGACCGCTTGTTCAAAAGAATGTTACATTTGGACCATTATAGTATACTTTTCCTGTCTCATAAAAATAGTCATGTTTGGACCATACACTTTTTGTTACGTAAATAAATTGGTCATGCACCATGGTTCTCGCAAATGTCATATTTTATTTTTTCTGATATATAAAAGTAGAAAAAGTAATAATTATAGAGAGACCCTAAGACCAACACAAATTATTGTACAACGTTTGATCAACAGTCAAAACTTGACGTTTGCTTGTTTTGTTTCTTTAAATCAGATTTTGACTAACGCTTGCCGTATTTCTTTAGCATAACTTTGTCATGGATTACGAGAGTTTGAAGGACTATGTGGTGTAAACAAATACCACCCTCCAATGGTGAATGGATTTGATCCTGATGTGTTATTTCGTCCCCTCAAATGTGATATATCAACAATTTTAATGCGCTTATTCACAGCTATAAATGTCACGAGTGAACAAGTTGATTATGCCTGTTTGAATTGGCATTCCCTTAATAAAATCTTAATGACGAATCCGAACGAAAATCCTTCACCATTCAAAGCCATTAAAAGTGGAAAAAGCGAGTGTTTGAACAATATGAGTTTTTATTGACCTTCTAAAACAATGAAACTTGGTAAGCGCTTGGATTCCGAAATTTTCATAAGCTTTTGAGCCGTTGGTGGATATGACGAGCAAAGCCAAAGGGGCTTTGCTATCTTCTCCAATTTAGTTAGTAGTTTTACTTTCATCTGTGTATGTATCTTTGTGTTAATTTCTAATCGTCATACTTTCTTTTCTTTCCGGGGATGGATTTTTAAAGCCCCCAACTTTAGTACTCAAAGCCACAAAAAAAAAAATTAGACGATTTTGCCTCTGTCATTTAATACAGTAGAGAGAGAAAGAAAATGAGCAATTCAGTGGTAAAAAAAAACTTTAAAAAAAAATCGAACCGGGCAAGAAAACCGTCCCGGTTGAACCGGGGGCGCGCAACAAACGCGTCCGGTTTAATGGCCGGACGCATTTGTTACGCGTGTGTTGCGCGTCCGGCCAGTGAACCCGATTTTTTTTTTAATTTTAATTTCATGCATGTTATGTTAATTTAATTAGTTATGTTAAGCAATTTAATTAGTTGAATTATATTTATTTATTGCATGTTATGTTAATTTAATTAAGTAGGAATGTTATTATTTTATTTGTTAATTTAATTAGTTATGTTATGTAATTTAATTAGTTGAATTTTATTTATTTATTGCATGTTATGTTAATTTAATTCAGTAGAAATATTATTATTTTATTTGTTAATTTAATTAGTTATGTTAAGTAATTTAATTAGTTGAATTATATTTATTTATTGCATGTTATGTTAATTTAATTAAATAGAAATATTATTATTTTATTTGTTAATTTAATTAGTTATGTTATGTAATTTAATTAGTTTAATTTTATTTTATCTATTTAGGTTTAATTAATTAGAGATAATATTTATTGAGGCGGGGAATTAAATAATTAAAGAATTTTGTGGAATAAGTATTTAATTATTAAGTATTGGAAATGCAATTAATTAAATATTTAATTAAGCGCTAAATTAATGAATTCTAGCTTTTTAGGTTGGTATTGGGAAATTTAATTTAGTAAATAATTAATCTTCTTACTGTAAATATATATTTTTTTATTATTTATTATAATTGTATATCTTTTTTAAATGATTGGAATATGTGTTTAATTTAATTTATTATAATGCAGTTTTTTATTGTGGTAATTTTATGTTTAATTTGCAGGATTCTTTAGAAGATTTTGGTGGCGATGGTGAAGATTATAGTATATTGTTTGCTACAGATGAGGAATTTTCAGAAAAGGATGATGCGATGGTGAAAAGGCATAGGCATGGCAAATGGTATGATAATAAACGTAGTTTCTAGCAAGAGGAAGAATGTTGTTCTGATGAGATGCTGTAAAGGGGGAAGGTGTCAGTTGATGATGGTGAATACTATGTCACATCAGATTCGAAGATACAAATCACTGGGTGTAAATTTAAGTTATATGTGCACTTAGTTGATGGGAAGTGGCGCATTCGGGTGTATCCTGGTGAGTTTGAAATGCATAACCACGAGCTATTTGACGAAGATCATCCCACGAGGGGCCTTAGCGATGGAGTGAAACAACTTATACAGGATATGTCCAGAGATGGGTGCAGACCGTGTCAGATCATGGCTGCGATTGAGAGGATCTTTCCTGATGAAAAAGTTAACAGACGGCAAGTGTACAATTTCAGGAAGAAATTGCGCAATGAGGGGTTCCCGGTCTTGGGTGACTCGACTGCCATGGATGTCGCGACGAAGATACTATCGTGGCCAAGCATCATCGTTACATCATCATGACAGATTGCAATCAGGAGACAGGTGTGCTGACTCGTGTTTTTTTTTTTCACATCCTGATGCTGTCAATTTATTTTGCAGTTATTTCTGGATCGTCGAGATAGACTCAACATACAAGACGAACAAGTACAAAATGCCGTTGGTTGAGTTTATTGGGATGACAACGTGCAACCAGAACTTCCTGATTACACACGCCCTCTTGAGTGACGAGACTGGTGACAATTATTATTGGGCTTTGAGACAGTTTAGGGATTTGCTTCCTAGTCATCTGTCTCTGGCTGTTATTGTTATTGATCGGGAACCGGGGTTGATGGCGCCGCTGGGTATGGTATTTCCAGATTCATGCCACTTGTTGTGTGTTTGGCATGTTTATGAGAATGTAAAGCAACATCTCAACAAGGAATTGAAATTTGAGGCCAAGATTGCAAATGATTTTGCATATGGGTTGTGGAAAGACGTTGTGGAAGCTAATAATCAGGATGAGTACAATAAAGCTGTTGCCGTAATAAACCGTCATTGGCAGTCTTTTCCGAGAGTTCTTAATTATATCCAGAAGACATGACTAGTGGTTGACTACAAATTCGTCAAGGCATGGACGAATCTGTGTTTCATATGGGCAACACTACTACAGGTAGGGTGGAGAGCGCGCACAAGTAGTTAAAAACTTGGCTGGAAACATCCACGGCGTCGCTGGATACACTTTGGGCTAAGGTGCACTTGAAAATTCAGAGTCAGCTAACCGAAATACGGTAAGTTCTATTCCATTATATTATATTTATTATAATATATTTAGTTTTTTTTTTTGTTTTTATGGCATTTTACGTAGAATGTTTTACACTTTGTTTGTGGCTACATTCAGGTATAAACTGGAGTACTCAAGACAGAAAATTGGCACCAATTATTGCGATTTTCCACTAAACCGCTTGAAGTGTCAAGTTTCACATACATGTTTGCAAAAACTGAATACTGAGTGGTCGAAGGCGCAAGAGTGGAAAGAAGAAATGAATGACAGATGTGATCATGTAGTGTACTGGACTTGTCGAATTCCATGTGCGTGTGCCCTAAAAAAGGCTGCAGATGCCGGCACATCGATTACACTTAAGCATATTCACCCATTCTGGGCGACCCTTAATATCGGTGAACAGGTTGGTACGAGTGCTCCTAGCGATGTGGATGACGAGGTCCTTTATACCAGACAGTTGATGGAAGAGCTGAACGAGTGTCCTAAGGTAGTACGACGAACGGTAAATAGAGCTCTCCACGATATTATGCATTCAGACCAGTGTGGGTTCAAACAACCCGAGGAGGTCAAGAGAAGGAAGGGGCGGCCTAAGGGGGCTAAATCAAAGAAAAAAGCAGAGGTCAACACTCTTGCCTATAAACAATCCCCACAGAAAATAGCAACACCTAATGTGTGGGATTACAGGGACGAGGCTCAAGGAAAGTCAACCATAGTTACTAGCGATTCAAGTAAGAAGCGCCCCTCGTCTTCAGGTAGTCATACAGATGCATCCACAGGTACATGTTAAGAAGTAATTTTTGCGTCCATTATTTATTTATTATCAATTGTTCTAAATAACATTTATTCTGTGTAATGTACAGATATCTTTGCGAGTGATATTTCACGGTATGGTTGCTACGACCTCATTCCATGGCTCATTCGGCCATATATTACCAGTTACATTGATGTTGGTGCCGATGGCAATTGTGGATTTCGCGTCATCGCGAGTAACATGTTTTTGTGCCAGGACAAATGGGCGATGGCGAGAGAGGCAATGGCGAACGAGCTAGAACAGAATTGACATCTGTACAGTAGAATGTACGGGTATAAAAACTTTTCATTTTCTATGTTATGATGTTTGCTGAACTTGGCAGTATTTTCCACAAATAATTGTATATGTAAATGCAGGACGTCCTGCAAGGAAGAAGTCAGTCGTATACGGTGGAGTGGACAGGGTTTCGCACCTGATCGCCATTGGATGTGTACGACGGACTTGTTCGTAGTTGCGACTATGAACAATGCAATTGTGTACTATTTCGGTGCAGGGGAAGAGAACCAGTCACTAAACAGCTCATGTTGGACTATACTAGCTGTCACTGCACTCGGTGAGGCAACATGTCCGGCATATGAGATTAGGGTATGTCACATTGGTATTTACAAGCACTTCATTCGGATCAATTTGGACGGTAACTTTTCAGTTCCACCGATTAATAATCGGTGGACTAAGGAACATCAGCCTAGCGTTGCTGGTTGGGAATTACCACTTCTTCCTAGAATTCAAGATTGGTATAGGTTGGTCCCCTCCAATCCTCGACGACCCGTGAATTATGATAATGATTTCATTGATCTTAGTTTCTTAGATTAGATCCATGTAGGTTTGTTTGTTGTGATGATGATAATGGTATTATCTAGTATCTAATTTGTTTGGTTTTTATGATTTGTGCAATAACAAACCTTGTTGGACATAAAAAAAAAAAAACTTACCACACGGACACCAAATAAGCTAACTAATCTATAACACACAATTTGCGCATAAAAAAAAAAACTAAATGCAGTCTAAGAAACAGAAAAACAAATAAATCCAGTCCAATAATACGACAATGACAATGATTATGGGGCCTTGTAATAACGGATCATCGTATCCTGTAGTTTCTCATCATATTCGTCAGCTAGGTCGCGATCGGACTCTTTGACCTTTCTAATCTGGTCCGTCATCAGCTTCCTCAATTCATTCATCCACTGAAAAAACAAAAAACAAAAAAGGTTAAACTATTTATAATATAGAAATATATATCTACAAAAATACAACTTACATAATCCTGACTGCTCCTAGCTGGTGTAGAGACTGCAGATGGGTCAGTTGTCGGCAGCAGAAATGGATGTGAATACTGCCTGTACCATTCAAGGTACCCATCCTCACACGCTCCTACGATTTCACCGATATTGGGTCGCCATCTGGTCAAATTAATACACGCTGACTCCGGGAATCTCCTCCAAGTATTGAGTGTGTCAACAACAGAATGCTCTACAAAGTACTGGGTAGTCCTGGGTCCTCAGAATGCATCATCAGGGGACGTGGGCGAACAAAGAATACTCTGTACGTAGCCAATCTGACGTATACATCTGTCCAGCATGTATGGCTCCTGCACGTTCCTATACATTATCCACCCACTGTAGATAGTCCTCGGAACTATTCCTTGTTAATCAGGTCCAAATGGCTCCCACTTTACCTGCAAAATATTATTTAGATTATTTATAAATATCATTTTTTAAAATGAATTACAGTCAAATGAAGCAATCATGTACCTCTAACTCGGTGAAACGGTCGAGACGCTCCCTAACCGGACGAAGACAATCTGGCATAGATGTCGGCCCCGCAAAAGATGGTGGTATCCAGTCATGTACTCTGGGCCTGTCATTACCCCCACGGATAAGTCGCCCTCCCTGGGGGCGGAAAATCGGGAAATACTCGTATATCCAGGCCTGCAGTAGGGTCAAATAACTACCTAACTGAGTGCACTTTGCCCTACTAGCCATCCCTAACTGACGATATAGGAACGCAAGCGTAGCAGAGCCCCACGAGTATGAACCCATATTCTCGATCCCAGCCATTAGCTCATGTACAAGTGAAACACTGCACCTCCCACCACTCTTGGCCATGAACAACGTCGAGGCCAACAATACCCATAAGAAAGCAGAGGGATGGGTATTCTCGTCCACTTTCTGGCATCGCTCAAGGATGACCCAATCAGAGACACCGCCATGACTTTATTTGTAACCATTCACATCCAGACCAAGTATCCATGCTGCATGTCCCTTCAACACATCTGTCTCGGACGTATATGATACTAACTCTCCATCAACCCCAATGCCCAAAATATGATAAACATCATGCATCATGATGGTCATCTCCCTAAACGGGAAATGAAATGAGTTGGTGTCCGGCTGCCACCTCTCAACAAATGCCTGAACTAAGCCAAGATCAATATCTTCATACGAGGTATGAAGAAGGTGACCTAATCCAGTCCCCCGAATCTTGCCTCTCACTACATCATCTATATCTTTATACCACATCTTCAACTTATTTAGAATCTTTTCGCCTTTAAAAATCTTCAATGTGGGTTTATTGTATCCATGCCAGAAATGATAAGCAATATGCCCAAGGAAGCTAGGAATCACGCTACCATCTATCGGCCCACCAGGTACTTCATCTGTCACTAGCCATATAGTCGGATCAATTTCATCAGAAACTCTCGACTGGCTGCTGCCGCCTGTACCATGAATGAGTAAACCAAATATTATTTATTATATTTTATACACATACAACAATTCAATAAATAGAAGTGAAAATAATTAATTAAAAATAATTACATAATATTAAATAATTACAACAATTAAATATAGATATTTGGTACCTGATGATGCAGTAGTGGTAACTGGACGTGTAGATACTCCAGTGGATCCGAGACCTCGGCTAGGGTCCACGGGATCAATGAGAGGGGGAGGACATGTACATACTCCAGCGGAGACGGAACCTCCGCGAGGGGGCACGGGATCAATGTAGGGGGGAGATGCATGAGCGGGGCAGGAGGGACGAGGCCGACTACCGGTGGATATACCCTATGGGAATTGACCGGAATGCGGGAAAGAGGGACTATAATGTGGACTGCGCCACTCACCACTCATAGGAGAAAGGAGAGGGGTAGGGGGAGAGGGTAAACCGCCAGGACCAGGCCGGGGACAACTGGAGTACCGGGGAGGAGGATAACTACTAAGATTGTACATAGGCGTATCTCTGTGATGCGCACCCATCCTAACACTGTCCTGCACATCATCCTCATCAAACTCATTCTCCTCATCCTCCTCATCCTCATCCTCCTCTTCCACGTCGTCCTGAGAATACTCGGGTACATAAATCGGCTGACTAGACCGAGTCTGAAACGGTACACCACCCATATTGACCTGAGTCATTTTCATTCGCTTCTTTTTCTCTTTTTCCTCTTTTTTCTTCCGACGACTCATGGTCAGATAACGCGCACGAACCTTACGCATACTAGTATCTTCAGTATCACTAGTATCACTATCATCATCATCATCATCACAATAAACCTATAAACAAAATTTTATTCATCATCATCATATTTTCATAGTCTAAACAAATAATTATACACATTTCCTAAATCCTAAATAGTTTAATAATTAAGTACATTTTGATTAAACGTACAATTCATATAATAATTAAGTAAACTAAAGTACTTTACCAAATTTTTAATTAAATTACTATTAATTATAATTAATCCAAAATACTCAACTATTTTACAAAATATTTATATTAATTTAATTAATCATAAACTACATTACACACTATTTAGATTAGCTTTACTAATCTACTATTACTTAAATTAAAAATAATTTAATCAATTAAACTAATTAGGTAGTGAACTAATCTACTATAAATTAAATTAGTTTTTAAAATTCAACTAATTTACATACTATTTAAATTAATTTAATCAATTAAAATGAGTAACTTTACTAATCTATTAATAATTAAATTAAAAATATAACCTAAATACTTTAATAACAATTTAAATTAAGAGTAAATCAATTAAACTAATTAGGTAGTGAACTAATCTACTATTAATTAAATTAGTTTTTAAAATTCAACTAATTTACATACTATTTAAATTAACTTAATCAATTAAAATGATTAACTTTACTAATATACTAATAATTAAATTAAAAATATAACCTAAATACTTTAATAACTATTTAAATTAATGAGTAAATCAATCAAACTAATTAGGTAGTGAACTAATCTACTATTAATCAAATTAAATTATTTACACAATTAAACTAAATAACCATCTAATAGAGAACCTCAATCTAAATCACAAACTATTAATTAATAAATAATTACTTAATAACCCTAATTACATTAAATTAAACATAATTAAACACTAATAATGAATTAAACAAATTCTAAAAAAAATTAAAAAAAAATAACATTCTGGACGGCCAGAGAAGTCGGCCGGCGGTGCGACCGACGCCTTCCATGGCCGTCCGGCGGCCACACAAAATAAAAAAAAAAAAAAAATTTCTACCCGCCGGACGGGCAAAGAAGCTATCCGGCGGCACGATCGGGACGCGCAAGAAACGCGTCCTGGTTCAACCCGAAACGGGCGTTTTGCTCGTTCGGGTTGAACCGACGCGCTTCTTGGCGTCGGATCATCTTGCCGCCGACGGCATCATTGCGCGTCCGGCGGCCAGAATGTATTTTTTTCCTACAATTCACAAATTTTTTTTTTAAAAAAAACGTACCCGTGATGAGATCTGCTCTTTCCCACTTTGATTCTTCCGTGTTGCCATCAACGGTGGATCAAATTAGATTTCAAATTTGGGTTTAGAAGGGAGGTGGCTTCAAGTTTTCTCTCCTTTTTCCTTTGGTGGAAGTTTGAAATGTGAGGGACAAAATAGTCCAAAAATATTTACGGTGGCTTTAAGTAGTAAAGATGGTGGCTTAAAAAACTAACACCCTTCTTTCGTACACATGAATGCAATACGAGTATAAAAGTAAACTAGATGCTTGGCCCAGGCAGATGCCCGGACGCCCCCTCTACTTTAATTTTGTGTTAATAGATAAATGAATTTTTGATTTGGAAAAAATAAAATAGCTACACAATTATTTTTTCCCCTTTTTAGCCAAAAATAAAAATAAAAATAATAAATCATCTGCAAAAGAAGAAAAAATATTGAAAAGCACACCGATGCAGAAATCATACAAAAGAATGTGGAGTAATAAAGGGGATAAGTTTATGGACAAATTTAAATCCTATCTTAATTTGATTGATAAATGATAAGTGTTAGGAGTTAAAATTGTGTAGCTATTTTTGTAAATTAGCTTTTGTTTTTCCGGATAAGAAGTTTTTTTTTTCTTTTCTTTTAAAAAGGGATGACATGTGGCAGAATGGTTAAATTAATATGATGTATTTGGAGCCACAATTTTTTAATAAGAAATTGTCACATCAACATCCTGTATTTTAGTTTAATAGGGTAAAAGGGATGTTCATCGCCGTCACTTCTTTTGAAGGCTACTCCCCATTCCTCATCTTAGTTATCCATCCTTTCTCATAGGTACAACAAATGAAAAGGAAAAGAAAAAAAAAAGAAGCAAATTACACGTTATCTTCTTCTAGTTATCCCTTTTACCCTATTAAAGCAGAAGACATGAAGCTTATGTGGCAACTAAGTATGCATCTGTTTTGGCTCCAATACACCATATTTCAGATTTCAGGAGTTTTTTTTACCACGTGTAAGTCTCTTTTAATTAGAAGTTATATAATTTTTTTTTTTTAAAAAACACATGTTTTACTACAAATAAGGATCATTTACATTTCAAACGAGATATATTAATTCAAATTCAAATGTCCAATCGTATAGTTTTGCAGGCTTAATATAAACAAAATATAAAAATACCTAAATCCAGCAATTAAGAATAATGCCTTATAAACTAATTATTTATTATTCCCGTATAACCTCAGATTTCTAGGTATATTTTTTTAAGCCCCAAATCATAGCATAAATGATATATACGCCAAATTAATTCCTTAAAAAATAGTAATTCAATTAGATTTTAATAAAATAGTAATTTAGAAGGGGCGCCCGGGCATCTGCCTGGGCCAAACATCTAGTAACCAATTATATAACGTTTCATATGCTTTAAAACTAGAATAATTTCTTATAGAATCCTAAAAGTTATATAGAGAAATACCTAAACGTTCTACTAAAATAAACATTCACTTACCGAAAAAAACTTATCGACTTGAATCTAGATTAGTCGTAACAATGATTTCGGACACCAGAAACGTAATATTATTTAAAAAAAAAAAACCAACTAGGCTGACCAACATGAAGAGGATGCTTTTAATCTTGAATTAGATGTTATTTCTGAAATTAATGTATCAAAAACAAAGAGAGTACACAACAATACTGGAGAACTAGCAAAAGCAATGAATCAAGCCTTAGAAAAAAAAATAGAGAAAAAACTGAATCAACAATTGACATCCAATGAGAGACGATTTGGCGCGCCCTGCAATTGTGAGCCGCAGCTTCGTTAGTGGACCCCACCAGATGTATTGGGAAGAGAAAATCTAACGCTCAAATTTAAACGCGTCATATCAACCGCCATATCTTCCTCCATTCATCATCATCCAGAGAGTGTGGATTTAGCAGTAAGTATCTGCAGACCCGACACAGAAAACTCAGACCCGAACCCGATTTGTTGGCTTCTCTCTGAGTGAGTGATGTTGAAGCAAGTAACAGAAAGAAGAAGAGGAGGAGGAGGAAGATGATGCTCCATGCAATTCCCATTCCCAATTCCAGCAATCCATTCCCACAAATCAATTCCAATTCCATCTTTCTCCCCTCCAAATCCCACGATTCCTTCTTCACCGCCGTCTGCCGCGCCTCCGCCTCAAGTCAAAATCCTCTGTTTCTGACCAACTATGCTTCTTCCTCTGCTTCGTCGCCGCCGCCGTTGCCGTTGCCGTTGAGGTACGTGAGCAACACCAGTTACCCGTACGACGAGAACCAAGATGTAAAGAGAGAAGAGGCTGAATTTACTGACGACGGCGGAGGAGGAGAAGTTGATGAGGAATATATGGTGGAGTCGGCTTCCGCTGTTGCCGCCCTTATTCGGAAAGTTTCCACGTCGCCGGTTGAGTTCGTGCATAGAATTGAGAACGCCGGCGGCGGCGGCGGCGGTGATGGTGGAGGAACGGGATTGGTGCTTCCCAGTGTTGACTTTCGTAGACTTTGTCTTGAACAATTGAACCTCTTCCGCCGCATCGTCCACCCTGATGCCATTCTCTCGGTAATCAACGTTTATAACTCTTTAATTTGGCTTTCAGTTCTTTTTTTTTTTTTTTTGCTAGTTGCCTTTTTGCTTTTGGGAAGTTAGGGAAATGACAGTACTTTGTCTGAGTTTAGAGTTTATACCAGGCTTGAGTAATTCCAGCAAAATCACTATTGGGTCACTCTGAGGGCTGATGTTTCCTGCTTCTTTGATATTTTGTCTCAGGTCTATGTAAGGCCAGCTGGTAGCTATGTTATGGATCAACTAGAGTTGCGCCGCACTACAGTTTATCCTTCTGTGGATAATGCAGCTGATATTGTGATCCTAGTGGGTAATTTTAGAATCACAGCAGGGCTCAGGACTGTAGAAGCTGCCCTTTCAAGTGGGCATGTAAGTGTGATTATATGCTGCTTAGCTAATTTTTGTTTGTGCTGAGTTTGAGTTCCAGTCGGTTGGTTATAAAGCAATTTTCTTTACTGTTGCTCCTTTCTATGGAAATTCATCTTCCTTGGACTTCTGATGGATGTTCCTTTTTAATTCTAGGCAGAATTTTTCCCTGAGCTTGGATCAGTGGTTTTTCCCCTGGTGAAGCATCCATTTGTGGTAGGCTTTTTAGTTGCTGAGTTACCTAGGATGACATCTGGACGAGTAGAACCAGAACCATCCCCAGCTCAATCTTCTTTACCGCCTCCTATCTGTGATTCAAAATTTTTGGAACTGCAAACTGGCAATGGCAAAACCATTGAGATGTTTAATCTCACAAGTGATCAGATATTGAATGCAGTCAATATTTCTCATTCTCTTGCTATGGCCTATGTCATGGATCAGGTGATTTTCTGGGATCTTTGTAAACTTTGACACAAGGTTCATGGTGTTGGTGGTCTTTTATGTAATCAATGCTTGTATCTCTGACTATCTGGTGGATTCTGCTAGCCAAATCTCTAGCCTCAAAGGCATAAATTACAACTTTTTTTGTATCTACATATACTAACACATAGAAAGCTGTTAGCAGTTTGTGAATTTGAAAGTCCATTATTGGCTTTCAAGTTTCAACTTAACAATTGCAAGCTGGTGCTCCCAAGGAACACACCAGAATAGCATATTATTAAGAGATAAAATTTAGTCAAGTTTCCACGATGCCATTTGTGGTGCTCTTGTCGTTTTCTATGGGTTTAGACTTTTCTTGTCATGATCGTATATTCAAATTTGGCTTTTCAGAAAGCAACGTTGCTTCAGCAATCGTCCTGGCAAAATAATGTCAGAATGAGTAGCCTGGTTGAACAAGTAAGATCTCTTTCTAGTTGTTTCCGGTAGTCATAATTTGAAGCCTGTTTCTGGTTCTGATGGCCCTTCGTAAATACTCAGATCCGAGGTTCTCTTTCTAGTATTAGGACTTTGAGCAAAATGCTTTCTGTTCAAGTGAAGAGAAGTGAGGTACATTTAACCGTAACTTGGAGTTGATGTTTTGAGATTTGGCCGTTTCTGAAAGGTTCCTTTGTCTCTTTCTAATATGCTGTTAACACAATGCTGCAGATTGCTTTTGATCTTGCAGAAGACATTTTGGTGCAAGGTGATCATATGCAAGATATCATTCAACAACTTCAAGATGCTGCTTACCTGACTAAGGTTGTCCTTTATCTTTGTTGATCAAGCATTTCAAGCTTCCCTTTCAATGTGTCACCTTAAGCAATCAAGTTCATGTGCATGAACTAAAGCATATGTGACTAGACCTTACACTGAAGAGTTTTTTGGCATTTATCTTTGATCCAGGGGGTTCTAGTAAATTTAACATTGAAGCTATTCTTTCTTCATATTTTAATGTCTGATTATTTATCTGTCAGTTATTCGCTCTAGTTCTTACTAAGTACTCATACCTGTTTTTTTTTTTTTTTCTATTTCTGTCCTTTTCAGGCTAATATCATTCGTAATAATGGAGGAAATTTGAAGAAAATACAAGAACAATCTCATGGTCAACCTACTTCAAGACTTCAAAATTTACAACCTTACAAGGCAGTTTCTCTCACCTCAGCGACCAAGGATTCAGAAATTTCCATGCCCCCTCTTGCACTTGCACCTTTACAGCAGAAAACAATCAGGTTGACTATACCACTGTGCAAATCTTTTATACTTGACGGCATCAAAACTTAATTTTTGCTTAGCATTCTCGGGAGATTTGATTTCTGTATCAAAAGATATATCAAATTTAGTTTGTCTGCTGTTAACATTGATATTTGATGTGTTCTCAGAAATCCATGCAATGTTTCTGATGTTCTGAATGATCTGGTTGGGGCTGTTGAACCTTTAGCTCTTATGCAGCAGAGATCTCTAGAAGTATCTGAATTATCTAAGCCTTCACAAGTTGCTGTTGAAGAGCCTGCTTTGCGGCAGGCATTGAGCAACTTGATTGAAGGTGCATTGTTAAGAACAGAAACTGGAGGAAGTGTCGAAATTGTTTCCACAGGAGCTCCAGCAGGTGGAGCTCTAATCATAATTGATGATGATGGGCCAGATATGCAATACATGGTATCTCTTTTGCTTCTTTCTCACAAACTAGTCTCATTCTTTGAATTTGTCCAAAAACATTCCAAATTACAATGTTGGTTTAATTTGCTCAAGTTTAGATAACCCGAAACTTATGAAGATCAATAATGGTGATTTCACTAACTTCGTGGTACATGACAATGCAGACGCAGATGCATTCCCTCACCCCTTTTGGGACAGATCTATTTTCTGAAAACAAGATTGAGGACAATATGACATGGAATTTTGTGGCTGGTTTGACTGTTGCTCGAGAGATCTTAGAGAGTTACGGATGTGTTGTTCGGGTTATCTCACCACGGATCTCTGATGGAGGCGGTTCTGGTGGAGCCAGGGGAACTCGTATAGAGCTTTGGCTACCTTATTATACATCTGGGGCTACAGGTGAATTTGATGACATGCAATGATGGAACAGAACCAATCCCTGCCACACAGCAGAAATCATGGAATTCAAGTTTCTAGTTTGTCTAAATAATGTACATAACAGATTCATATATTGATAGGTTTATAAGATTATTATATATTAACAAATTTTGTACATAAGAGCTGTAGTTATGTGTAGGTAATTTTCTTCTTCTTTTTTATAATCACATTTCTTTTACTGTTATGCTTACACTGTGATCATGCATGTAACAAACCACTCTATGCTCAATCAAATACTCCACTTTATGCTCAATCAAATACTAGATTGATCGTTTTCAAATATCATGAATTTTCCTTTAATAAGTCAACGAAATAACAGAATGAATTTAGGTACAAATGGCAGTGCTAAATGTGATGTAATTTTCATTCAATTACTGTTAACAAAATGGCTTATACAAAAGTAGTGGCAACATCAGTGCCAAAATTAGTGGTAAAAAGTATATATATATTTTTCATATGATGATTATCCCAGCTGAATGCGTCAAATATAATATACCCCTACCCCCTCCAAAGTATGCTGTACTAAAATAATACATCCAAATTTTGTTTTGAGATCAGAAAAAACAATGTACAACATACATTTTGGGAAAGAATAATTACAACAAATATAATTTTGCTGAGACAAATATATAAATCACAAGATATGATGTAGACGATTTTTGTCGGACAAAGAAAATACACCAAATATAACTTTTTTTTTTTTTTTTCCCCTTGTTTTAAAGAGAGATGGAAAGGATGTACGGTAGAAGGAATGGTCCGCTCTGTAGTTAGGCGAAAAGTATTGAGCATTAAAATTGGTAGACTAACATGGTTTGTTGAAAGAGCACAAGTCTTCCTAAGCAATTATGAAGTCACAATAGTCTTGAAGCCTCTATTATCCAAAGTTGAATTAATCAACTCTTTATCATTTTGGAATAGATTGTTTTGTTCCACTATATTAAGCTGATGAGTTACTGTCTTCCTTTCTCCACATGTTAAAACAATTTTCACTTGCTGATGTAATTTTGTCAACCAAATTTTACTTGTAATGTTACTACCTCCGTCCCATAAAAATAGTCAAATTTTAAAAATGTAAATTTTAAAATTAGAGTTATGCGATTATTATAACCTAAAATTGATTATTAAATTGATAAATACCCATGAAACTTTATTCAGTTTTTTCATATTAACCTTTTAATTTACAAGATTAAGTCATCTAATTTTTATATTTTAGTCTTTCAAATTCGACTATTTTTTTTAGGACGGAAAGAGTAATTTATTTGATTTCTGGATTTCTTTCCCCTTTTGAATTTGACTGACTGTCAACAAGAAAAGTTACTTCCATGGTCTCATGGACAAAATATAAATAACATTCATTTCTCTCCATATTAAAGTCTTTGATTTTCTTAATCACAAAAATATTAAAGATCTTTAATTTTGGAATCAGTAAGATTTAATATTATTTCCCCTCCTCTAATCTTTTTCAATGTTCATAGTATCCGATGACAATATAACAAGTAAATATCTTTTCAATTATTAAGTATTTTTAAATTATAAGATTACCAAATTTTCACTGACTTCAATTTTCTTAAAAAAAGAAAATCCAACACTGAGAATTTAATTAAGGAGGATATTGCCCAACCTTTTTGTATCGCAAGAATTGTATTATATGACCATAATATGTAATTTTGATGAGTTTTTAATAGGTCGGAATTTCATGAAATTTTGTAATTAAAAGCACCGTGTTTTTATATGGCACTAGGACAGTAGGACTAAGTAACCGAGCAGGCCAACAAATCAAATAGAGAGAATTCAAGTCATCTCCAAAAACAAATTGGGATGGGAAATCATAAATGGTCATAGGACAAGAATTAGAGTCCTATTAATATGAGACGTGTTATTGCCCAAAAAGATCCAAAAGTTAGCAAACGCGAAAACAAAACAGGGAAAATAGTTATATAAAATTAATGGATTCTCAAATTGGCTTCAAAGTGTCAGTTTTGTTTTTCCCTCTCTGTTCTCTCACCCGGGTTCATTCACACAATCTTTAAGTTCTTAAAAAGTGGACGAGATTTTCTCGTCGTTAGCTCCAGGAGATTTTGTTTCTGTTTTCAGCTCTTCAGATTCTATAGACTGTTCTTTGTTCGGTTCTTCTTTTGTGTAAATTAAAGCAAAAATTATTCAGGGAAGAACTTCTGAACATTACCATAGAAAGGGGCGACGCAAAAACGTTTTCTTTTCGTCATCAGAATTTCGCTGGGTGAGTAGTTTGTTCTCGTGATCCTCGATTCTTATAGCCTGCTCCTTGGTGCGATCTTTTGTGGGTTTTTTTTCTTGTGAGTTCTAAAGCATCCGTTGTGGAAGTATGGAATGATGTTCGTTTTGTTTGCTTTGTTTGTTGTATTTTCTTGTTACGTTACATAAAAAAGTGATCTTTTTCTGTATTTTGATATGCTTTTTAAGAAAGAACTGATTAATTTTCTGAAGTGAGTTAATTCTCGTGAGTATCGAACGTAACAGATGGGATAGGATCATAAGAGTTTTGGTTTTAGCCGACTTTGTCGGTCAATTACGTCTTTGTATTGACTTGCAGCTTCCATGTGGAAGGTTTTGAAAGGATGTGCCACTTGGGATCATCTGAAAATTGGGTTTTGTGTTTCGGGTCAGATTTACAGAATTGGATTGTGTTTCACTGAGTTTTGGTGTTTGCTAAAAAGTAGTACCTGCATGAATGGTAATTGTGGAATTGCTTCAGGCCTGGTATGTTTCGAAGCTTTAAATGCCTGCTTAGCTGTGATACAATTAGAATTGATGGTGAAAAGGGCTTTAGCCTTCGATAAAATTGGCTAGTTTCTTAGTTTTTAAACTACAAGAAGTTCAAGTACTAGATTGCTACTTTTTTGGGTATGCTGCTATAAAAGTGTTTGTAATACAAGTAGAATTCAGGTTTTCTCTTTTCTTTTTCTGGTGTTTTATGGTGTAGAAACTTTGAGGTTTGCTATCCATTTTCCCCAAATTTTAGTTCTGCCTGTGTTGGTTGGTGATTGGAATTGTAACTGTGTATAGCTTTCTTATATCAGTGGGTTTAACATCTAATGAATTGCCAGCAAAGTTCTAAGCATTTAATAGTTAGATTTGATTCTGTATTCTTATTTCACTTGACTTCTTCAATATCAAGATGCTCATGTTTAGCCATGATTATATCTTCTGCAGGAACGATTCTCAAATGTTCTTAGGGTATTGAAAGAGCCAATTGAAGAGCCAATTCAGCTTTTAATGCTACTATGAATTTGGATTCTTCATATCAGAAGAAGGGAAATTTGGTGCGCAGGTTCGTATTTTCTATGATCTCGTTGCAGCTCCATGAATTGGTCTTAATTTATGATGGATTTCTTATTTTAATTCATATTGTCAACTTTATACAGTCTTGCTTTGAAAAAGCCAAATGAAACCATGAGGATCTTTGTTGCCGCATTTTTTGGAGTTCTTTTGGGGATCATAATTGGAATAACAGTTCCGACTCTTTCATCAACAAAGGTGCTGAGTTTTTTCTACAATGTTATGCGATGAGTTTGAAAATTCAGTGAAACATTTAATAGACATGTAATTGGTATTCTGTCACTGCTATTTAGCAATCATTACTGACAAAAAAATGTTGATGTTGCAGCTAAATATCTCATCCAGCATCATTTGTGATTTCACAAATGCAGGGAATGAAATTAAAAGTAACTCTTCTCAAATAAGTGAAGATACATCATCTTTAACCGTTGTGAGCGAAAACCAAAGTCAAAACAAGAGTGAACTATTAAAGGTACTAGAAACTCTTCTTATTCTCATTAAAAAACAATGGCAAACAAGCAAAGCAGTAGTATGTTATGGCACAAAGCTACATAGTTTTTATGATAATCTTGACAGAAATAGACTATTGAGATAGGCCGTTCCTTCCTTATTGTTCAATCCAGGTTTGGGTCCCTTCAAACCCAAGAGGTGCCGAAAAACTACCCCCACACTTCGTCGCAAACGAATCAGATTTATTTCCTCGCAGGTTGTGGGGTAAGCCCAGTGAAGTAAGTGCTCTGTCTCAAGTTCTGTTCTTTCTTACTAGTGAATTATCCAGTCACTTGAACTTATTTTGCTTGCAAGATGTGTAAATTTGAGATCCCTGGACTATCAGAGTATTGATGACAGGAACGTTTGCCATGTAACTGTGTGCGTTTTTCCCTTTTGACAACTGAGTTGCTGCCGTTTCACCTAATAGAGTATGAAAACCTTTTGTGCAACTTATGTCACATTCAAAAGTATGAACTAGTGGCAATGGGGATCTCAAAGTGTGCATCACTACTAACTGTGAGAACCTTAAGAATTTGATGATAATTGGCAACCTTGGATCTTAACTTCAATTTTCAATGCATTTCTTTTGTAGGACCTTACCCACATACCAAAGTATCTTGTGGCTTTCACTGTCGGTGTAAAACAGAAGCATAACATTGATACAGCTGTCAAGAAGGTAAGTGCAATTAGAGGTTCTCTGTCCATTATGCTTGCTTTGCTTGCTCTCCCTCTTAATTATCTCCTCCTGTGTAGTTCTCAGAGAACTTCACCATACTTCTGTTTCACTATGATGGAAAGACATCTGAATGGGATGAGTTTGAGTGGTCTAAGAAGGCCATCCATGTTAGTGCTCGTAAACAGACTAAATGGTACGAAATGAATGATGTATACCTCGTTCTGATATGTTTTATTCTTTCTCACTTCGTCTCTCTACAACAGCTTTGTCACTCAATCTTCAATTGTACAGGTGGTACGCCAAAAGATTTTTACATCCGAGTATTGTTGCACCTTATGATTACATATTTATATGGGACGAGGACCTTGGACTTGAACATTTTAATGCTGAAGAGTAAGCCTTTGGTTGTGCACATTTTTCTCAGAAGTTGGTTTATGGCCATTGATTATTTGGCCGAGCTAACCTCATGAGCTTCCTGCAGGTACATACGACTTGTAAAAAAGCACGACCTGGAAATTTCCCAGCCTGGTTTGGATCCTTCACGAGGTACAACATGGGAGATGACAAAGAGAAGACCTGGTCATGAAGTGCATAAGTAGGAAATCTTAACTTCCATTCCCTATTAACATACTGCTTATATTCTTCTTTTATAAAAAGATATAATAAGAACTGCATTAAGATTTCTTATCAGTGAAAGTTTTTATCCTTGATCAGAAATACGACAGAGAAACCAGGCTGGTGCTCGGATCCTATTCGGCCACCATGTGCAGCGTATGATCTCGTCTCCTGTTTTCTGCATTTTGCGTCCTTTACCTATATGCATAAGTTACATTTGGAAAGAGTATGAAATGATGTTCTGTTTCTGAATTTCAGTTTTGTGGAGATCATGGCTCCTGTGTTTTCTCGTGATGCATGGCTATGCGTTTGGCATCTGATCCAGGTATATGCTTTGATATAGGTTTCCATAATTAAGTTTGGAGCCTGAAGTGCTTGCAATTTTGCTGCTCAGAAACCAACTGATATCTGTATGTGAATTGCAGAATGACCTAGTTCACGGTTGGGGACTGGACTTTGCCCTCCGGAATTGTGTTGAGGTTAGCATTGCTTTTGTGGCATTTCTCTCTCATGTAGCTTTAGTACACAGCCTGTATACTGTATAAGTTCCAAGATGTGAGAAGCTTTTGTTAATTTTTTCAGCCTGCTCATGAGAAAATTGGAGTGGTGGATGCTCAATGGATTGTTCACCAATCTATTCCTTCACTTGGGAATCAGGTTTGTCAATTTATACTACCATTTTGCTATTAAGATTCCTTAAGATACAACTTATGAACATGAAATAATTCCATCCCTTTACTTGTCTTTTCCAGGGCCAGTCAAAGGATGGAAAAGCTCCATGGCAAGGGGTAAGGAGATTTCGTCGTCTTTTTGTTTCTCCCCCACCCTAGTGACACGAAACCAAAATCGTTGATACAAACTCAACTTCAAAATCTGCTTTTAAATTAATGCAACATGAGTACGACATTGTTTACATCACGAGTAATATAAACCAGAGACCAAAAGCAAAATCCCTAAAAACGTATTGGTTGTCTCGGATTTGACACTCGGGTCCCAAAAGGACCTTACCTTGATTCTCAACAGTGAAACACAACCCGAAAGCCACCTCTAATATTGCCAGTTTACTTGTATTTTTGGTGTTACCAGGTACGAGAAAGGTGTAGAAGAGAATGGACAATGTTCCAGACCAGGTTTTCGAATGCAGAGAAAGCTTATTACATGGAGAAAGGAATTGATCCTTCCAATATCACAAATCATAGAATACGGACATAGTTTATCTATTACATACATGATCCGTTCCCCTTGCCATTACCCAGGGGGAAGAGAGCCTTTTCCATAACATTTGTTATAGAAATAGGGTTCTAGCTCTGTAGATATTATTATATCTTTATTATAGAGTAAAACTTTTTGGGTTCATTTTATTTTTGTATTTTTATTTTTTGGGGTATCCTCACGTCCTTTGGAGTAGTATTGTCAATTCCTTCTATTCATTTTGAACAGCTAAATATGAGTGATTCGGGAAGCAACACAAGGCTTGTGCCAACAATGCACATTTGTGCTTCGCGAACTCAGATGAGAGATATGTTGCTTCAATCGCAAATTTTTTACAGCTCACTTTAATTTTTCAATAAGACGAGCTTGTGTACAACAAACCAACCCTTTGACCGCCATCCATGCATGAACTCACTTGATATTTTTGTGAATATCAACGTAAACAAATGGGGGTAGAAGACCATAATTGCGTGTCTTGTTGTTGGCTTGCGCTGACTTTTCCTGAACTTATGTCTTTCAACTTAAGCAAGAACGTTCACTTTTCTTCTTTTTCTTTTTTCTTTCTTTTCTTTTTTTTTTTTTAAAAAAAAATTTGACTTTCAACTGGTTGTGTTTGGTAATATGGATTTGGAGCACCAAAATCAAAATCCAAATCCAAATCCAAATCAAGCTATAGTTAACACAGTGAGGTAAGGTCTATACATTCATAACAACTTGAACATCAATTAGTTGTTTTTGGTGACACGAAGAATGAAATTCAAAACAAATGACTTTGGACATCAGGAGTCTAATATATCGAATGAAAATTCAAAAAGTCAATAGACTTAAATCATTGGACTCAGCATTTAAATTCTGCCCGCAGTTGAGGCTAAAACATTGGATTGAGTTGAACTTAAAGTTAGGTACTTTGTTGGCAACAAGTGTAAATTGGTCAAATGTAATTTAGGCTAAGTAGCACATGCATATATATATATATATATATATGAGCAGTGCAAAGTTTTTGAGTTGCTTGTGGAGACTGTTAAGGTGTAGAAAAAGTTCGATATTCCATTGGCCTATTTCACCAGTTTTGTTTCTGCAAAGTCCACCAAATTTTTAGTTTTCTTAACATTAAAATTCCACCAATCCCTACTTCTATTTCACAATGTAAACTTCCAACATACTCAATGGTTCTCATATAAAAAAGATCAACTGATATTGAAGGTTAGTTAATGGTGTTATTATTCCACTATGACTTCTGAATCTCCATATAAGAAGGGAAATCTTGGACGCAGGTTTGATATTCTTCTATTATCAACTGTTGCATTGCCATGAAACAGAAGCACTAGCCTTAAGCTGGATCACTGATTTCAAATCTCTTGTTTCTCTCATATATGTGTGCAGTCTCATTGTCCAGAAGCAACACCAAGTTATGAGGGCTGTTGTTTCCATTTTTTTTGGAGCAGCTTTTGGGTTCTTCATCGGAATGTCTTTTCCAACTCTTTCATTCACCAAGGTGCAGACTTCAATACTTGAAAATGTGTGTGTGCGTGCGTGCGTGTGTGTGACTGTGTGTGTTCCTCCTCCTCATTAGTTTTATGGTGCTGATGCTTACCAATTATGGCTGATGAAATGTTAATGTTTTATTTGGCAGATATACTTTACACCCTGGATCACTTGTAATTGTTCAAACGTGGGGAACCAAGTTACAAGTCAATCAATCCAGATAAGTCAAGATGTGTCGCTGTCTCTCTCAAATGAAAGCGGAAGCGATTCGAATCAAAGCCAAAACCAAAGTGATTTGCTGAAAGTACATATATTTACTTCTTAATCTCATAATAGTTGTTCTGATGTTATGCAACATGGTTATTCATAAGTATGATCATTTTGATAGAAACTTTCCTCATTGCTTTAGTAAATCCTCTGTAGACATGTAATGCAAGATGGTCTGGTGAAGATTTATCCCTCTATTGCTGATTCTGTTTATTCAGATTTGGATCCCTTCACACCCGAGAGGGGCAGAAACCTTACCCCCACGAATCGTTGCAACTGAATCAGACTTATTCCTCCGCAGGTTGGTGGGTAAGCCCAATGAGGTAAGTGTTCTGTTTCCAACTCTGTTCTTACATGTACTCAGGGTTTTGAATATCTTGTTTGACCCGATTTTCAAGCAATCTTAACTCTCAATAGCAGAGGCTAACTTTCCATCTCCAAATGCATTTTCTGTGTGAATAGGACCTAACTCACATTCCGAAGTATCTTGTGGCATTTACTGTTGGTATAAAACAGAAGAAAAACATTGATGCAAATGTCAAAAAGGTGAGCTTTTGATTTGTTTCTCAAATATAGGGGCTTCCTTTGTCTCTCTTGCTCTTCAATTATTGTCTTTCTCTACAGTTTTCAGAGAACTTCACCATAGTTCTATTTCACTATGATGGCAACACATCTGAATGGGATGAGTTTGAGTGGTCTAAGACGGCCATTCATGTGAGTGTTCCTAAACAGACTAAATGGTAAGAAATGATCTGTGCAAACATATGTTTTGTGTTCTTTTTACTCTTGGTTTCTGCACAATGACTTTAAGCTCAATCTTCAATTCGCCGTGGTCCAGGTGGTACGCGAAAAGATTTTTGCATCCGAGTATTGTTGCACCATATGACTACTTATTCATATGGGATGAGGACCTTGGAGTTGAAAATTTTAATGCCGAAGAGTAAGCCATTTTTAGTTGACCAAATTCTTCTGAGAATGAGGCTTATGACAGTTGATTGTGTTCCCACTGGACTTACCTTATATGAGGTTTCTGTAGATATATTAAACTTGCGAGAAAGCATGGCCTGGAAATCTCCCAGCCTGCTGTGGAACCTGCAAGGGCAACAGCATGGGAGTTGACACAGAGAAAACCTGATCATGAAGTGCACAAGTAAGACCTTTTTTCTACTATTTGATCACCTAAACAAATATAAACACGATTTTTCTTCTTTATAAACATTGTTATGCTTTGATCAGAAACACGCCAGAGAAGCCAGGCCGGTGCCGTGATCCCTTTCATCCTCCTTGCGCAGCGTATAATTTCTTAACCCATCTTTTCTATCGTGCATTTGTGCATGCTTCTCTTATTTACCAAGTTCTGTAATACGCTTGAAATTTTCTTTTCTGAAATTCAGTTTTGTGGAGATCATGGCTCCGGTTTTCTCACGAGATGCATGGCGATGTGTTTGGCATATGATCCAGGTATACACTTTGAGACATAAATTTCACATTTAGTTACATTAATCTGGAGGGAAAGAAGTCATTATGTATTAATTTTTGTTTTTCTAACGAGTCAACTGCAGAATGATTTTGTCCATGGTTGGGGACTTGACTTGGCCTTTCACAACTGTGTTGAGGTTAGTGGTTGTTTTTCCAAGCCTGATTTTCTTAAGTCATTTTATTATTATTATTATTATTATTATTATTATTATTATTATTATTTTTAAGAAGGTACCTAATTATATTAAAATTTACCTAATCTATTACAGTTCATTTTGTTATAAGCTAACTTATGAACTTCATCTACTTCATTCTACTAACTTTAATTATTTGACAAAAATTAAAACCTGAAACTAGACTTCGTAGTAAAGCGACAATTTCTTGAGCTTCGGTCGGAATTAAAGAGCTACTAAGAAACCTTCCTTTGCCTTTGTTTAGCCTGCTCATGAGAAGATTGGAGTTGTGGATGCTCAGTGGGTAATTCATCAGTCTGTTCCTTCACTTGGGGCTCAGGTTCGTTTTATGTCCTACATTTGCAACCATTATCTTTAGATTCCATGGTTACCACTTACCAACACTTGGACATGAAAATAATTCTAGTTCTTCAAATGCGGTCTTTTCCAGGGTCAAGCAGAGGAGGGAAAAACTGCTTGGCGAGCGGTAAGGAGTTTTTTTTTTTTTTTCGTCACAAACTATTCTATTCGAGAACTTAATGTTTTAAAATGTCTCGTTCGTGATATATTTAAGTGAGTGTTACAGGAAGCGGTATAGGATATCGTAATGTTGTGTTGGCTAATTGAATCGTTACATTGTGTTTGGGGTTACCAGGTACGAGAAAGGTGTGACAAAGAACGGTCCATGTTTACGACTCGGTTTGCGACTGCAAAGAAGAATTACTACAAGTCCAAAGGAATTGATCCTTCCAACATCAGAATGCGTTAGTCAGAGGGCGACATATACTTGATATTATTTCATCATATACTCGAAAAGTTTACCAGTTTTGTTCCAATACATATATTGTACTAATAGAACTGTAGATATTAATTCTTTCTTCTTTTTTTTTTTTTTTTTTTTCTCTCTGTGATCTCTGTTTTTTCATCTTCTTTTCTTTTCTTGGTTTTTGATCTTCACATTGCTCGCCTCAATCAAAGCAAGATGACCTTGATTGAAGGAGACGAATAAATCGCAGGATCCAAAGTTTGTCGTTCAAATGAAGCAAAAAAGTGATTTCTTTTTTTCTTATCTTTTCAAATGTTGCATTGACCCTTTCAAGTTGAAGTGTCAGTTGATAAATTGAATCTTTTATGACTTTGGGAAACCTCAAACTTACGAAATCAGATTCACTTCATCTCTCGAGTTGAAGGCATTTATTCATATTTATAACAGGTGCCAATGTGTGCTGCAAAGTTGTTAAAAATTCAGAACAACTCTGGCTGTATTCGCCATTTTACCGGATAGAAACGACTAGTGATTGGTGACTTAATTGCGGAGGCTGTTGGATTTTGCCACTACTTTTTTTTTTTTTTAATTATTCGAATTATAATAATCACATTTTTGTAGCTTTCTTCTTATAAAAATCCAAAAAGTACAAGGTTTTAAACTAATTAGATTGCTTCTTCTTTTTTTTTTTCCTTTTTTTTTGGGTTTTTCCCACACTCCCTTGGAGATGATGCAAATAGAGACGATCATGAAAACGGGCGGTTTTTTAAAGCATGGACGAAGCCTACAAGTGGCCAACTTTTTTTGTTATTTGTGCAACCGACAATAAATAGAGAAGATCCAAAACGTAAGATTTTTTCAAAGTGAATGTAACAAACAGAACTAATAAGCAGCTCCCCGACAAGCGTGCTTTCCATTGTGTTTCATTTCCTTATTCTTTCTACTCTTTCAACTTAGCTTCAGAAGGACTAATTCAGTAGCATTCAATGCAATTAGGATGATTTCAGAATCCCCTCACCTGTATCACAAAGGACAGCTTGGACGCAGGTTTTGTAGGTATTCATTCATATGTATTCAGCTGTTTTTTCTGCATTTCTCCCATAATCACCAGGCCTCAAAAGCTTGATCATGACTTATTTTAATTCCTTTTTTGTCTCATCATTTTATTCAGTCTGATGATCAAAAAGCCGAATGAAGCTACGAGGGCCATTGTTGCCATATTTCTTGGAGCAGCTCTCGGGTTCTTTATTGGAGTCTGGTTTTCAACTCCTTCATTGACCAAGGTTTGAAACTGTTATGATTTTCATCCATCTTTTATCTGATCACTTCAACTGATATTCAATGCATTTAATTACCTGATTGTATTGTCTTTCTTTTGCAGCTAAACATCGTATCCAGCATTGTTTGTGATTGTGCAAATGTCGGCAAACAAGTCAGAAATGACTCTAGCCAAAATAGTCAACCTGGATTGTCTTTTCCGGTTGAGAAGGGAAGTCAAAACAAGAGTCTGGACCCTTTGAAGGTACAGCATAAATTTCTATTTGGCTGATGATAGTTGTTTTGCAGCAGCGCATCATAAATATGATGATAGTTTTGATAAATTAATAATCTGCAATAAAAGTGTAACACAGTGTAATCTGATTCGGGTACTGATCAGATTTGGGTCCCTTCAAATCCAAGAGGTGCAGAAACATTACCTCCAGGCATTGTTGCAAATGAATCAGATTTCTTCCTCCGTAAGTTGTGGGGTAAGCCCAGTGAAGTAAGTGTTCTGTTAACTTTCATCTCTAAATTCTGAGTAGCTTGCTGTTCCAATTTGGTGCAACTTAATTAACTTTCATCTCTAAATTTATTTCTATATTGTAGGACCTAACTCACATACCGAAGTATCTTGTGACTTTCACTGTTGGAATAAATCAGAAGCATAACATTGATGCAGCTGTCAAAAAGGTGTGTGTGCAAAGTATTCATCTATTATCGACCTGCTATCTACCCTCTATATCGTCGTGGCTTGCTTCGTCTCTGTCGCCCTCTTTTGACTACATCCTTTTGTGCAGTTTTCAGAAAATTTCACTATACTGCTGTTTCACTATGATGGAAACACATCTGAATGGGATGAGTTTGAGTGGTCTAAGCAGGTTATTCATGTGAGTGCGCGTAAACAAACAAAATGGTAAAAAAGGAATGATTATCGACAATCAAGTACCGCCTTCTGATTGTGTTTTGTGTCATTTAAAGGTCACATTAGCCTTATTATGCCCCAACTTAATTTCAATTCCAGGTGGTACGCTAAGAGGTTCTTGCATCCAAGCATTGTTGCACCGTACGACTACATATTTATATGGGATGAAGACCTTGGAGTCGAAAATTTCAATGCTGAAGAGTGAGCAGGCCTTTGGCTTTCTTTACAGAAGTAGGTTTTTGGAAGCTGGTTTCTTGCCCCAAGTTAACCTCAATGAGCTTTCTACAGGTACATAAAACTCGTTAAGAAATACGGCCTTGAAATTTCACAGCCTGGTTTGGATCCTTCTTCAACTGGTACAACATGGGAGATGACAAAGAGACAAGCTGGCCAAGAAGTGCACAAGTAGGGATCCTCATTGATCTTCTAAGAACAATCTAAGAACTGTTTATGATTTTTCGTTCATGAAAGTTGTTGTCTTTGATCAGAGAAGCGGAGGAGACATCCCCTCCAGGCTGGTGCTCCCATCCTCCACGCCCTCCCTGCGCAGCGTATAATTCCACTCTCTTGTTTTGTGCATTATGATTCTCTTGCTGTCTAAGTAGTATTTGACAATTAATGAATGTAGAGTAATATTATATATGCTTATCTCCTTTTAATTTCAGATTTGTGGAGATCATGGCTCCTGTTTTCTCTCGAAATGCCTGGCAATGTGTTTGGCATATGATCCAGGTACCAACATGAGGCATTAATTCCATTGTTTGTCAGGCCACGTGTTGATGCCAAACTCTATAGGCTACGTTTCTTTCGTGATTTTCGGTTATATTCATGCTGTGATGCAGAATGATCTTGTTCATGGATGGGGTCTTGACTTTGCTCTCCAAAAATGTGTTGAGGTTGGTGTTGATCTTATACATACACCACCTGAATTCCAATGTAGTATGTGAATCTAAAGGTGTACAACTTTCTAACTGCGAAAAACTCTGAAACATGGCTCTCAACTTTTACAGCCTGCTAACGAGAAAATTGGAGTTGTGGATGCTCAGTGGGTGCTTCACCAATACATTCCATCACTAAAGGATCAGGTCTAACCTTTATTTAGCCCTTTGCATTATGCCTCCATTTTGGGACCTGAAATGTTTGTAGTTCTTACATATATTTTGGCCTTCTTTTCCAGGGTAAGGCACAGGAAGGAAAAACTGCAGGGGAAGGGGTTAGTAGTTCCACTCTTTCCCACTATATGATACAATATTTACAAAGTTTAACTGATGTCCAATTGTTGTACTCTTTCCGTCCCAAAATTTGTTTACTAACTTGTTCCATTTTAATGTATGGTACTAGGTATATGAAAGGTGTATGATGGAATGGAAAATGTTTCAAAGTAGGATGGAGGATGCAGAGAAAGATTACTACATGGAGAATGGGATTGACCCTTCAAAAATACCAAATCATTAGATGGATTGATGTATATTGATATAGAAAACAATACAGGAATTTTAGAAAATATATTTAAACTTTATCAGGGGTTTAATGTTGAATTATCATTACAGCATATTAATTATGAATTTTGTATGAATATAGTGGAAGAATCGAGTCAAAATTTTAAGATATAAAAGAACACCTCCAATACCATCGATATTAACACAAGGGTTAATGACTTGAAAAGTGAACTTAGATTTACTTTCTTAATTTTTAACTAATTGATTAACACTTGATTAAATTAGCATTGTATCGTAGATATGATGATTTTTTATATGAATATAGTGTGAGTGGGAAGTTGAAACTGTGGAGAATTTGTGAACACCCCATCAACAAAATCATGATTGAGCATGTGGTTGTATGGTTGGAATTAACTAGTATTTAAAAAAAGATATTTAAACTTTACCAGGTTCAATGTTGAATAATATTACAACATACTAATAACGAATTTATATATAAATAAAGAGCCTAAAATAAGTCAAGATTCTAAGATACGAAGTAACACCCCCAATATCAGCGTTATTAGTATAAGAGTCAATAACATACAAAATAAACTTTGGTTTTTTTTTTTAAATCTTCAACTAGTTGATGAACACATGATTAAATAAGCATTATATCGTAAGATTGATGATTTTGATATGTTGTGTAACAGGAAATCTAAAACAACTTAGAAACACCCCCATTAACAAAATCATGATTTAATATGAGGTTTGTGGTGTGAATAAACTAGATTTTAGAAAATATATTTAAATTTTGCAAGGTATTTAAAGTTTAATTATCATTATCACATACCAATTACAAATTTGATAAGACAATAGAGCTAAAACTAAGTTAAAATTATAAGATATGAAGGAACACCCCAATGCCAATGCTATTAACATTAAGGTTGAAAACTTACAAAGTGAATTTTGGTTTTCTTTTTTGATTTTCAATTAATTAGTGAACATATGCGTAAATTAGCATTTTAATGTAAAAATGATGCATTTTGATATGAATATATTGTTAGAGGAAAGCTGAAACCATGCATAATTTTGAACACCCGATCAGTAGAATCATGATTGAGCTTGTTGCTTTGTGGTTTGAGTTAACTAAAATTTTAAAAATATATTTAAACTTTACCAGGGGTTTAATGTTTAATTAGCATTAGAACATTCTAATTACAAATTTGATAAAATTATAGAGCCAAAAATAGGTCAAAATTTTAAAATATAAGAGAACACCCCCAATACCCAATATTATTAGTCAACTTGGTTTTTCGTTTTTAATCTTAAATTAATTGATAAATACATGATTAAATTAATATTTTATTGTAGAAATGATAATTTTTTATATGATTATAGTGAGAGGGGAAAGATGAAACCTTGCAAAAAGTTTCGAACATCCTATTAGCAAAATCACGATTGACCATAAGGTTGTGTGATTTGGGTTAACTCGTATTTAAAAGATATAATTAAACTTTGCTAGGGTTTAAATGTTGAATAAGCATTACAACATACTAGTTACAAAGTTGATATCAATATATTGTCAAAAATAAGTAAAAATTCTAAGATGTATAAGAACATCCCCAGTGCCACCGTTATTAACGTAAGAGTTAACAACTTGCAAATTAAACTTTAGTTTTCTTTGTCAATCTTTAACTAATAAATAAAAACATGATTAAATTAGTATTGTATCATAGCTTTATGATTGTAGTGTAAAAAGAAAGCTAAAACCAAGCAAAATTTTCGAACACGCTATCATCAAAATTATGATTTAGTATGTGGTTGTATGGTGTTAACTAGATTTTAGAAAATATACTTAAAACTTTTTTTTGTGAAAAAGATAAATTATATACATTAACACCAAAACAGTGAAAGCATAATACATAGTTGTTTTCCTGAACTCAGCTTACAAAATTTCAGAGGTTATTAAGAACTTCAACAAAAAAAAAAACCTGCACTAGACTAACACTCTCAACTTATACACAATTAAATTTCAGAGAAGAAATAGCTATAGATCTTTTCCTCAGCTGATGCTTTCTTCGGCTTTACTCTGGAACCAATTCTGAATTTCGGTTCCAACTGAAACTGTTTAAAGATGTCACTTGGGGTCCTTTCCTTCTTCTCAAACAATCTCTGATTTCTTTCCTAAATTGATGATAGATGGTAGCTGCTATGGTGGCCAAAAGAATCCTTCTCTTGAATTTCTGTCCTTTCCACATAGATAGAACTGGACTTTCCACCTGGAATCTTCTTCAGCAAACTTTCCGGTTTTCAGCCAACATTTAACCGTTTCCAGTAGTTGTTCTGAGAAATTACAACGGAAACAAAGATGATCTATTGTTTCTGGTTGACGATGACAGAGTAAATAGGTTGTGTCCACAACCACCATTCCCGTTTTGATCAATCTGTCTTGGGTTAGAATCCTCTTCCTCTAAACCAGCCACTCAATTAATGCATGCTTGGGGAAGTTATCTCTTGACCAAATACATTTAGCCTCCGGATGGTGAGTCCCCTTTCCTGATAGCCAGTAATAACCATAAGCTATTGTATATACACCAGATTGAGTCATCTTCTATTTTGAGCCATCGAATCCAGTTTTTGCGAAGTCCTTTTCCATTGCCAGTTGGTGTCATTTTTCTGCTCCATCTCCCAGAAGTTGGCCTTCTTAATGTAGACACCGTGAATCCACTTAAATTTTTTTTGTCCACTTATTCGTCTTTTCAACAAATTTAACAGGGACGGATCATGAAAAAAGTCAACGAAAACTAACTCCATTATAAATTATGATAGACTTTAGCCAATCAAAGTGTCAAAATTTTAATAAAACTCAAAAAATTGTTAGTTTTAAAGGAAAAGTTATCGCGTCGACTTCTCCATCGACCTACCGACATCAACGCAAAAGTCGACGAGTTCCAAAACGTATGTTGAATTACTATTAAGACATACTCTTTACAATTTGATATAAATATAGAGCCAAAAATAGGTCAAAATCCCAAGATATGAGAGAACACCCCTAATACAAGTGTTATAAATGTAAGGTTAATAACTTGCAAACTGAACATTGACTTTCTTTTTTAATTTTGGGAAAATTTGGTTAAAGGGGTAGAAGAGATCAAATTAATAAAAGTAATATGATCAAAAAATATTTTGTGTAAAGAACAGTAATTTATTTGTGAAAAATTTTAAAATAAAAAATACTGTGAATTCACAATGTCACCCTTATATTTCTTACACAAAAAATACTGAGCATCATTTGGGTTGACTTTTTCTCTTTTATTTTTCCTCCTCCCCTGCACCGCAACAGTGCCTAAACACCACTACTATTTTATTTTCCTCTTGCACCTCCATCCGTCGGCCATCACCATCAAACTCCACTCAAATTTCATCAATTTAATTTTATTATCCAAAAAAAATTATCGAATTAATAAACGTCTAATGTCAAAATTCAAAATTAATCCAACCCAACTCAAAAATGAAGGCAAGTGAACTCCTAAATTGGAAATCCAGAAAAGCTTGACCTGGATTTTCTGTGAAGATAAGAAATGGATATCAAAAGTGGAGCTTTAAATAGGTATGAAAAGGTGGAGTTCTTCTGGTGGATATAAATTTTGATTAGCAGTTACGAAAATGGATGAATTATGCAAGCAGAAAGCAATTAATCATGAGATAGTTTGGTGGTTTCACAGATTTTTAATTATCCAATGTAGTTGCTTTGATTTTTTCCCCATCACGAAGTTAATATGTATGCCTAAATTTGTGAAGCCCACGCTAATTGGATTAGATTGAATTGGGTTTAGTTGTGGCGGATGGCCGGGCAAGTGGGAGAAGGCGGTGGAGGAAATTGCGCAGGAGGGGTGAAAAGCGCAGAAGGAAATGACCAAATTCATGGTTATCCATCCTCATCCTTCCTCCCACATTTTGTTTTTGCAAAAAAAGAAGTGATCTTGTCTATTTGCTCGAAATTACTGCTGAAATCAGTGGTTTTCCGACTTCACTTTCTTTATAATTTTTTCTTTGGTATATGGCATCATCAATCAGATTAGCTGGCATTGATTACTGGACTAAGCTTCAAAATTGGAGTCATTTCATGGTTATTCCATCAAACAAAGGATTTAGACTTTCATATTTTTTAATGTTTTTTTGTGTAAAAAATTGTACAAGTGACATTGTCAGTTCACAATATTTTTCATTTTGAAATTTCACAAAATTTTTTTTTGGTCATGTCCCTTTTATTAATTTGACCTCTTTTACTGCCCTTTAACTAAATTTTCCTTTAATTTTCAACTAGTTGACGAACACTACTTTAAATTAGCATTTTATGGTAGAAATAATAATTTTGATATGAGTATAGTGCGAGAGATGAAACCATGCAAAATATTCGAACACCCCATCTCAGAATTCATGATTGAGCATGTGGTCATTCGGTTTGAGTTAACTAGCATTTAAAAAATATATCTAAAGTTTGCCAGGTATTTAATGTTAAATTATTGTTGAAACATGCCAAATACGAATTTGATACAAATAAATAGTCTAAAATAAGTAAAAAATTTTAGATACGAAATAACATCCCTAATACTAGCATTAATTAATGTAAGGGTGAATCACTTGCAAAATAAAATTTTTTTCTTTCATTTATCTTCAACTACTTGTTGAACACATGATTAAATTAGTATTACATCGTAGAAATGATGTTTTTGATACAAAAATAGTGTAACAGAAAATATAAAATAATGCAAAATTTTCGAACACCCCATTAGCAAAATAATGATTTAGTATGTGGTTTTGTTGTGTGAATTAACTAGATTTTAGAAAATATGTTTAAACTTTAGCTAGAATTTAATGTTGAGTTATTACAACATACTATTTACAAATTTGATGTAAATATAGAGCCAAAAATAGGTCAAAATTCTAAGATATGAAAGAACACCCCCAATACAAGCTTTATAAATGTAAGGGTTAATCACTTGCAAACTAAACTTTGGTTTTCTTTTTTAATTTTCAACTAGTTGACGAACACTAATTTAAATTAGCAATTTATGGTAAAAATAATGATTTTGATACAAATCTGTATGGTGTGAGAGAAAATCTGAAACAATGTAGAATTTTTGGACATCCCATCTGCGAATTCATGGTTGAGCATGGGGTCATTCGGTTTGAGTTAACAAGCATTTAAAAAATATATCTAAACTTTGCCAAGTATTTAATGTTAAATTATCGTGAAACATACTAAGTACGATTTTGATAAAAATAAAGAGTCTAAAATAAATAAAAATATTAAGATACGAAGAAACATCCCTAATACCAGCGTTATTAATGTAAGGATAAATAACTTGGAAAATTAACTCCTTTTTTTTCATTTATCATCAAATAGATGATGAACACATGATAAAATTAATATTATATCGTAGAAATGATGATTTTGATATGACAATAGTGTAACAAAAATATTTAAAATAATGCAAATTCTCGAACACCCATTAACAAAATAATGATCTACTATGTAGTTTTATGGTGTGAATTAACTAGATTTTAGAAAATATATTTAAACTTTGACAGGGATTTAAAATATCATTATCATTACCACATACCAATTACAAATTTGATTTAAGTATAGGCCTAAAAATAAGTCAAAATTTTAAGATATGAAGTTATACCCTCAATATCAGCATTATTAACATAAAGGTTGATGAATTTTGTTTCTTTTTTTTATTTTTTATTTTCAACTAATTAATAAATCCATGTTTAAATTATTATTGTAATGTATAAATGAATTTTTTTTTATACGAATGCGTTGCTAGAGGAAAGCTGAAATTGTGCAGAATTTTTGAACATTCCATCAATAAAATCATGATTGGGCACGTGGTTATGTGGTTTGAGTTAATTAGAATTTAAAAAAATATATAAGCTTTGCCATGAGTTTGTCGTTTAACAATATACCAATTACAGAAATGATACAATTATATATAGAGTCAAAATGTTAAAGTATTAAAAAAAAAACCCCTAACACCAGGTTATTAACGTAAGGGTCAATAACTTGCAAAGTGAACTTTGATTTTCTTTTTAAATCTCCAACTAGTTAATAATCACATGATTAAATTAGCATTGTATCGTAGAAATAATGGTTTCTGATATGATTATATTGTTAGAGGAAAGCTAAAGCCATGCAGAATTTTCAAACACCCCATCCACACAATAATGGTTGAGCATGTGGTTTTGTGGTTTCAGGTAACTAAAATTTCAAAAATATATTTAAACTTTTCCATGGGTTTAATGTTTAATTAGCATTACAACATACTAATTACAAATTTTATATAATTATAAAGCCAAAAATTAGGTCAAAATTTTAAAATATAAAAGAACACCCCAACACTAGCGTTATTAACGTAACGGTATTCAACTTGCGAAGTCAACTTTGGTTTTTCTATTTTAATCTTAAACTAGATGATAAACACATGATTAAATATTAACATTTTACGGTAGAAATGACGATCCTTTTTTATATGATTATAGTGCGAGAGGAAAGATGAAACCATGCAAAACTACGAACACCCCATCAGCAAAATTATGATTGAGCCCGTGGTTCCGTTATTTGGGTTAACCCGTATGTAAAAAGATATTTAAAGTTTGTCTGGGGTTTATTGTTGAATTAGCATTACAACATACCAATGACGAAGATATAAAAGGACATTCCCAATACCAACGTTATTAACGTGAGTGTCAATAACTTGTAAAGTGAACTTTGATTTTCTTTTTAACTCTCTAACTAGTTAATAAACACATGATTAAATTAGCATTGTTTCATTAAAATTATGATTTCTGATATGAATATATTGTTAGAGGAAAGCTAAAAACATGCCAAATTTTCGAACACCCCATCCTCATACTGCTAAACCCCAATTGAGTTCTTTCTCCTTCGCTTCCCAAGTTTTAATAGCTCCATAATATTAAGTTATCTAGTATCTTCTACTGTTGACTATCTCTGTTTACTATCTCTGTCCCAAGAAAAATACTTCACATTGAGTTTTTAAATTTGTACTAAAAATAATACAAAGTTTAAAACTCAATATGGACTATTTTTGTGGAACGGAGGGAGTACTATATAGAGATCACCATTTATAAGGATTAAAAGAGTAATCAAAAGTCATACTCTCTCTATATATCTAAAAATAAGAGTTGTATCACTTAAATTGTTATAGTATTATTAACAGTAAAAGGCTCTTATTTTACAATAGATGGGTTTTAAAAACAATAACTAATCCCACGAAAGAATAAAACAATATTTTTTTACTCTATTTTAGTAATTTGTTTGGCTTGGTTGACCCTAATTTTGATAATACAACTAAAAAATTTCTCTTTTAATATAAATTCCTAAATTTAGCAGAGCTTACAAAATCAAGAACTTTCTTTGATCATCAACAGATGTAATGTATAATATTGTCACAGACCAGGGGCCTCATGTGACATTGTTTGTGAGACAGGTTAATCACAGGCAGGCAAAGCTGCCTCCGATCCATCCCCACAATGTTCCAAAGGTCGCAGACCTAAACTCGTAATTTAATACTCTCCATTTTCTATTTATAGGAAGGAAAATGTAAGTACTATAATCGAGCAATATGAATTCCAATACCTTAATGGAAATAATTCTTGAAAGAGCGCCATAATGCTAGCCATATTTTTTTTTAAAAAAAAAAAAAATTTCTCCTCATTTGCTTAATCAAATCAGTAGATCAGAGACACACCCGCCTCCACCTTACACGTGTTGCCACGTGTTGCATGGTCAAAATCGGGTCACCCCCTTTGTTGAACAATCGTTGTTCTTCGTGGGATACTTTTATTATATAATCTCTAATCCTGAAACCTGTTTAACCACCATCTTCTTATTAGGTTGTAAGATTGACTTCATATATAGTTGCACTACCATTTTTTTGGGCTCCAGAAATTTGTGGTGGTACTTTTTCTCTTCTGGGGTCCATTTTTTATTTTGCTCATCTATCAATGGGGCTCTGTAACTTCAATTTCCAATTTCCAGCAGAAGGAGCTCTGCTAGCGTTCGCTATGTACACATTTTGGTCCTTCACTTTTGTGAAGCAAACCCTGGATTCGATGCTGGAAATGGTTGGTTCAGCAACTCCAAGTTCAGAGGAAGAATCGTCCAATGGTAGAAGATTTGTGGGTTCAATTAGAAGGAGAAGAGTTACCATTAGTGGTTATGGGTCTTTACGCAAAAACAGATTCAGAATTTTTGAAATCAGCACAAGTATTGGAAATAGTACTACTGCTGCGGAAATAGAAATCTGCTCTGTTTGTCTCTGTAATTATGAAGCTGATGAAGAAGTGAGTGAGTTATCCTGCAACCACATCTTCCATAAGGGTTGTCTGCAAAAATGGTTTGACGGCCGCCACAGTTCTTGTCCTCTTTGCCGCTCAACCATTTGATATTTCGACTGCGTTTCGCCGCACTTCTTCTCGTGTTTTTTTTTTTTTCTCACGTTTGAGCTGATTTTGTCAGTCAGTTTGTCCCCATTGGAGATTAGAGAAGGAGGAGGCAAAGATGATTTGACCTCAGAATTTAGAAACAGAGTTTGCTGATTCTTCTTTATTCATGCAGTAAAAACAAATTTTAGAACATAGTATTCCTGATAAGATACAATCAAACTGTTTAGCTGTTCAATACAGCATTGAAAAACCAAAAAAAAAAACAATACATAAGGAAACAATCCACACTCCAAAACAGGATTCATCAGCCTGTTTTTCCTTCAAAAATAAATATCTACCGTGCACTATATTGCACTATTAGAAACAAATGTATGAAACCAAATCATCATTCATCCAATTTATTTAGCAGCTTCTTCTCATTCTCCCAGGTTATTTCTGATCTGGAAGGTAAAATCCCTAATCACTTTCTTGATTCTGGTAATAACTGAAGGAGCTAGTAGACATCCATTTCATCAAATTAAGCCTCTTGTGCTCCTCTTCAATGAACTCCTCAGCTTCAATGTTGATGTCTTCTCCTTCTCCATAGCCATTGTAACTATTTTCTCTGCTGTATTCCCTGCCATAACCAGTCCTTACAGCTTGATTTCTGCCGGGCGACACGCGATTTCCATAGCTCTTGCCAGTATTATAGTCTGTTCTATGGGAATTTCTTCCCCTGTTCTTCATAGCTGCAAACTTTTCAGATTGGGTCCTGAGGGCCTCAATCCCATGATTTGTCATATAAATATCATTATATGGAGGTTCATCTTTCATCTTTCGGGCTTGGGTGTAATCTGTGTTAGGCTGATCGGCGTTATCGGGATGCCTGGCTGGCCAAAGATTCCTTAAAGTCTGCATATTCTTATAGCAGTTCTTGATGAGTTGATGATGTCTAGGCACTGGAAAGAAAGCAAATCAAAGAAGTTTTATTGGTGGTTGTTGGTGTTTTTTTTTTTTTTTTTTTCCTGTGGGATGAATTACAAAGGGTTACATCAGCTTCATATTTATAGTGTGTTAAGATATTTTCCCATTTCTCATTTGCCTTTGATCTTTGCTGGAAAGATCAGAGGGAACCTGATTCCATTTTTTGTTGCTTTTGCAAACTCTTTTGAAAATTAAGAAAGTAATGTTAGGCCACTTTGCATGATCAAATTATTCAAACATGCGAATTAATTAGGACAACTATCATCAGAGTTGCATATTCTTGTAAATAGGAGGGGACGTTTGAGGAATCATCTAAAGCTGCAGAATGGGTGGATGGAGGAGTTCTGGAATTATAGGTTATCTCCTTTCAACATTTGGAACTAGATACTGTGCATCAAACTTCATGCAAGTTGAATACAAAGAATAAATGAATCATACCTTTCTTTGAACAATAATCTCTATTGAGTATAAGCAGTGACGCAATTAATTAGTTAATTTTAATATACTATTTGCTAAAATCATGCAAGACAACCATTATGAAACATATGAAGTACTCCCTCCGGTCTTTATTATAAGGTATTTTGATTTAGTCCTAGATTTAACCTAGGATTTTTTTTTAATTGGAAAAAAATCTTAAAAATATATTTTTAAGGTTTTTATTTCAATTAAAAAGACATATTAGGTGAAACCTATAATGAAATTAAAATGCCCTATAATAAAGACCGAGGGAATACTTTTTTGATGGTCGGGTTTCTAATATCTTCATTATACACAGTTGTAAGCGTTTTGGTAGTCATGTTTTAATAGTATGTCATTAGGCAAATTAAGTCTTTGGGTTACTCTTGAATAAGTTTTGGAAATTGTGTAATCAATTTTTCATGATAATCTTATTCTTTTTCGATACAAGAACTTGAGGTGTTTGAAGCAGGTAAATACCAGTACTGTATAAACTAATATTCAATTTCATTCGACATGGAATATGAAAATATAATGTCAGTTCGGGAATTAAGATTTTGCTGTCTCAAGAAGGCTATCCTTAAAGATAGCCATTTTCAGTACATATATGTTTTCTTTCTTTTGATCCTAATCGGGTATCTTTTACCATTCTCATTTGGTTCCACCAATTGGTTAAGTTTTTATTTCCAGTAATCTTTTGACTTTCCTTTATTGCGTTGAATTGGATGGCTTGACCAGTCTGTATTTTTTCAAGTTACGTGATAGTATAACGGAAATTAAAATAGAAGGTTCTACGCAGCTCTTTTTAGTACTCGTCAAGTTGCGCAAGGGAAAGAAAAACCTGTCCGATCCTATCTTCTAACTAAACCTGTAGTTCTGAAAAATTAAAAAATTAAACAAAACCCTTTCTATATATAGGAAAAACGGGAAACATCTAGAACATTAGCTAATCGATTAATATAATATTCTTATTTTGAGATGGATGCAAAACTACGTAAAGAGGAGTATTCAAACCTTTGAAGATTTAATCATAGATTGCCCCTTTTACCATTAGTTTCGGAACTACGGATAACATCAGCAATGATCCATGATAGGTTTTCTAGATATAATTATGTAATCGTTGTGTTTTTCCCGGTAAAACGTGTTAATTTTATAAATAATTAGATTAGAATAATAACTAAAAGGTATCCCTTACGGTATAAGAAGATTTTGCATAATGAACAATTTTATGAATCATATATGTTCCCCAAGCAACTTACCCTAAAAAAATATGTCCGTGAGATCGAAAAGATTCTGAACTTCTTGTATTATCTACAAAGTTAAGGACTGGTGTCCGTGCATCTGAAGCAAATGCATGAAGGAAGCTGGAGAAGCAATATATACACCTAATCCAACAACTTTGCTCCGGTGAGAAACGCTTAGATGTAAGAATGTTATACTTTAATGGTATATCTCAAGCTATATGAGGAAAATTGACAATTCTAGTCAGCCAGGGATCTAGAGTTCAGGTCGAGCAAAAATCAAATCGGCAGTTAAGTTGACAGGAGAACGTTGACATTTTGGTTGGGAAAAGATTCTCGAATCTCGACAATGAGATCGATGAAAGATGTCGATTCTTCTGTCAGCCGACGACAATGTCGACACAGATAAGGTTCTAATATCTAATTTTCCCTATTTTCTTATTAAATTTTCGGTTCCCCAAACGGATTTTGGGCTATGCGCCCTGTGATATCTGATTGTACGAGGCAGAATCCAATTTGCAAATAAATTGGCTTCAACTCAAAGAGTGATGAAAATTTTCAATAAATTAAGTGGACTAAAAAGCCAATAGTTTGATATGAAATTTCATCATTTACGTTACAAAAAAACAGGCTCTGTGATAATTAAGTCGATTTAATTGAAAATTGAAGCAAGATCGGAAAATATGACAAGTAGACTAAATTTACTTAAAATGGTCCAAGAGCGATGAAAGCTATTAAATGGACTTAATTAATATTCAGTACTTGTGAATCATTTACGTCATACCGAGGTGTTTTGAGATTATTCTTTTTATTTGATTTTAAAATTAAGCAAAAATGGAAAGAAAATGACAAGTAACCTAAAGTTGACTTATGATGATCCAAAGAGTTGTGAATAGACTAAAAAGTTTATGCGTGAAGTCTACTTCATACTGAAAGATTCAGGGTTCATCAGGCATATTTTTAATTTAAAAAAAATAAACAAAAATTAAAATGCAAATGGCATGTTAATAAAGTTGACTTAAGATGTACGAAGGAGGAATGAAAATATTCAAATAACTTTTACCAAAAAAAAAAAAAACTGATTTCAATTAAAAGAAATCAATTAAAAGAACTATAAAGTTTTACTCGTAGGTAAAATGTTATCATTTATGTGATTGTTCTGTAAATTATAAAATGACAAGTTAACTAGCTTCTTAGTTCCATAGATGAGAATGAACATTTCTCGATATATTTATGTGTTCCATCTAATTACCTGGAGCCGAACTAATAAAAAAAATGATATTCCTTAGCTGGGATGAATTCATTTTCATAAAATCCAAGAAAATTGGTAGGGACTAAAAGTATTCATTTTTCAATATGAAGGACTAAAAGAGCTCAATCTTGAGGATGATTTTTGTGCTATCATGTGTATTTCAATTAATTTGCTGTGGTTTGCAGGATGCAGAGGACCATCCCATTTCCAACGGGATTGAGAAATAAGCGATTTCCATACTCTGAGGTTCTGCAGCATATCCGGATATGGAGTATAGAGATAATGAACATTAGGGATCTGGCAACAAAGCGACAATGTTTGTTGCCAGTGTATGTAATGAGGGCTGAAGAATATGTGAAGGGGCAATATGTTATGGACCATGGAGGAGGATAATTATATAAAACTATGAAGGAAGAGGTTACCTTGAAACCAAAAGAAATACAATGGCCCTTCCAACAATATAAGTTAGCACAAAATCTTGCTAACCCTGAAGCACTTGAGAATTTGGTGGGAGGTGAATGTTATCCAAATGTTCTGAATCTTACAAAGGATGATACAGGAAAACCGAAAAAATCGATTCAAGGTGTGGAACGGCACGCGATTGAATCATGCGAGGATTGATCACTTTTCCACAGTCTCCCTAAAAATGAAAGAGAAGGAAGGTTGGGTATCAATGTCACTTTCTGGTCTCAATCAAGACTGTCTTAATGATTTGAAGCTTTAGCGAGGAAATTAACTAGTTTTAGTGGTCCTTATTAACATCACAGATTCCGAAATATATATAGTTTAATTATATCTCCGCAGGCATATAGTCTATGCAGATGAAAGGATAACGATCTTGATCATAAATTTGGATAATAAGCACAAGCAATACGCATATTTCACATCTCTGGTTTGCAAAACTGGTCTTCATAACTTAACCACGATTTTTCATTAGAATAGATACATTCGTTGAATAATTGTAGTACTAGATTTCACATATGCAGCAAGACGTTTAGCTGATATATATATATATATATATATATAGGAAATTTGTCAATGTTATTTATGAGGGCTGATTTTAGCTATATATGGCAAAACCCATTACAATCACGCATTATGTTATATTAAAGTTATTATTTTCAGTCCGGGAGGCAGAGATTCATTAACAACATTCAGATTCAGTCATCTATTCCCCTGGCTATCCACTTAGCAACCTCAGGACCCCTGTTGTTATGACCCATGCGCTCGTAGCTGAATCCCATGGATGATGATTCGACCCGAGCAGGTCCATTCGGGTACATATTTCCATGTCCATGTCCATGTCCTCCATACATGTGGCGGTCATAATCATAGCCATGGCCGTGGCGATTTGGACTGTATTGACCATTGTGATCGCCATAGTAGCCGGCGTCATAGTTTGATGGCTTACCATAGTTGTAATGAGGCTTTTCATAGTAGCCATCATGACCAACTGGTTGTTGATGATGATGCGGGGCTTGAGGAGTAACAATGTTGGGATAAGGCCTCACCATCTGCATGCTTGACCCACTGTTGTTGCCGTGAAAGCCATTCTCTGGATAGTGATCATAATGGCGCTTCCCATGTCCGGGATTCGGGTAGTATTCATCGCGATGCTCGCTATAATACTGCTGAGTTTCGACATATCCACCATGGCTTTTTGGTTGAAGTAGAGAGCTAAGTCCCATTGTTGTTCTACTTCAAGATGTTCTGAGTATTGTTTTCTTTGTGTTGTGATTTGGATGTTTGTTGATGGTCTTGAGTGTACAGATTTATAGCTCCCTTCTAAGATTCTCTTAGAGATAAGAAATGCATCTCATTCCATTTTAGCAAATAGCCAAATTGGTGATGTTTTCTCATTTTTGGTTCCTCTCACAATTGTCAGAATGTGAGTGGGGTATTTTTCATATTGTGGCATATGGCTTTCAGAGTGGAACAAAACAGTTGCTACAACTTTATTCTCCAATTTAAGTGGGTTAGAAATGGATTCTATTCATCTTCATCCCCTCTTGATCCGAAAGGCCGGTCCGAAAGGCCGGTCATCCATTTGGTAGTACTAATAATTTGGACATATCTACAAGCATATAACATCAAAAGGATCTTCTGGAAAGAGGACCCTGTTCCTAGTGGGAATAATATTTGGGCCAAATAGCCCAAATTACACTAAACCTAACCGAAATAAAACCCTTAAACCCTAAACACTAAACACTAGACCCTAAGGTAATTGAAATTATTAAACCCTAAACACAAGACGCTCAACCCTAACCCTTCTTAAACCTAGAACCTAACCTATTGAAATTCTTGAATCTAATTGAATTAAAAAAATTCAAAAGTTAATCATGTTACGTCACACACTATACCTTAAGCTAATTGAAATGTTTAAATCCTAAATCCTAAATACTAGACCCTAACATAATTGAAATGCTTAAAGCCTAGACCTATATCCTAACCTAATAGAAATGCTTAAACCCTAAACACTAAGCACATTATGCTTTTGATTTGATTTAAATCTTTGTAATTCAATTAGGCTAGGGTCTCGTTTTACCCCTATAGAAATTATGAGAGTATTGAAATGCCAAGAATGTAATCTTGAAGAGTAATATAATGGCTTAAGCATTATATTACTGTTAGAATCTAGTATTTAGGGTTTAGGTCTTAAGCATTGAAATTATGAGAAGAAATCCTATAGAAATTGAAATATGATTATTCAAAAAAGTGATTGAGAGAGTAAAAGGTAACCCAATTTTATCGTGGGTTGCGTCGTGGACGGCGAACCTCGTAATGAGGATCGCGGCAGCCACAATCCCTCCCAAGGTTGACAAATACAAGCAGATTCTCTTCTAATAGAAAAAGACAAAAATTCTTAAATTAATTTGCAGAAGTTACACACTTTCATATTGGGACTGAAACTATATCTTATCAAAATTAACCAGGGAATTCAAAGTCTCAAGCAATAATCGTAGGTGAATCTTATCAAATTTTCTATTGATCCAAATCCATAACAAGAGAAAGAAATATCAACAACTGGATCTAAACCAATAGACGATCAAGCAAATTTCCAAGAGTGAACAGAGACAACATTCTCAGGATCAATTCCTAAAACAAACTTCAGTCATAATAATCCCATCCAAAAGAAACCAAAAACAACAATGACCCAACAACATCTCCTTCCCAAACCCTCTCTAAACAGCAAAGATAGAAGGAAACGCCAAAAGGGAAAAAGTAGATTAGTAGTACAAAAGTTACTTAGTATCATTTATTATTTAAACAGAATATCACTACTAACAAAATATGTTTATCCATTTGATGATATGTTATCTTAATTAATTTGTATTTAAATATATATAACTTATATTAGTAATGTACAATTAACATGCAAATCACTTGTAAACATGTACAATTCACATGTAAATCATGTGCAAACTACGTGATATATGTAACTTTGGTGTCTCTACTAAAAAATATTTCTGACGCCACCATCTCTATTTAGGGGCTTTATAGGTTGGTGTTTCTTAAACTTTGAGCCACTAATCAGCCCGTTTAAACATGTGTGTTTGGTGGAATTCCATGTTGCTTAGAGTACATATTGTTTCTCCTATGCACTTCTTATATGCACGTCCATGCAAAGAAATATGATATTTTTTCCGACCAATCTCATAGCATTCATGCAAAATATCCTTTTTGAGTTTCAAGTTCATCCGTATTTTTTATAACAGTAAACATGATGCCTTGTAGGGAAACTGTTTTATAGCGGTAATTGGTACCTGGCAATTAGTAGTAGAACTTGATATTTTCTGTTATGGGATGTTGATTATTTTCGATAATTAGCAACTGATATATTTATTTAATTAAGACTTACTCTTTTCCCTCCCTGGTCATAAAACCAAAACATAACAAGGTAAAACAACTCACTCATGCACCTTGCCACATTGATCCAGAGAGTGATGTGATTCCACTCGATGATTCCATAGAGAACTACTGTCATCCTCTCTTTTCTGTGTGCCCTTGCTTTTGTTGGTGTTCTTTTGGGCACCCTGTTTGGTTGCAAAAGAGCAGGCCGCATCAAAGTGGTAGGATTGATCTGCATGAGTGTCGGTCTTGCAGTGTTCATCGTCCCAGGCATCAATCTGGTTCATACACTGTATAATATTTTCTAATTTTTATTTGTTCTGGTTCAAATTATGGTTTGTCCATAGTTAATAATTTTCAAAAATCCAAATAAATTACAGCGGGAAGTGCTGAAAACTAAGGATGTGACTTCTATTCCGATTTTAGTATCATGTGCACTTCTCGCTAGTGCTGCTGTGTGACTGGCCAGTGGTATAATGATAATGGACAGCCACATTTGGGTAAAAATATTGATTAGTTATATTAATTTTTTTATAATTGGTTATTTTTTGTTAATTTATATAACTGTGTTTTGTTTTCTAATCTTGTGACAATTGTGTCTTTCTAATGTTAGACACCAAATGTCATAGGTATTCCTATGGATTTGGCACAGATTATAATCGCCGTGCGTATCGGGAAAAAGCCAGCAACAAGAAACAAAGTGTCGCTTTAGGTCCATTCGGTATTATTATATCTTTTAAATTGCATTATTAGTTGAACTTCAGATATATTTTTTAAGATCAAAGTTTGACAAGTCTGTAAACCCAAATTATGACTGTTAAACCACCAAATTATTCCTCAATATATATATATATATATATATATATCTTATCTCCAAACTTAAGTAGGTCTCATGTTAATTTGTTTTCTTAGTAGTGTATGCCTTTTTTCCCCCTTATAGGCAATTTAGTGGAGTTCTTTTTTTGCTCCTTCCCAATAATCCTCATTATTGTTGACAATCAATGTTGCTTGCTAGTTTTCCCTTAGATAAAGCATCCATCCATCATTCATCCAACCATTTTCACACTTTTTTTTTCTTAGATATAGAATGTCAATTAACGGTCAACCCCTTGTCATACTTTTTCCTACATATATGATGACTAGGAGATTGAAATAAATCACAAGTAATGTAACATGTTAAATTTGTGATATTGTGACATTTTTTTCTTAGTTATATTCAATCTAAAAAATTATTTTGCATGTCTATGATTGACACAATCCAATACGTAGGAATATGAATTAAATGTGATCAAAGATAATGAAAAAATCTAGCTGTCCCATGTGGTTCAAGAATGTCATGGAGATTCTTATTAGCCATGATTAGGGAGATTGTAGCAAAATTATCTCAACATATATATATATATATATATTCTCACTTAGTACAAGAAAACGCACGCACAAAGACTCGAAAAAAAAAAAAAGAAGAAGAAGAAAAAAGATGGAGCATGGCGTGTAACAGCTAGCTAGTTTTTTTTTCTCTCTTTAGTAAAATATTACTTCTCACATTATTTTATTCACGGGAATCTAATTTGGATTTCCAATCACATACCCGAAGAAACAAGAGGTAGTCTAAGCCCTTGAGGATTTGGGGTCCAAGAGAGCAAATCGGATACTAAAATCGAACTTGGAATTGAGAAATTTTGTTTCCTTATTTATTTCTTTTCTAACACGTGTAACTGGTTCTTTTGTCTTGAGCTTTCTCTTGAAATCCTTTTATTTCTTCATGCACAAATGAAGTTCCAACTTATTGATTCAATGTACTAGATGAAAAAAAAGAAATTTTGCTGAGTGCATATTGACTATATACGGAAAATTTGTTTTAGATTTTGTTGTTTTGTCATTTTTGGTGAATAGACCAAATGATATTATGATAGTGTGCAATAAGATTGGTTGCATGTTGGCCACTTTCCTGATATGGTTCCGAAGAGAAGGTAAATAGTATAAATGTTTGTAGCAGGCTTTGGAGAAAAATTGTTGTTGGTTTGGTACTTTGGTTCTATACCAAAATTTCAGTCAATAGACATAACTCCAATGTGCATTATGGTTGGTTGTATGTTGATTATTTGAATACTTTCCTAGTATTCCCAATTAATGGAAATATGATTAAGGATTACTGGTATTTGCTTGTAGGTTACTTTTGGCTCCTAACAAAGGTTTATTTGGTATTTGTAGTTTGCAATGTTGATGACGCTGGAAATGGTATTCTCTTCAAAATAAGTATCCAAAGTACTCGCTTGACAACAATTTGGATAGGCAGTTAATGGAATGAGTTGTGGTCTTATCTTTGTTGAGCTACTAATCTCCACCCAATTAAGGATATTGTTGACCCAACTAGTAATGTATTGAACAAATATGGTCATGCACACAACATGATCGAACATAGTTAGGGGAATGATTTGCAACTTTAATTTAGTATCTTTGGTTGTCTTTTTGAGCTTTTCAATTTATGATTTTTTTTCTAAAACGTCAGGCAAATCCTTGAATATTCATTTATTGTTATATTAACAATATTGATTAGTTATATTAAGTTTTCAATCATGGACAACAACGTTTGTGTAAGAATATTGATTAGTTATATTAAGTTTTTTTATATATTGGTTATTTTTTGTTAATTTATCTAATCATGTTTTGTTTTCTAATCTTGTGACAATTGGTGCCTTTCTAATATTAGACACCAAATGTCATAGGTATTTCTATGACTTTGACACAGATTATAGTCACCGTGCGTATCGGGAAGAAGCCAGCAACATGAAACGAAGTGTCGCTTTAGATTCATTCGGTAGTATTATATCTTTCAAATTACATTATTTGTTGAAATTCAGATATAATTTTATAATCAAAGTTTGAC